CGATGAAGTTCAGGTAGTCCTCGACTTACAACAATTCACTTAGTGACTGTTCAAAGTTACAATGGCACTGAAAAAAAGTGCCCCCCAAGCCACAGTCGAGCAAGATGCCTGTCTGCCCACCCGGCGGTGCTCTTCCTCCTGTCCGAGGTTTTCATTGTTGTGAGCATTTCTGTTGAGGACTGGCAGCGGCGGTGGGGTGGGTGCTTGGTTTTTATTCCCCCCATCTGCTGGGTGGTTGCAGCAGGTTTTGGTCACATCACATGATCTTGGGACACTGTGACCATCATAAATATGAATCAGTTGCCAAGCATCTGAATGTAAATCACAAGACTCTGGAGATGCTGCAACATTCCAGCTGATCGGCACTTCTTCTGGGCTCAGCAGTAGCGCTAGGATCAATGCTGAGCTCCAGCTGGAGCCTGGCACTGATCCTAGCGCTTCCGCTGAGCCCTGACAACCCTGCAACTCCAGCCATCTCTCGCTCAGGTTTGTGCGGTGCTGCCACCGGTTCAGTTCATTCCCCTCCCCCGCTACCACTTTTCTAGGATGGTCGCGTACCACCTGTCAGGTGTCAATGTACCACAGATGATACCCGTACCACTGGTTGAAAAGCCGTGATTTAGGGTACCTAAGCCCTGAGCCTGGGAATAAAACAGGGATACAGGTAGTCCTTGATGTAGGACCACATTGTGGACCAAAATTTCCATTGCTAAGTGAAACAGATGTTAACTTGAATTTTGCTCCATTTTACGACCCTTGTTGCCAGACTTAAGTGAATCACTGCACTTAAGTTAGTAACAAGATGGGATTCTTGGTGCTCTCCGAGTTTGTTTTCTTGCCGACATTTTGTTACTCAAACTAGGTAACAAAGCATGATAATGTTACCTAGTTTGGGTAATGAAACATTTGCAAGAGAACAAGCAAGCTCAGAGAGCACCAAGGACTTCTCATGTCAATCCTGAGCTACAAATACTCTCCTTTACTGGTAACATGGTGTTAAGTGAATCTGGCTTCCTCATTGACTTTTCTTATAAGAAGGCTGCAAAAGGCAAAACTGCAACTGAAAGACTGCAACCATCATAAATATGAGCCAGTTGCTGAGTCTCTGAATTTTGATCATGTGACCATGGGGATGCTGTTACGGTTAAAAGTGTGAAAAATGGTCATAAGTTACTTTTTCCCCCCAAGGATGGTGTAACTTTGAACAGTCACTAAATAACCTGTTGTAAATCGAGGACTACCTGTAGCAATCTGCTTAGCTACAATAGGCCTGGATCATTTGCTGCAGAAAGGCTGTCTCCCGGCCTAGTTTCTTGACATGACAGTGATACAGGTGCTACCACCAGATACCTGGCCTATTTCTTATACCAGAATACACTGGCATATAAAGCTCCCAGGAGATCAGCTAGCTGAATCTTGATCTTGGACTTGGGAGATTGTAAAATATAGAAAGTATGAAACACACGTGCAAACACAGTGATCAAATGAAAGTTGGGAGAGACAAGAAACCTTTTGCCTTACCAAAAAGGTTTTAGGTGGGAAACTGGCAGGAGAGAAAAGAAGGAAAGTTTTATAGACTTTGTAGCACTGGCATCCCCTGGTAGTTGGGCTTCACCGCTTTATATTTCAAATCAGTTCTACCAATTATTCAAACAGATTGGGGTTGGGAGATAGGGACTGCTTAACGCAGAAGGTTATGCACCAATTACTTTGGTTGATGGACCCGTATTAATGCAGGTGGACACTAAACAGCAGCATCTATGCAACAGTTTCATGGGACTAGCAATCTCCCTCTCTCTCCGTGAACCTTTCAGATTCTCTTGAACTATTTTAATAGGCTCTGGCTGCAAGAAAAAATCTGCTTGTCATTTTACATATACATAAAAGCAGTGTTATGCATGTGTGTAATCCTATTTATCATTTAATAGGTGCTGAACAAATGATGGTTGCGACTGGTCCTTGAATTCCAGACATCTCGGCACCCCCATGGTCACGTGATCACAATCTGGGTGCTTGGCAAGTCATTTGCACTTATGACCGGTTGCCAAGCGCCCTACAATCACACAATCGTCATTTGCAATATTCCCTTTGCTGGCTTCTACCGAAAGTCAATGGGGAAGAGAGCAGGGAAGATTGCAAGTTGCTGGGGTAAGTTTCCGCCACTCCCTCTGTGCCCACCCTGCAGTGGTCACTTGTACACCAAAGCACCCACTCCAACCCTTGCTATGCCTCCCCTCATACTCTCGAACACCCCCTTACACGTAACCCAATCCACAACCCCATGCATTATTATATGGAAAGGGACATTACTGGAGCATTGCCACAGCCCTAAATATTTAGAGGTCACTCTAAATAGGGCTCTAACACATAAGCAGCACTGTACCAACACTAAACTGAAGGTCAGTGGACAAAAGAACATCCTCTGGAAATTAATAAGCTCTACCTGGGGTGCCAAACCAAGGATCCTTAAGACAACAGCCCTAGCTCTTGCCACTCAGCAGGTGAATACGCTTACCCAGTCTGGTCTAAATCAGCACATGGTTGGAAAGTAGATGGTGCTCTGAATGAAGCCAGCAGAATTATTACCGGATGCCTTAAACCTCAATATAAAATCTACCACCTAGCCGACATTGCCCCGCCTGCTGTTTGCAGAGAAGCAGCAGCATACAGAGAGAGACTCAAATCATCAATATCTAGACCAGTGGTTCTTAACCTTTTTGAAAGAATCGCCCCCTTGAGCCAATGAGGGAGTTGTCATCGCCCCCCTCCCCCAACATAAACTCTCAATCACAACATAGGAAATAATTCTTCAATTTATGCAAACCCTTTTTTTGTTTTCTTTAAAATTGTCATCAGGACATATCGATGGCAATAATTTATTTCCAGTCTTTTTTCCCATATCTCAACTGTGTGGAAATTTTTGCTGCCACCCATCACTTTATTCCCAAACTTCGTGATACATGTATTTCATTATTATCTTATTTATTCAAGACACTTTAATGTAATGACCACTGAAACAAAATTCAATTGCAAGAAAGTGAAATGCCCGAAAAGAAAAACAGTAACATTTAATGATTGAATTACAAGTGAAATTTAAGACACAAAAAGAAATATAAAAAGGATAGAGGCTGCTGTGCAACGTGCATAAAGATAAGCGATGCGTATTCACATATGTACGGTGTTCTATACCGAAACTAGCTGGAGGAACATTTGAAAACACAATTCAACTCACTAATAGCGAGCAATCTAATGTTTTTGTATGACAGATATGCAGCGATTCACTGTACGAAAAAGTCTCAAAAGTGTCCCCAAAACTTCTCACTCCATCGCCCCCATGTCGTCCTCTTTTTGTTCCTTTGGCCCCGCATCGCCCCTTTTTGTTCCATTGCCCCCCTGAAAAATGAAATCGCCCCCTGTGGGGCGATATCGCCCAGGTTAAGAACCACTGATCTAGACAACGCCCTCTCTATGGCCTACAACCAGCTCAACAGAGACTAAAGTCCAGGAAAAACTTCCGTAGGTTGAAAGAAGACTTTGAAGAATTTGAAAGCAGAGTGGACCAATGGAAAACTACAAAGAACCAACACTGGATGGAACCAGTGGAGGAACTGGGTTCTAGGTCTGACGAAAGCTGGGAATTATGGAAGTCGTTGAAAGAGACTGCGCAAAATCCAGACTCCCTGAACAAATGGGGTTATCTGGTTGCTTCTGCTCTTTGCAATTGTGGTGACATGCAGATAATACATATACAAACATACATATATACATAAATACATACATAAATACATACATACATGCATACCTGCCCTTTGTGCCCTGATCAGTGTACAATGAGAACCTCATGGCAGCATGACAGAACCCAATTAACGTTGCTAGTTTCTAGGCAAGATGTTTAATTTGTACATATTTTAATCTTGTATTTTACATTTTAAATGTTAGGTTATACAGACACCTTATTTTACTTGCGACACTTCTGACACGAATAAACACACAAAACCCATGCACTTTCCCTGACCCACACAATGCTTCTCACATACTCCCTTATACCCTTCCCAACCAGCACCTTTCACACACTCCTTGCACTTTCCCCAACCTGCGCAGCAACTCTCACACATCTCTTGTACCCCCTGACCTATGTGGTACTCTCTTGCAACTCTCACAGTTTCCCAGGCCCTCTCTCACAACTCTGCCATTGAGCATATTCTCTCCAATCCTATCACCCCTTTGCTTCTTTCCCCACCTTCCTGTAGGCCTGGTACTTGTAATTTCCTACCAGTTTCCCACTAACTTTGGTTATGGGAAGTTGTCTCACCTAATGACTGTGACATAGTTAACAATGGCAACTCTGACTGCAGAGATTGCTGTTGCGATGTGGTCATGCATCACTTTATTGATTAAAGTTCTGTTATTATAAATTGAAGAATATATATATATATATATAGTCTTATTGTTAACAACCCCAAATTAATCTCAAGCACTGCATGAACATCACCAATCACACTAAAGATGAAAATTTGGAAACAGATTCTTAATACAATTCCGTGAAACATATAAAACTCCTTTTCAGACATCTGCATTGTTTCTGACCATTAGTGTTAAGAGTCCATACAAAGCATAATATTCCATTACCTAATAATTAGCCAATCTCTGATACGGAAGATTAACTTAGTTACTCATATGTACTTTGTAGAAGGAGAAGTGTGGTGAGTCTATGGTAGGATCAAAGTTAGAAGTCTGGTAGCACTTTTTTTTTTATTAACCATAGTTGCATGTGATGAACCAAGTTGTAATTCACAAAATCTTATGTCTTTTAATAAAAGTCTGTTAGTCTGAAAAGCACTCTCTGAGTCCTCCCGACTTTTGTATCCATCTCAGGAGCCATCTCCCACTCCCCAAACAAGAGTTAGCTTGTCAAGAATAGAAGATACAGATGACTAACTAAATCACGCTATTATGCTTTGCAGTGTATTCCCATCCCATCATAATACTCTTCTAAATACCTTCAGATCATCAGCCTCAGGTTTTTCAGTCTCTGAATCGTCATCTTCCTATAAGACAAAGAATGTACAGAATTAAGCTTTAAATTGTCAGCAAGTTCTTGCATATTTGGCAAGGGACTTGCACTAAATAGCCTAATTTTGCTTTTTAATTCAGCTGGGTTGCTCTCTCAGCTTCTTTCTCAAACCCTGTTAAAACAGCCATTCAAGGAAAAGAAAATATAAATAAGTTAAGTTTACTTCTAAGAAGTCAGGGTAGATTCTAAGAACCCACACAATATTGGATTTCTTTTTTTTTTTTAAAGGCATTAAAAGTCAGCAGATAGGATAAATTTTTATGAGTTGAGATTTTTTTTTTGCTAATTTTATTCTAATAAATAAAGCAGGTTACATTAGGCAAACATGAGGACAACTAGCCAGGTTCCCACTTAATAACATAAAGAATCTTTGATTCTAGAGCCTCCAAAACAGTGTTTCAAGATGGTATAATGTGCATTCATAAGAAAACAATTGAAAATGTTGGATACAATGGAATGTGGGGTCCCTGGTGCCCTCTGAGCTTGATGGTTTCCTTGCATACAATGGAAAGAATGGAACAATGGACCAAAGAGTAGTATATAACTACTACCATAGCCCTGTATTATCGATCAATAGCATGCCCCAGGTTTTTCATTGCTAAACAATGGCCCTGAAATTCTGTAATGCATCTAGTTTAGAGTTCAACAATAGGTTACAGCCTCCACATTTATTATCACATCCACCTTATCTTTCTGAAACTGAAGTTGTTATCCAAGTTTCCCACCTAGATTCTACTTTAGGTACTTATTTCAAACTCAACATGAGATTAAATACTGAATTATCACAGATATAGGAATGCCCACAATAAAAAGGATCACTTAATTCTTTTGCTACCGTATTATGAAGAAATTATAAAAATTGCAAATATGCTTTCTTCAATATGAAGACTGAAATTATGGATACCATTATTTAAAATTAAGCTTAAAAGAATTTACAAAGATAAACAGCATTATGTCGTAATTTAATTTTAACTTATAGCTGCATGAAAGATCAATATTGGGAACATATGTGGTAGACGTTTGGGATGAGGTACCAATATTATATTATTAATACCCTGCTCTCCCTCTTATTGCTACCATCTGATCTAAGAGACATGGCAGGAATCCTGAACAGGTGTCCTGGATGTATCTTGATACAGATGAAGAAAAAAAAAATTAAGACAATAGTATACAGTAATAACCATCTGCATGAGGGGATATCAAAATAAACAGGATGGTAGACAGAGTGTGGCATTGCTGATTTTGAGCAAGTGTACTGATGTATACAGATGAGTGGGATTTGCATTGTGATGTTCAAATCTTTGTATTGTGATTTCAAATAGACCCCCATCTGCAGATGCTTTTGATAGCACTTGTAGGTTCTGCCAATCAGTGTAGAGATATACAATCTCACTCAGATGAACTGTGCTCCATTTATGAACTTATTCTGAGGTATTCATGCACTAGCATTATCCTGAATATTGGATGTTGTTATCAGCTATAAAGCAAGGTTTTTGTTTTTTTTGAAAAATGGATTTCCCATGCTTTAAATATCTTTGGGACTTATTTACATGGAAGGATGCTTCTTGAAATAAAAATTATGGTCAAATAACAATATATATTTATCCTACTACTCAGATTAGAGTCCCTTTATCTTCTCAAGAGGTCATCCATACATGTCATATTAAATTTCATTTTAAGAAGGAATCAGAAGTATTTTCAGGCCACTTATTTATAAAAATTATTTATATATCTAAATAATAGGTATTTGGAGATAATGCAAAACTGAATAGAGATACACATAAGAAAGGAAAAGTTATAGGAAAATATTGCTTCCTTCAAACTAGTAAAATGTATAGGAATTCTCATTTACAACCCCAGCTGAAAGGATAATCCATTATAAGAGGAAAATGTGTTTGGAAAATGGCACAGTATTTTGGTATAAATTATCATTTGAAACTCTGACAATTTTAAAATACTATTTGAAGACTTCTTTTAATTAATCAATTTATAGAGCTGCCCAACTCACAACTGCACCTCTTTTAGATTAAAAGCAAGAGAACAAAAATATGCCAAACCCATCCAAAGAGTTAAAAAAAAAAACACATCTCAGACTAATCAAAAGTTCATAGAATGAGCTCATCTAACATCCTGGCCAAAAAAGGAAATATTACCTAAAGTAAAAAAATGGAACAGAGTAGAGAAGCTACATTTTAAAAGCTTTGCAGGAATAATCAGCTCAAGCAATGCATGGGGTGGAAGAAATAATGATGTATTGGCTACTATCGTAAAATCATGTTATAGGTTATTTTTTTATCAATTTATGTATTTTTTACTTTTAGATTTTAGAATATAGAAATTTACTTCTAGAATATAGAATATAGAAACGTCAAGTGTACATCAACTATAAAAGGGATCATTCTATTTTTACATTAAGATTTGATCTTGCAAACAAAAAGGCATTGCCACTGAAGGAAGTTAGGGATAAGTAATGGGCTTTTTCATTTTATTTAAGCATTCCTCTAGCAATTCTGTGATAACTTCAAATACAATATATGTAAAGAAAAGCAACAAAGGCACAAAAGTTAATATTCCTATATTGCCATAGCAAGTTTGATTGCTATGTAATAAAATACCTACTGACTGTCTGCTGTTTTCATCATCGTCTTCATCATAACCATCCTCTTCTCCTTCCATTTTACTGAAGTCGTCTTCTCCATAGCTTTCTGACACCAAGCCAGCTTTTTCTTCTAGGCCATCCAAAGAAGGAAGAAAATGGTTAATAGTCATTTTGCAATCCGGCAGAAGATTGATACTGTTGTACAAATCACATATATAGATACACCTGCTGAAATAAATAAAACAACCCTGCTAAACAAGAAATATTATCTTTTACTTAAGTAACTTTTCTTCAGCCCCTCTAGTATAAGTTCTTTCTTGCTAACTGTCCAATAGAATATCAGGCATTAGTTCTACTATGTTTTACATATACCATGGTACTTAAAGGTGTGTGAACTTGTTTAAATATACAATATTTCTGCAGAAATATAACCTAAAACATGATCTGTTCACTATATAGATAAAGCTAAAGAGAACCCAATTAAACAAATGACTCCAAACATTGTAATTCATTTATTTACTGAGGAAAACTACAGACTTTTGTAGAGTGGCTAAAGTAAATGACCCTCTAGGACAGGGGTGTTAAACTGCCGGCCCGTGGGTGGGATGCGTCATGCCAAAACCGCGCCCATCCCATTGCCGGCAATGGAAAAAGTCATGATACGTTGCGACACGTCACATGACATTACAAGTTTGACATCCCTGTTCTAGGATTATCCATTCATTTGAAGGGGGAAATTAGAGTCAGGGGTTTCAATCAATGGGAGGATAATCAGGTGGGAGTGTGGAAGGTTTACGTTATTTAAAGAATGGAATTCTGAGTATTCCCTTTCAAAGTCTGATCTTTGCAATAGGGAAGTATGTTATGGTTCAAATGAGATTTTTTTGAGCATCTCCCAAAAACATTGTTGATTCTTACCAGGCTAGAAAATGTTGCAAAACTATTTCCAAAGAGTTTGGATTCTATCAGTTCACTCTCAGGTAGACTATGTGCAAATAAAGATAATTCAACACCACGATTACCCTCACCAGGAGTGGTTGATCAACTATGATCATACAAAAGGCAAGGTGTGTAATACTTCAGGAAGTCTCAAAGAAGCCCAGAGTAACAGAGTAAAAGGAACTAAAGGCCTTTTTTTGCACTGGTGAATGTCAGTGTTTGTGAAACCATCATCAGGAAAACACTGAACAACAATGGTGTACCTGGCAGGGTTGCAAGGAGAAAGCCATTACTCTCCAAACGAAGAAAATTGTTGTCCATCTACCATTTGCGAAAGACCAGCAGATAAACCAGAAGGCAACTGGAAGAATATTCTGTGCATAGATGAGACCAAAATAGAAATTTCTCTTGAATGAAAAAATTGTTTGGTGAAAGGAAAACACTGCATTTTAGTATAAGAACTTTATCCCATTTGTGAAACATGGTGGTGGCACTATCATCTTTTGGGCCAAGACAGCTCACCATCATTGATGAAACTATGAATTCTGAACCTGCTAGCAAATTCTACAGGAAAATATCAAGGTATCAATTTGTGAATAGAAGCTCAAAAGAAGTGGGTCATGCAGCAAGGCAATGATCCAAAATGCACAATTTGTATCACCAAAGAATGCTTAAAGTAGAAGAAAGTTAATGTGTGGAAATGGCCAAATCCTGACCTTAATCAAATTGTTATGGAAGGACATTTCATGGGAGGAAGCCCACCAACTTCCCTGAATTGAAGCTCCCCCATAAGGAGGAATGGCCTAAAATTCTTCCAAGCCAATATGCAGGACTGATCAATGGTTACTAAAAACTTTTAGTTGCAGTTATTGCTGTGTGTGGGGTGTGTGGGATGTGTGTGTGTGACATCAGTTACTGAAAGCAAAGGTTCCTTTTTCCCAATAAGTAATTGAATATGTTTTGACTCACTTGTTTAATTGGGTTCTCTTTATCCAGGTTTAAGATTGGTCGGGAGAACAGATCACATTTTAGGTCTTTTAAGCATCACTGTATATACAAAAACATACCAAGTCAAATGTCTGATATTTTATCTAACTAGTACGGTATGGTAGAACTCACACTGAAGAGGATGAAGAAAGCAGTCACTGTAAATAACTATTGGGTTAAAGTTAATTAACAGCGTAGCCAAATAAAAAGGGGCTTCATATTTTCAGAAAGGCACCTTTTCCCATAACCATCTGCCACAACACCCATCAGCCAAGAATACAGGGGCTTACAAACACTTTCGGGAAACGGAGGATGGAGGGAAGAGAAAGCTTCAACAAGGGAATAAAATCATTTAACATATCTTCCCTGAACACAACTCTAAGCCAAAGCCAACCAACCGTAATGCATTAGCACACCCAGCAAGCAGATTGGGAGTTATCCCGATCAGGTTCCAAAGAAGAAACGAGGCATGGCGTCTTATTAAACCCAACCAAACCGCTCCCCCCAAGGCCTTACCCGTCCCTCCTCCTCGATCGCTACCGGCCCCGCCGGCCTCGCTATCAGACTCGGGCTCGGAATCTTCCGCATAAACCGCCAAGGAAGATAGAACGCTTTTTTTCGCCGCCGCCGCCATCTTTCTTTTCGAACTCAGTTGAATTCTCTTCCGGCGCAAGAATATGGCGTCAGCGAAGCGCTCACCGGAACTACCGTCTTTCTTTTAGGGACCGCGATAGGTGCGGACTGATTTTTCCAGGGTATCTCCTTCGCTCAAAGTGGAGGAATTCGTGTACTGCTGGATCTCGTTCGAAACAGACGAAAAGAAGAGCATTTCCCCCCCGCCCCGCGTCCCGGCTCTTCAACGGCCTCTTACGTCATCAACTCGCGCTGAAGCGATGCCGATGCGAACCCAGATGCTGCCGGAAAATGAAGCCGTCTGAATTAACCGGGATTCTGGCAGCGGCTGCGCCTGCACTATGAGGCCTATGGCTCAAGAATATAGTTTCAGAGAGCTGGGAAGGAAGAAAGTATAATAGTTAGTTTGTGGATGCACTAAAATGTTTCCCCGCGGGGCCGCGGTCTCCGGTTTCGGTTTTCCTCAGATGGAAAAGGTTGGAGTGGCTTTACCTGGAGATTATTTTTATCCCGCCGAGTTTTAATCTCTATCCCCGGACAAGGATCTAAACTTTTCATCGTACCTCTTAAACCTGCTAGATTTTCTCTGGCAGATCTGCGTCAGAAAGTAATTTAAGAAAAGTGATAATAAGAAAGTCAGGAAATTTAAATTGGTCTCGGAGTCAGGTGTCGGTTAAATAGCAATTTGTTCTCCAAGCCTATCTTTTCCGAAGGCTAAATATTATATCGTGCGAAATTAAAAGATGCGTTTTGTGGAGCATTTTCTGAAGACTAACCTAAAAAAGCTAAGCAGAGTTGGCTTAGTACTTGCATGAACACCATTGATTTATCCCAAAACTATCGCCTAAACTGGGAACAAGAAAAACATCCTGAAACACATCTATTTCCCTATTGCTTGGAAAATCGAATGGCATTGAGCTCCACGTGAAAGAAACGAAGGTTGGGACACAGGGAGCTGCAAGGCAATAGAAGTAGTAGTACGTATAAAACAGTAATCTGCATTCCGAAAAAGCAAGAAAATAGTTAAATTTCTTGTGCCTAGGTTCTTTTAGTCTCTGGATTATAATCCAATGTATTTATAGTTTTGCTTTTTCTATAGGATAATGAATAGCAAGAACTCTTTTGTATTTTACTAAATCGGAGAATGGTGATGGTTGTGTAAAAACCATAAAGAAGATAGTATTATTGAAATAAATCTGTTATGCCTATACAGGTGATGGTTTGCAAGAAAAGAAAATAATTGCATGAAGGTCCTCTCTTTACCTCTACTTTGAATTATTCCTAGTATTGGCATTTAAGATGAGTAACAGTTCTTCCTCAAGATTGGAAGATAGAGTTCTGCAAACTCTGACAAAAGTTTTTGGATTTAACTCTTTCAAGACTTCATTGCAAGGAAGTGCAACTATGACTGTGGTGAAAGGTAAACTGCAAATACTTTTTATGACCGTATAAAATATTTTTAACATGTCATTCAAAGATTCCCAGCTTCCCAAAATATGGCAAGTATAACATTCTATTCCCTGCAACAATAAGAGAAAAACATACAGTGAAAAAGCTCTGAATATTATAAAAGACTTTTTTCTACTGCTGAAAATACAGAAAGTCTTTTAGCTTCATTATTACAATTGGAGATTTTCCTAGACTATCTCTTAAGATGAGTAATTGATCTTGGCCAAATCTGTAGTAAAAATTTATTTACCTGGGAATAAACCCCATTAAACAGACTGTTTTCTAAGGAAATGAATTGTCAGTTCCAAAGGTTATGCTAGCTGAGAAGTCATGTAAATGTATTACAAACCTAATAGATTTAGAGCAGGCGTGTCAAATTGCCGACCCAAGCCGGATGTGTCACGCCAAAACCACGCCCACCCCATTGCCGGAATTGGGGAAAAAGTTGGGATACATTGTGCAACGTCACATGGTGTCACGAGTTTGACATGCCTGATTTAGAGAATGCTTGGCTGGTGATGGATTTTACATCAATTTGGATGATGCTGACTTAGCTTTGTAAACTGAGATGTGATTTACTACTATCTATACTGAAAGTTTTCAGTTAACAGTAATTTCCCAATACATCCAAACTGAAGAGCTATGGACTGGAGTCAGATTTGGTCACCTAGAATGGAAATCAAATAAAATAAATCAAATAGAACTGTACAGGTAGTCCTCAACTTATGACCACATCGAGCCCAAAATTTATGTAGTTAAGAGAAAAATTTGTTAGGTATTTTTTGTCCCATTTTACAACTTGTCTTGCCACATTTATTAAGTGAATCATTGAAGTTAAATTAGTAACACAGTTGTTAAGTAAATCTGGCTTACCCATGATCTTTGCTTGTCAGAAGGTTGCAAAAGATAATCACATGATCCCAGGACACTGCAACCATCATAAATATGAACCAGCTGTCAAGTATCCAAATATAAATCGATCACCAGGCATGCTGCAATGGTCGTACCGTTGTAACTTTGAATGGTCATTAAATGAACTGCTGTAAGTTGAGGACTACCTGTAAATCATGACTATTTTTCTGACCCAAAAAATGAATCATTTCACCTTAATCCAACATGCTATTGACTGGGAAACCCAGTACCTCTAGTTCTTTCAGCCTATCTGGAATTAAAGCAAATAGAAATCCAGTCCCATCCGTCACCCAGAAAAGGAACAGCTGCAAAGAGCTTGTTCTCCTCACCATGACATTCTGCTCCATCTTCCATTTGCCCTGCAGCTGCAATACCAAAAGAGCACGTTGTGCCAAAAATCTGGGAGCTGATAGTGTGCATGCATGCAGGGCTTTTTGAACAATGAGTTGTTTTCTTGTAAAAGCAATTTATTATATGCAAATTCAAATAGTTCCAGTTATATTTGAATAATTTCATAGGCATCCCATGTAAGAGTGAACTGTATGGACACATTTTAACAACATCAGTGATTTAAGACATTTTCATTGCTAAGGGGCTTTGTGGCCTTTTGATGGCCAATTTAGAGCCCTATTTAAATAATATCTGGGTATATAATACCATTTTACATATCTAGGTATATAATCCCAGAATCCACTCATTAAACTTAATCTATGGTATCTTTTTCCTGGACTCGGACTGAAAAAAATTGGATTCTTCTAGTGAATAGCAGAAAGTCAAGCTCACACTGATCTAAAGCATTTCTTCTAAATCATTTTCATAGTACACCTAGCTTTAATATGTTTTACTACAGGGTATTGCCTCGGTAGTGTTGTGCTTATATGGATATATGTAAGATTTGATATCCTATGCACAGCCTGGGAAAAAAATGTTCTGGTCTTCAAAACAGAATCTGGAGACACTTGTAAAATAAAAAAAAGAGCTTTGAACGTTTTGTTGTTGCTTTTGCAGGGGAAAAGGATGTGTTTATATGTATGCCAACAGGAGCAGGGAAATCCCTGTGTTTTCAGCTTCCAGCAGTTTTGGCAACAGGCATCACCATAGTGATTTCACCATTAATTTCGCTTATTCAGGTATCTTCTACAATTATGTAAAAGAAGAAATATGCTTTAAATAGAAAATATGTTTTAAAATCTGCCTTTTCCGAAGAGCTTGTTAGCTTAATTCAGATCAGTAACTACAGATTATTGTATAATTCAGTCTCATAAGTGAAAGTAATTGGAATTCTGGAATTAGCATTTTCTTTCGCCTTCAGGTATTCCTACAGTGAGATTATGTATGTAATTGTTCTGAATTATCTTTTTGTATCAAACTTTTGAGGTGTTTAGAAATTTCATATAAATAAGCATTCAAGGAATTCATTATTTCTAATCTTTGTTACCATGTCAGATGATACTCATTGTCATCTTTCTTTAATCAACTTGTTTAATTAAATAGAGGCAAATCAAATAGTGTATGTAATTTCAACCATTTTAATTTAAAGAATGCTCGTTAAGGACCTAAAATTAAAAAAAAATCTCACGTGTAGTAAATGTGTTTGAAAATTCTAAATATAGTTAGATGATCATAAATGTCTTCATACTGCAGCAGTTTGCTGGTCAGATTCTTTCTGTAAAACTACCTTTCTCTTTTCTCATAGGATCAAGTAGATCATTTGCTCTCTCTCAAAGTCAGAGTGAGCTCTTTTAATTCCAAGATGTCCGCTCAGGAGAGAAAAGCCATCCTTGCTGACTTGACAAGCGACCATCCTAAGATAAAGCTGCTGTACATCACTCCAGAGATGGCAGCTTCTGCTTCTTTTCGGCCCTCCTTGGAGCGTCTAATGTCTCAAAAGCTTATCTCTTACCTGGTGGTTGATGAAGCTCACTGTGTTTCCCAGTGGGGGCATGACTTCCGCCCAGACTACCTGCATCTTGGCTCCTTGCGTTGTCGCATGCCCAATATACCCTGCCTGGCCCTGACAGCCACAGCTACGAAGCAAGTTCAGGAAGATATTATAGCCCTGCTCAAGCTAAAGCAGCCTGTGGCTACTTTCAGGACACCTTGCTTCAGGCCCAATCTATTCTATGATGTGCAGTATAAAGACCTTATAGCAGATCCCTATGAAAATCTGAAGGATTTCTGTCTGAAGTCTCTTGGACGGCAGAATGAATTAGGGGTGAGTGTTTTTTTTTTTTTAAAGAAAGTTATTTGTGGTTTATTGGTCTGAGGGAACGTTCAACTAACATGATAAGACAAAATTTGGATTTCCTTTGCTACTTGTTTAGAGAGATGAACTCCCTAATGGAACATACATGAGAGATCATATGCATCTATTAAGAGATAATTTTTCCAGATAAAAATTAGGAACTTAGTTGGGAAATATACATGGAGCTTCATGGCTCATATCAATATTTAATTTAGGTTCAAAAGTATATAGTTCATTCAAAAGTATACTCGGGGTTTATTTCTGAGTAGACATGCGTAGGATAATTCTGTTGAAGTCACTTTTTTTTTCCAGAAAAACAAATGATAGAGTAGTATTACAGAAAAAATAATTATGTACAGGTAGTCATCAACTTACAACAGTTCATTTAGTAACCGTTCAAAGTTACAACGGCGCTGAAAAAAGTGACTTATGAACATTTTTCACACAACTCTTCCATCATCCCCATGATCATGTGATCAAAATTCAGATGCTTGGCAACTGGTTCATACTTATGACCATTGCTGTGTCCCAAAGTCACGTGATCACCTCTTGCGACCTTTTGACAAGCAAAGTCAATGGGGAAGCCAGATTCACTTCACAACTAGGTTCCTAACTTATCAACGGCATTGATTCACTTAACCAATTTTGCAAAATTTACTTAGCAACTGTCTCACTTAGCAACAGGAATTTTGGGCTCAGTTGTGGTTGTAAATCGAGGATTACCTCTATGTCCAGGAAGGGAAGCTGTGATCCTCTGAATTTTATTCAGCGCTAAATCTCAACAGCCCTCAGCATTGCTCACATTAACTTAAGCTATTGGAAGAGTTTATTTTGCAGTGTATGGAGAACCATAATCCCACTCTTGCAATATTACTTATAAATATGCATGAATAAAGGAGGGATATAAATAAATAAGTACGTAGGTGTTATGTATCCAAAAGCTTCAAAAGAAAGAATCCAAAATCTTCAGATTTAATTTAGCAAGTATGAACTTTTCAACAGCACATTTGAATTCTGGATTAGTTTAGCAGAGTCAGATCAGAGCAAAAGGACAGTACATGAAACTGCAGATTATGTAAATATTATGTAGGAATATAAGATTATATAAACTTACATAAGTTCTGTAGAATCCTAGCTTATTGTGGAGTAAATATAACCTGTGTCACCACATGGGAAATTGGATAAATATAATATTAATTTATTCTTTTTCCATAAGGTGACACAGGTACAGTCTATTGATTTTTTTAAAAAAAGAAAGCTATGGTTATTTTTTAAGTCAGTGAGGCATTGGGGTTAACGCTGTTGATCTCAAGTTCGTATCCAGGATCAGTCATAGACATTCTTGGGCCACTCACTGTTTCTTAACCCAGTATGCCCCACAGAATACATCAGAGAAAAGGATGCTATGTATGTTATCTTGAGCTCCCAGAGGAAAAGCAGGATATAAGTCTAATAGTATATACTAAAAAAAAAATACTAAATTAAAAAAAGTTGTGTTTTACAAGTTGGGCAGCCAAATAAATCTTTGAAATAAATAAACATCTAAAAAAAAATCTTTTGAAGGTACAACTTTCAGTTTCCTCTGCATATGTGTAAATTTATAGATCTGTAGTTCAAACTGCAACATCAGTTTAAGGGCACATCACCTTTAGTCTGTAGTACTTTTGTCTGTTTAGTTAAAATATTTGTATGCAGTGGTTGTCTCCAAGGACTAAGGATAAATACCATTTATTTAGTCTTGTTATAATTTTGAATGGTCACTGAATGAATCTTTAGATCTGTAGTTTAGAAAACATAGGTATTTCTAGAAACTCCTTCTGTCACATTTGGCATCACTGAAGATTGCCGAACTTTCTATTAAAGTCGACATAAGAAGTAAAGAGGGAAGAATGGTTTATGTGAGGTAATAGAGAGGAAAGAATATTGCCATAGAGAACTGAGAATTGACCTTTTATAATCAGGAGTGGGAAACTGTGGCCCTTTTATGACTTATGGACTTCTGACTCCCAGAATTGCTGGGAGTTGGAAGTTCATAAATGATCAAGGGGCCATAGTTCTCCACCTCTGATCTATATGGATGCTTGGAGTCAGAGAAAATAAATATTGTCCACTGGTAGTCTCTTTGGGCTTGACTGTTCAGTGTACCAGATACTGTTCAGACTTTTGTATAAGTTCTGCTTCTATTTGGAAAAAGGAAAATCAAAAGGTTCACGAGAAAATGAACATTTAAAGTCATACGTTGGTTTCTGTATAAAATATGTCAAGTGTTAACCCTAAGCCAAGCCTATGAAAACTTCTCTCTTAGTACCCCATATCTGTAGCTTAAGTATTTATTGTTGCATTTCCATATGATGCTAATGTTAGCTTCCTTCTCTTTTCTTCTGTGCAGGGGTATCCTGGCTGTGGAATTATCTACTGCAGGATGAGAGACGCTTGTGAGCAAGTGTCTATTCAACTAAGCAATAGGGGAGTAAAAGCCAAGGCATATCATGCAGGTAATGAAAACTGTTTCTTTCCACTCCAAGCAATTATTTAGTGTGCAAAAAAAAAAATATTTCTTTATTCTGGTGTTAAAAAGGACTCGTCATAAAATGCAGAGACCACAAATTCTGATTCTTCTCTCCCTGCTTTTTAATTTTTTGGGCAACATTCACACATCACATTTTCTGAGTAGAGACCTTCCCAAGACAAAGGTACTGCTCACTGCATTAAAATTAATAAATGAAGTTTTTTAATGATTTTAATGTCCATATGATCCGGTCTTACTATCTGAGGTCTGCCTGTCTTCGTGGATGTTGGGGACTAAATCTTGATGATTCTAGTGTACAAGTAGTCTTCAACATATAACAGCTTGTATAATGACCAAAGTTACAATGGCATTGAAAAAAGTGAGTTCTGACCGTTTTTCACACTTATTCACATTGTAGCAGCCCCATGGTCACTTGACCAGAATTCGGATGCTTGGCAACTGCTTTGTATTTATAATGGTTACAATGTCCCAGGGTCACGTGATCTCTTTTGCAACAAGCAATGTCCATGGAGAAGCCGGATTCACTGTTACTAATTTAACAACTGCTGTGATTCACTTAACAAATGTGGCAAGAAAGGTCGTAAAATGGGGCAAAAGTCACTTAACAAATGTCTCACTTAGCAACAGAAATTTTGGGATCAATTCTGGTCATAAGTCAAGGACCACCTATATCTTAAGAGGAGGGCAACAGTTTGGGAGTGAGGACTGCCCTGGATAGGATAATCAACTCCGCAAGGGACAGGCTCAAGATTTTCAAAATCTGTATTAGCTGCCTCTTAAAGAGGTAAGAAATGCTCTGCTCAGATTAGGTGAGGTGCCCAAAGTGAGGTTTGAGCTTATAGATTGATTGGAGATTTACCACTAGCCTGAAGATCAGTTCTTTTTCATGTCAGGTTTATTGCCTTTCATTTTTTACTCTTCTGTTCGTTTCTTGAGATAAAAGTGAGTCAGGTTTGATGACCCATCTACAGTCTATAAGATGCTGTTCCAACATGTATTTCATGACATATAAATGTAAGAAAAGATGAATAAATGGCTGGATAAAGACAAAGTCTGCTGATATTATACTATTGTCCTTTGTTTTTTCTTTAAGGGCTGAAGCTGATAGAGCGAACCTCAATTCAAAATGAATGGATGGAGGAAAAATTTCCAGTTATTGTTGCTACTATCAGTTTTGGAATGGGAGTCGACAAACCCAATGTCAGGTGCGTGCAAAATGATCACTGATATTGTGCTTTCAATATCAGGAAATATATGCCTTTGTTTCTTTTTATTTAGGGACAGGAGGGAAAAAAAGGAATTGTAAACTGGCCTACATTTATTGTTGTTGTTATGTTGGTCTTTAATATGGACGTATTTTTAAACTTTTAGATGAAGCTCATGTAAAGAGTTTTATTGGTTTACATCATGCAGATTTGTTGCACACTGGAATATTTCAAAATCGATGGCTGCATATTACCAAGAATCAGGAAGGGCAGGGAGAGATGGGAATCCATCAAGCTGTCGCCTTTATTACTCTCAAACTGATAGAGAACAAATCTGCTTTCTCATCAGGAAAGAAATTACTACGCTTCAGGTAGGGGCCTTGTGTGGTATGGCTTAAGTGATTTTTTTTTCTTTGCCAAATCAACTCATAATTAATAATCCTTCGTTTACTCTGTATTATAGTTTACATTTCAATGCTCACAAAAGCAAGTTTAATTTTGTATTTGAATAAAGCAGGTAAGATACATCTTAATATGTATTTTACTGCTTCCTATTTGTGAAGGAGACATGTTATGTTCGTTAATATGCAGACAGATTATTACTAGTAACTTGCAGGCTACATCAGAAATAAGGAAGCCTTCTCAAACTTGCCGTTCACTCTTTTTATATACCTCTTCTGTTCTACTCACACGTAATACGTTGCAACCCACAATGGGTTTTTTTGAGGCACAAAATTTTCATATTGTACAGGCTCTGCCCCTTGATACCACTATTGTCCATATTCCCTCCAAAATCAGATTGTTGCCTTTTTTAGCAATGATCTCACCAGTTGTAATTTATTCCTTATTCTGCACTTGAATATAGACAGCATCTTTCATCTTTCTTTAAGTTCTATCAATTTCTTCAATAAACTAGTCCTTCAGTCGTTGCACAGAGTAGGGTCTAGGAGTTTGATGTTTATTTACAACTTGGGCAAGTTCCCCACATTTTACTATATCTAAGATACACATGATCTCACAAACGTAGAGGAGGTAAAGCCTTAGTAACCCCGCCCCCTATTATAATGTTACACTCTGTTTTCTTATCTATATTTCAGTTGTTCATACATATCTCCCCAGTCATTTTGTGAATTTAACAAAATACTAGATGCTGGTAATGTTTACAAACATTACCAAATGTTTACAAACATTTCCCATCAGTAATTATGCTGTTGACTTTTTGTCCAAATAGAATTTATTTTGTAAGCTCAAAGACACAAATAAAAATCAGAACCATCCAGCTTCTCTAATATTCTGTTTGCAGTCTATATAATTGTTTCTACCATCCCATTTAAATTGGCACAAGACAGGTACACTTGCCAATAATACTTTCAATTCATTTAAATACATCTTATATATCGGCATCCAGGGAAATTCCATGTCCTATAACATCAGCTACTTTAATGGAGTTTTCAGAGTAGAACAAATTTTGCTCAATAATTAGCCATACCTAAAAATTGTTGAAGGTTTATTCTTTGGGTTTGGCATGCTAACAATAGCTTCAGTCTTGATTTTAAACCAGATCAGTCTATGTCAATTTTCAACTTTTGCCTATTTAACTTCAGATGGCTTACCTCACACCATTCCAGAACCTTGTTCCTGTTTATCCTGATCCTATATCAATATATCTTCAATGAACAATACATTTTCTAAACCTTCCAGAATTTGTAGCTCAGTACAGAGTTTCATATACCTCTGAAGCTGAAGAGATATCAAATGAATTGGTACCTTCCAAAAGGTACATTGACTATACACAACTTAGAATGTCTGTCATCTAACTGAATTTTCCAGAATTCATTGCTTGATTTAGGACAACAAACATTTGGTCTCCCACTAAATTAGTTAGTTGCATAATCGCCCAACCTGGTAAGAATATGCTAAAAAAATTATGGGGGCATTAATACCTCCCTTTTGTTTCCTTGTTAACATTCTTTTATGGTACACAGTGATTTTCAGATTTCTCAAGAACATTTACAGGTTCTGCTTTTCAGACTACTTATCTTCAGATTAGAATGCATTAAAGACTTATGTTATTTCCTCCCTAGCAACATGCATAATGAAGCTGCCTGTGGTTTCTCATTCTTTTTGTTGGCTCTACTTCCACACAATAAAGCTCAAATACTGCTTTGTTCCCATTTTCTCCAGGTTTTTTGTACATTTCCCAAAAAGCATAACTGTAGGCTACTGCTGGTCCATGGCTGCATGGTATTATCCATTTTTTTTCTCTGTTGATTTCTTACATATGTTTTATTCCTTAGCACAACAAACATAGAAAATACACAGAAAGACAAATTCAAATAGGGAGATGGGTTCTACCCTTGCAAAAGTAAAGAGCCACATGCACACACATCTGGCTCCTCTTATTTACTCACAAGTAATGTGTTGCAATTGATAATAATACTGAGAAAAAAAATGTGAGAAGGCTTATTTTGCTGCATTCTTATATGAAGGAGAGGTATACCCATAAAGATTATGGTTTCAAATTACTGCAATACTTTTACAGGATTTAAATAAAATGCATGTTTGTTTGCAGCATCGTTATGCACCTAAAACTAATGGGACATTATTGTGACTACCGTATATTCCGGCGTATAAGGCGACTGGGCGTATAAGGCGACTGGGCGTATAAGACAACCCCCAACTTTTGAGAAGATTTTCAGGGTTTAGAAAGTCGTCTTATACGCCAGAAAATACAGTACAATATTGAATTTCTGTTTATAGATGAGCACAATAGGAGCTCCATTCCTTTGCTGCTAGAAAGCTTTGTTCTATTAGTGTTTATTTCTGTAAAAAAAAAAATAGGGCTGGCCAGTAGGGGGCAGATTGGTTTTAAATTCAGAGAACAGCTACCCGTATATTCCTGCATATAAAACGACCCCCGACTTTTGAGATTTTCAGGGTTTAGAAAGTCGTCTTATACGCTGGAAAATATGGTAAATGGTTTTTCGAATTCAATGCTTCAGGACATAGATTTATTTATTCAGTTTTATGTTTCCTCAGGAGAAACGAGGTTCCTTGAAGGAGTCTGATAAAGCTGTGATGAAAGCCTTTGAGGCCATGGTCGCCTTCTCTGAAAATCTTGTGTAAGTATGGATGGGTACTCAGATGGTTGGTAAATGTCTATTGGCCTTTGGAGGTTCTTTTCTATGCTACAGATATATTTATAGATATAATGTAGTAATTTTATTATTTGATAAGATGGGCAGGGCTAAGGTGTGTTCTTTCAGTTTTTTCTTCAGAAGATCTGTGGAAAACCTGCCTTCTATATTACCATTTTTGGGAACCTTCTCTTCTTTGAAAAAAAAGGTGTGAAGCCTAACAGCTTGAGGATGAAAAATTAAATAGGATGCTTCATGGTTACTGATGTCCTTGTGTAAAATAGGAGCTGCAATATTCAGTAATTAGTGTAGAAATTACAACCTGTGCAAAAATAGATTCTATATTTAAAATAAATTGTGCTGTTAGAGTCATGAGGAACTTACTTTTGTAGCAAGACAGTAATGTATAGGTGCTAAATATAGGAGAATATAGGTTTGTATGTAGCCTAGTGTGCCATTGCTGGATTTCTAGAGGGCATTTAATGTATTATAACACAGATAGATGCCAGGCAATAATAGACAGGACTGTAGGTCATGTGTGGGTAGAGAAGAGATATTTTCTTACATAGTTTTGGTGGCTGTAATTGAAGGTTGAGGGCTGTAATAAAGAGGTTCAAAAGCTTTCTCTGGATGTACCTTCATTCAGCTGAAGAAACATCATGATCAGTGCTATCAAATATTTAACAAATCGCAGTCATTTACCGAGTGCTAGTTTGTTAACTTCATCCATATTATGGTATAATAAGAATAAAAACTCAAGACTTTGTGTTTATATGGTTGTATTTGCACAGTTGTTTTGGCAATTGTTTGTGCTTGCCATTGGTTTGTTCCAGGATTTTTTTTTTCAACTTTCCGATCTAGTCTACAGCTTCAAGTTTCAATAGAAGAGAATGTATGTAGCTTGAAGTTGAACTATGGAGTCCTAGGTGCTCTGTAAGCTTGCTTATTGGCTTGCAGATGTTTCATTACCACATAGGTAAATCATCAGTGCTCAAACAGTGGCACAGATGATATTCCCTAGTTAGGTAATGACATGTTTGCAAGCAACAACCAAATTCAAAGACTCTCAAGAACTCCACAGCTTCCAATTTCCTGGTAGTTCTCCATCCAAATGCTGACCAGGTTTTATACTGTTTTGCTTTTTTCAAGATCAGCCCAAGTTGCCTAAATGATGGTAACTGTTGTGGTAGAATACAAGAAGATAATAAAATTTTGTTTACATTATTCTTGCATAATTCTCATTGCTCATGGGTACTACAGTGTCATTTCATATATTTATTTACCTGCATTCCAGTGTTGAATAAGAATTGTAAGGTGAGCTGATGTATTCTGAAATAAATTATTTTTTTATGGGGGTGTGTGTTGCTACCTAAACCTTGGAATAGTGGAGGTTTATTTGTAAAGCTATTGGAGTTTCATATATTTTGTATGTTTTCTTCCAGAGTTTAAAGTAGAATATGATTCTGTATTCACTTTACCTTTTTTAAGATAGGTTTAAATAAAAGTAGGAAATATAATATCTGGGCAACATTGCTCAATAGTTTGGGGCCAATTATAGACATGATATCCCTGGTTTTAGTTAGGTGTTATGCTTACTCTGCTTGAAACGAATAGATTTTTCATAAACACGTAGAAAAGACAATTGAAAAAGATTTTTCATACATGTAGAAAAAACAGTATAAAGCAAATTGTCCTTCAGGGACTTGGACTGACCCTTAGCTAAGTACTTTTCATTAGGGCAATGATTTGAATTAAGAGCATATCTGAATCAGCAGCTTTCTGTGTGTGTACTTCACACCTGTTAGGAACACTTTGAAGCAACTGCATCTTTTCCTAGGGCCACACAGCTGCCTTCTACAGCTGGCATGCAAACCCAGGAAAATTCACATTTGGCTTAAGGTATTTTTGGCCATTGGTACAAGTATCTTCATCTGTGGGTCAAATGACATATCTTTTGAATTGTTGCCCAACTCTAGCTTATGGCAGTTGCCTGAATTCAGGTGAGAATAGAGATTACTCTCATAACATATTTTATCTTATCTCTGGCTGCTTCAGGTCATTTTTTTCTCCTATTCTTGAGTTGTTCTAGGTTACATATTGGTTAGAATAATATTGGATATGTAGATTTGGGTACATATTGAATGAGTGACAATTGGGGCCCATTAGAATGAGAAGGTTTTCATTGTTTCTTATGGAAATTCTAACTATCCATAATGGCTCCAAATAGTTGGTAAAAATTTTCATGAAATCAACATTCACATGTGTTACTCAGATGTAGCATCCAAGTATCCATGGCAAGCCATCGTGTGCATGTAGGAATTTGTACTTAAGTTGTATGAAAAAATATTACAGCATATCTACTTGGATAACAGAGTAAATTGTATAAAGGGTTAGGGCTATTCTTTATTTTGAATAACAATTCGATTTTTTTTTGTTCATAACATTGATTTTAGATGTAACAAATGCTGTAAGTAGGCCAACGGTCAGGTCCTTTCGTACATAAAAAGTTTGCTAGAAAAAAAAGTTAAGTAGATGATCTTCAGAAAAATTAGACATAATCTGAAGTATTGTATTAAAACTGGCCTTTTGAATGATTAAATGTAGATTTCTGAGATCACAGCTATTTCTTGTTCAGGTTTCCATTGCTAACAGACACCATCTTTGAATCAAAGACACAACAGAAACATGGTTGCTTGATGCAAACTTCACTTGGAGTCAGCCCTCAGATGGTAGTTGGTTTTGTGCTTTAGCAGCACCAGTTTCTTCTCTTGATACATTCATTTCTAAACTCAAAAGATAAACAGCAAGAAGAAGAAGCTCTTTATACTGCTCAGTCACTCTAGTTCCAATTCCGTAAAGGCAAGTGATCTGATGATTTACTCAGAACTTAGTTTTTTCTTTGAGTTGAGCAGCAGCCAAAGATCACAGCAAACAAAATGAGGACAATGATGATAGTGACAAATGAAACCATCACCACCAGTCCCCCAAGAACCCAATCATCCGTCAGAATCCGTGTTTTCATGTCTTCTAAAAATTGAAAAGCTGCTTGCTTTGCATTTGCCATTGTCTCCAGGCCCTGAAGAATGCAGGAAATGAAATGTGTATGTACACTTATTTAATTGACAATGTTTTAAAAAAAAATCTCCAGTCAAAGTTATTTCCAGGCTAGCAATTCTCAAACAATACAGGTAGTCCTTGACTTATGACCAGTTGCTTAGCGACTGTTCAAAGTTACAATGGACCTAACTTCAGGCTACGTATGGCCCAGATTCTAACTTCCGGCAGTCAAAGCCCCTCATTGGTTATGTGACCAAACTTTGGGCACTTGGCAACATGGCCGCTTTTCCAGCCATTTACAGGTTCCTGCAGTCACATGACTGCATTTTACAATGGTTTTTGCCAAAAAATGGCACTTACATCCAGTTTTCAGCAAAAACTGGTTTGCTTAATGATTGCAGTGTTCGCTTAACAACTGCAGAATTTGCACTTATAGCCACAGTGTTCATTTAACGACCGCTGCAAAAAATGTAAAATCGGGTCAGTCATGTGACTCATCTATTTTGCAACAATAACGGGCAGGCTCTATTACGGTCATGTATCAGGGACTACCTGTAGAAGTTCTTAGAGATGTCTCTAGGAATAAGGTCACTAGATACTATTCCCCACAACAAAGAGAAGCAGAGATGGTTAAATTGGTTTTTTTTATCCAAAGAAGAGAATATATTTAATTTTGTTTCTATTTGGAAATTGCTTCTGGATTTTGTGCTTGCAGTGTGTGTGTGTGGGGGGGGGGGGAAATATGAAACTTTGATTTTGTTTTTGCTGATTAGATAAGTTTGTTGCTATAGAAATGGCTAGTATATGCTGTTGTGTAAAATAAAAAGTTGAGGTTGTAATGTTATCTTCTACTGTGCTGAAGAGAGTTGGAAGTCGATGCCTTTTTTTTAATTTTCCCTCTTTATTCCATATTTTCTCTTTTCCCCTCCCCCCCCCAGTTTCCTATTACTTTTTAAAAATTCTCTTTGTATTTTATACTTAAAAAATGTATGGGGAAAAATGGAATAAGATTACTCAATAGAGATAGTTCTTGACTAGCAACCAAAATTGGGACTGGAATTTTGTTTGTTGAGCCAAATAGTCATTAAGCAAGATGCCCATGTGATCCCTTTGCTCAGTGGCCGCATTCTGGGCTCTCCCAGTTGCAGTCAATAAGTGATTCCGTGGGTCGTTAACTGGGGTGCAGACTGCCTCAGGTGGTGGGGAAGGTATATTGCCTACCAGCACATGAAAATTAGCTGCAGGCTGGGAGGCCCTTACCTTCTTCCCACTCAGTTACACCTGGGAGGCCCAGGTTCTCTCCCCGCCCCACCACACTAGGGTCCATATATCTTTGCATTCTTCCGCAACTACGGACATGTGCACCCAGCCTATGCAAGGCACAGCCTTCCTACCAGGGCCTCCTTGTGCCATTCTGCAAGTGGGCTCCATTCTCGCAATGGTTTGGAAGGCTCCTTCTGCAAATCACATAATTTGGAGGAGGAGCTTCTGAATGACTGCAAGAATGATCACGTTTGCTAGGCTAGGAAGGGTAGGAAGCTAGCAAATATTGTCATCCTGAAGGCCTGTCATGTTTTGCCAACAGTCTCCTTCTGACAGCCAGGATATTTAATCTTATTACTTATCACATTCCCAGTTAAGCTGCCGAACATGTCGCCCCATAATATTGTAGTGATCACAACATACCGTATATGTTAAAATAGACTAAGGAAAAAATGAATTGAAGTACTGTTCTGATTGCTTCCTAATATGGACATGTCTGATATAGACTGGCAAAAGTTGATTGGCTGCTAACAAAGCTCTGCTACTATTTAAACATAATGTGAACACAGGCTAACTGGAATTTCACATTGCGCTAAGCAATAATGTGTCTGTTTTTGGCTTAACCCATCCAATTCTGGTTTATTTAAAAAACATGTTTAAACCAACTATGACTTAGTATAAATCAGGCATTGTGATGTGTACTAGGATGTCTGGACAATCCAGCTATTTTTTACCTTTCCTGCGATTAACAATAGTGATATTGCTGGGCATAAATTTTTCTGTGTCTCACAAATGTTAGTATTCTACCTTTCAAATAGAATTTTCTCATATTTAGCATTTCACTTTTTAAGTGACATGGCTAATTATCTTAGTGTGAAATGTCATTTTAAAAAAATGCAACATGTTAAAGCTATTTTCACCTTTAAAGTAATTCCCCTGATTTGTTTTCATTGAAAGTACCGTATATATGAATTATGCATTGAATCAGCAAATGTAAAGACTGAAAATTAAACATTAGCTGGATTCAGCCTGTTTATATTTAGTCTTGCTTTCCAAATTTTGCCTTAAATCTGGTTTGGATTGAAAGGGGCAAGAAAAATAATTTCTCTATTATAGGGACAAACTCAGTTTGAATGTTTGAAACATTGCCATTTATCTGCATATTAGTAACTCCATTTATCTGAAGCATCCTTATAGCATTACACATTTGATTTTGAAAGGATCTTTTATTTATTACTGCATTCAGCCAGACTAATACAGATAGAAGCAAGAAAAAAAAACTTTTCTAAAAATTCATTTGTGAGCCTTTAGGACTTTTTGTAATCCCAGAAGCATTTCCTATAGAATGATGACAACTTTGCCAAAAGCAATCGCTTCAACTCCCAAATCCTTATAAAACAGCTATTTAGTTGTAATAGTTTTAATATACTTTGAGAATACAAAAGCAAAAGAATGACTCTGTTCTTACCTTTGTGTAGATTTTTTCTGTGCTGTATTGATTTGCTTCTGTGAAAATCTTATCAAATGCACTCTTGTCTGCTAGAAGACCTTATTTCACTTACGTGAATTACAAATACAGAATATCTAATATGGGTATTTATTCTTTAGTAAATCATTAACACACCAACAGATTATTTCTCCTCCAATACAGAAGTTTCTAGGGGACAGGTGTATCTGCAGTTCTGTTACGAATACTGATGAATTTATTTTCAGCATGATTAATCCACCTCCAAAACTGAGTAGTTACGTGAATCTGGCTTCCCCATTGACTTTGCATGTTAGGAGATCGTAAAAGGGGATCACATGACCTCCCCGGGACACTGTAACTGTCATAAATATGAACTAGTAGCCAAGCAACCGAATTTTGATCATGTGACTACAGGGATGCTGCAACGGTCATGTGAAAAACGGTCACAAGTCACTTTTTTCCAGTGATACTGTAACTCATTAACTGTTGTAAGTCGAACATTATATTTCTGGATTTACTTTTAGTCCCTTTCCTAGATATTTGCAAGGGTCCATTTACTATTGCAGGAGTATCTGACATTTTGGATGAAGTTTCTTTTCTGCACAATTCTTGATAATTCAAAAGCATAATTAGGAGTGGCTTTTGATTTTATTTTTGTAAAACTATATAGTATTCCACATACTTTATAGCGTTCAGGGGAAATTCTGCTGTCTATTCTTTTGCATTTATTAAATTAGCCAAAAATCAAATAAAACTTTGGTAATTGAAAATCTGGGCATGTAAGGCTGTAGTTTCTATTTAAGGCTACATTAGAATACAATATAAGTGAGTAAAATGTTAATATAGAAATTTTGGATAGATTGAGTTATGGAAGCTAATCTTAGAAAAAAATCTGCATTTGGGAATTTGCATTCTTGAAAAAACTCAAGTACTTTGGCCACCTAATGAGAAGGAAGGATTCACTGGAGAAGAGCCTAATGCTGGGAAAGATTGAGGGCAATAGAAGAAGGGGACGACAGAGAATGAGATGGCTGGATGGAGTCACTGAAGCAGTAGGTGTGAATTTAAATGGACTCCAGAAGATGGTAGAGGACAGGAAGACCTGGAGGAACGTTGTCCATGGGGTCGCGATGGGTCGGACACGACTTCGCAATTAACAACAACAACAACAACATTCTTGAAAAATGGTAGTTTTATCTTTTTGAAGGGGTTCTACCTCTGTTTAGCAAGAAGATGTTTGTTTTATTAATTTTTCATTTAAAGTCATTATAAAATGTCATACATAGGTGCTTCTTGAGCAGGCAATTGTTCTTTATATTCTATGAAGAATATGGCAGTAATTTAGCTTTTGATAAGGAATGAGTTTTATAATTTCCTGTAAAGAGCAATAAATATTTTACAGAGGATTAAAGCCAAAACAGTAATCCTCCCCAAATGATGATGTGAATGATGACAAAAGTACACACTAGACTTTTCTTTTAGAAACAAAGTATTAGTTGTTTTATGTGCCTTCACTGAAGATCTGCGAAACTAGTATTTCAAAAACGGTGCTTATTTTTTTTTTCATTGCAAGGCCTTTCTCAATACAACACATACTTTTGATCCTTTCCTCTCCGCCTGAAATCTCTTAATAGTTTTGTGAGAAAAGTAGATGTGTCCAATAAAAGAGTTGAATATTTTCTCCTGGAAGACTTCCTCCCTAATCCTTAAAAACAGTTATTTGGGTCTACCATTGGTTTCAGCTTCTTTTAATCCAACATTTTTTTCAGTGTAATACTTGGTTTAAATTTATTATAGTATTAATGGAGATTTGGGATATTGTACCATTTTTTTTTCTGTTGCACACTGTCATTGTATTGTTGGAAAAGGGTAATGATTTAGTATGGCATCATTTTGCGTAACTGACTTGTTCTCTCCAGTCTGGCAGCTGTGCAATTATAAAAAAGCAGCCATGTTTGAAATCAAGTTAATCTTTGTGTCTGTGTGGTTGCTGATGCTGTTTTCTTATTCCTGTCATTTGTACAAGGGAGTGACTTCTGAAACAGTGCACACCCAGAATAAATATACTGGAAGCTTTTCATCACTCTTCATAGCATATAGAAATAGAACTTGCTGGCAGATGTTGCTGAAATGCAGTTCCCTGCATCTCTCATCTTTACTTACGTTAATTGAGGTTCTTCCCAATTATAGCTCTAAATGTCTGGGCCCTAGGTTTCTTATCCTTCCACTAAGAAAAACAATTTCAGTTGTACCTTAATGCAGCAACACTGCATGACAACTCGGTTGGATGCTTGATAAATTTGGTTTTGCAGCTTGCCTGGGACTGCAGAAATTTGGAAGAATTAAATATTTGCAGGCACAATATATAACAGGTGCATTGCTCTAAGCTTGAGTCAAAAAGGTATAGAGTTTTAATTGAGGTATGGCATATATATTCAGCATATTTAAAGTGCCGAACCAGAGTAAGGGTTTATTAATCTATTATTAATAAATAATAGATTAATCTGTTATATAATCTATTATTGAAAAGTGTGGATTCATGGGATATTACTAGATATCTATGAGATTTTGTATTGTGATAACAGGTAACCCTATTTCACCTTAAATTCGGAGTCAAACCTCTTTGTGGTAAATGAGTTAGTTAACTTATTACTAAATAGGAATCTTAGCAGTCTTCCTGGGGGTGATGACAGATATAGTCCAATACCTCTAAAGAACAGCAGAGATACTGTTATCCACCACCAACTTTTCTATTTCCACTTACACAAGTCAAGTGCCATTGTTTCTCTCTTGTTCACATGTAACCTCCTTTGAAATCGACTGAAGCAGAAACTGTCTCTTTGGAAAGGGATTTATACTCTGTTGTAAGCTGTAGCTGGGTAGCTCATTCTTGGTTATGTTTTTGCTGTACCATTTAGCATAATGCTGTTGTCCAGCTGTTGCATACATTTCCTGAATTAAACCAACTCTTACAGTACTCTGTCTGATCTCTCTGTGTATAAATTCACCTTGAAACACAGGATCCCAATAAAGGGAGCAAAGGATTAAACTGCAAATCTCAATGAATGGTTGGAAGAATTCCTGTTACCATGCCTCTTCCTTGAGTATAGTCCAAGAGTTGCCTTTTTCCCTCCTTTGGTATATTTTAATTGCCTTAAATATAATATGAACCCATAACAACTATAAATTATTCACAAGAGTATTCATAGAGGACATGTATAAATCTTAAGCCCAACATAAGTTCGAGCGATTCTTTTGTTCCCTCTTTTTGAGTTAAGGATTTGTCATATACAAAGCTTAAACAGAAGACACCAAAACATTAAAAAGGCAGTAATTTGTATAGACAAGAAATAATACAGCATTGTGAGCATTATCGTATCCTTTCGGCTTTCCTTGGGTATACAGCAGCTACAGCATATGTGCTCTCTTTGACAGTTGTTTATTCTTTTATTTAGTAGGGAAGGAAGAATAGAGAACTTGTTGCTGCTTTTCTTTGCTGTCTCTGAACTTGTTTGTCAGCTGTCAAGCCTGCATATTTTCTGAATGAATGACTTGCTTAGCTATTGCGTCTCCGGTTAACTTAGCTTTAAATGGTTGAGCAGACTTCATTCTGCTGAATGCTTACGCATATCTTGATCTCTCTGGGGCTTCCTGAGCTGTTATGTGGAAATGAAATCTGGTGTAACTTTCCTCTGCATGTTTGCCCAGATATTACACTTGGAATTCTGTGGAATTTTAAAAATAGTATTGTCTTGATAGATTGAGAGAGAGAAATATTGCAAGTGGTGCATTTTCAACATATCAAAAGCCTTGTCGTAAAGCAGAGTCCTGTGTTCAGGTTCAATCTCTTTTTCCTTCTTTCTTTCTCTGTCTCTTATTTTATCTCCTCATTTACCATTATGTTCCATGGGTTGGTATGCCATGTTGGAGTCGTTCCAAGTCTTTCCCCAACTTCAGTGTTCTTTTTTAAATTCAGTTTTATAAATCATCTGCAGGCTGAACCTCAATCCTTTTGGCCTTCTCTTTTGGTTTTCCATCGTAAAAGCACCTGCAGCAAAAGCTGCAAGCTATGATCATCATTGAAAGTATCGTAACTGAAAGGTGAAAGAAGACAAAGAATATTGGCTTTGGAAATGGACCAGAAATGAGAACCAGCCCAGCCCACTATGCAGCGAGTAGAGCAGATGTATTCCAGATGTAGCTTTGGAAAGTAATTTCTGAGATAGCTTATAATGCCAACAAAATACTAGTTGGTAAGAATTATTACGTTTGATATTCAAATTATAAATTAGGGCTTAGTGTTTTTAATTGTTGAGCTTCTTGGGCTTAAAGTTGTTGTTATGCTTCCTGCCACATTCAGTGAGGAAATGTGGAAGGAGAGGTAGGTATAGCTGAATGCCTGGTGCAGAAAAAGCCTAAGCAAAGTGTTTGGGTATGTGCACATCCCACCCTTCTCCTTATACATAGACATGAGGAGAATTTTAGTGGATTTAGTTTCACTTCCCACAAATCCTGGGTTTTCCTCTTCTCCGGGCCACTCAGAAGGGGAGGAATAGACTCAACAATTTGCTTAGATTTGTTCAGGCTAGTCTGCCAGCCTCTCCTTTTTACACTTTAACTTATTCTTCAGCTGCTTTTATTTATGGTTATATTCCTAAAAATTAATGGGCCTTAATTAAATGTTCATTTGTTCTGTGAACTCTTTTACTCCTCCTGATCTAGTTTAGAGCTGGTTCAAATATGCACATGTTATTAGAATATTTCAGAAGTAAATATGTTCCATGGAAATATAATCCCAGACATTTCATATTGCTCCACACAATCTGCTTCCTAATGCTTCAAGTATCCCTTCTTTTTACAGTGATAAATGCCCAGTTATAAGTGTGTATACTTTGGTATAATGTTGAGATGTGTATCTTTACAATTAAAGGTAGTCTTCGCTTAGTGGCCACAATTGGGACTGGCAACCTGGTCATTAAGCAAAGCAGTTGCTAAGTGAAACCATTCTAATGATCTTAGTTCAGCTTTCCTTTGCTTTACAAACCAGCGAACATCACAAATGAGAGGTCTGGTGGTAAAGTTACTTTTTTGCTACTGTTGTAACTATTAATAGTCATTAAACAAGGACTATCTATGCTTAGTGTTTATAATCTGGAACAAAAATGATGCTAGGACAGGTTTTAAATCAGAAGCCTTATTCTCATAATTCTTACTTTGTTGATTGACCATGCTGATTTGGAATAAATAGTAGGCATTGTAGCCCTGCATATCTGAAGCCATCCAGTTCAAAAAGCTTGGTTTAAATATTGTATACATGTTACCATATTGAAAAGCTTTGCTGTATTGCACTATACATAAAGACTTAGATTATCCCATTCTAAATTAAAGCATTTAGTTTCTTCTGAACTTTATAGTCTTTAACAAATCAGAAAAGATTTAAATTACAGAATAAGCTTATGAAATAGTACTATTTAGAGCTCCTGTCAAACATGGTAGCTGAACCCAGATCTGTTGCAAGCATCAGGAAGGTGTATACTTACCAATGAATAAGATAATAATAAAAAAACAGACAATCTCCAGTGGGTCAGCTTTGGGTAGTCTCCGGAGTTTAAGCCATAATTTGTAACCAATAGCATTGAGCTCCGTCTGAAACTCTTTGAAGGACATTCTGCTGTTCTCAGTCGACACCTTGCAGCACTGGGGCACAGAGAGGAAGGTAGAAAATGTGTTTTGCTTTAGTGTCAGCTTGGGAATGCCAGGAAAAAGACCTGCCTTTTATTTGAAGCCAGCAAAAAAACAAGATCATTAACAAAACAAGTTTATCCGGGCTGTGCCCTAGGATTTTCAGACAGCTGCTTGGATGAAGGTTCTCCAAAGTTATCGAAACATAAAAATACATTGAAAGCAATCAAATGCTAATTTGCATTTGCCTCATTTTAGAGTTGTAGCACGAGTGTGGCATCTCCTTGTATAGAGCCCAAACAATTAATCATGGGCATATGTGTTTATTTAAAGTATGTGTGTTGTGTCTTCATAGTACATTATCAATGGTTTGTTCTATTGACAGCACGCTGACAGTTAAGGAGGGCTTATAATTCACTTGCTGACTTTTCTTGATCTTCCATTGAGAAAATAATCTGTTAGTGCTCCAGTTACTTCCATCTCAAAGTAAAGCAAGCTTGGAGCAAATCCAGCCTGAAGTGCATCATATTGCCTTTCACATAGTAAATGATGTTCTAAGTTCTACATTCCATTCCACTAAGAAGTATTTGTTTCTGTTCCAGAGTTGTTGGGGTTCTATCTGGTACATTCCAAAACGTCTAGTTTAAGAGTGGCATCACTATTTCATTCTGAATGTTTTGTTCAGTGCTATTTTATAGTATAATTCAGATTAGATATATTCTAAAATATAGCACAGAAATTATGAAGGTGTATATACTACCAGAAAATAATAAGAAAGGGACCACAGAGAAAACATCTGTTACAATTTCATTCTTTTTGACCTAGCTACCAATTTGTTGTGAACTATGTATTGCCTTAAAGCTGTAAAAAATGACAGTGTAATAGCATGTAATATAATTAAAATCTCAGAGAAACTCCTTAACCTAAGGAATTAGACTAGCTTCAATTATAGTATTAGTGACATTTAACTTGGAAATGGATTTTGGCTACAGATGGTGGGGGAGATCAGGCAGTTTGAGAAAATTACCCTATCATTTGGACAGACAGTGCTTCCACTTACCCTCCCCTGGCAACTCAGAACATCATATTTTTTTTACCTTGAAATATAGGCATATTTCTAAGCAAACGGGTAGTTACATGGAAGTCCAGAGATGTAGTTTTGAATAAAGAAAATGCTTGACACCAGTGCTTTCAAATGAGACTCAAGGAAGATTGTTGGATGCTGAAACAGGTGCCCATAAAATAAATTGCCTATAGACATCTCATAACCTACAATTATATTTATGTGAGGTTCTTGTTATGGTATACCTTGTATTGCTTATTTTTTATTTTAAATGATAAATGCATGTGGTTTTATACTCTACGTGTTGGCAGAAATATGGGAATTAAATTCATAAATACCTAAAATCTTTCAAGATTGAATCAGTAATTGCTAGCATTATGTCAAAATAATGCTGATTTTTTTCTTGTATATCTTGTATATCATGAATTAGAGGATTATTATCTAAGCAGTGTGTTAAGGTATTTAATAGCTGAAACAGTAAAGTGATTAATAGGCCAGAACTTACAGTGATAGTTGATTGGTTGAAGAGTATGAGCTCCTGAATGGTACAATCTATGTTATGATTGGTTGCTGGATATAAAAGGGAAGTTTCCCCTTTTCCTGCCTTCTTTCTTCTGCATGCTCTGTATGCTGATCTGTGATTTACCTGATGATTTACCTCACAATATAGTGATGTGCCTGACTATCTTATTTGCTGTAAATATAGATGTTAAATATATTTATTTATATAAAACTACAGCATCTCTGACTCATTTGGACACCTGCTGCGCAATTCCCTGACATGTTATGGGCCCAGAAGCATAAAAAATTCTCTGAAGTAGGGCTCAGAGAAAGGTTGAGGATTATTGGCCTGTAAAGATATCCCAGTGCTATCTGTTACGGGAATGGGAGGAAGATTTCCTTTGGCTCATCTTAATAGGACAAATTATCTCTCATAGAGCCTAAAATTGCAGATGTTTCTGTGGAGGGAAGATTTGTGGACAACTATAAGCAATCCTCCAGCAGATCTCAATGAGGAACAGCAAAAACTAAATGAAAAAGCACTAACCAGCATTCTTTTGTGCTTGGAAGATAGTCAGGTGCCTTACGCAGAATTTTATGTCAGGGAGACGACATGCAGCAAAGTAACTCTCACCAAAAATTTTTAGAGAGCAAGGCTACAGATCACCTCCAGTTCATGAGGAAAACCTTCCACAAATTAGAAGAACAAGGAATGGTGTTTTCAGAAGCGCACAAACTGTATGTTGTGCTGAGCTCCCTTGATGATACATGGGACATATTGGTAGCAAGCGTTGAGTTCATAAATGAGAATGATTTAATTGAGTTATGTAACTGGGAGGCTTTTGGAAGAAGAACAGAAAAGATTAGAAAGAAACAAATGATATTAATATACAGCTCAGTCAAAATGAGCGCATTCCAGAGTGATAACAAAATGTGAGAGAAAGTCTGTTTAGTAAAACGCTGCTTTGCATGTGGATCCACTCAACATTTCCAGAGAAATTGATCAGTAAGAAGATTAGAAGAAACAAACAGGAGAGAAATGGCACAACAACAGAAGAAGGAAGACACACAGGTTTCTGTGGTGAAAGCAAAAAACAAAGACATTAAAGACATTTAGTTGTTGAAGGTGGGGCAAGTGACCATATTGTAATAATGGATCCTTCCTAGACATCCTGATCTAGGAGGACCACAAAACTTTTTTCTAGTCTGGGACCAGTTGCCCAGGAATACGTGAGCCTGGCAAATAGTAATAATTATTTTGCCCAGGAGCAAGGAACAGTATATGTACCATGTATTGGTAAGTCGTTTGATAAGGTTTTGTATGTACCAGATTTAGATCACAATTTGCTGAGTGTGTCTTGCTTAGAGAATGAAGGGTATGACGGAATTTTTGTAAAGGGTACAGCAGAGTCCTAAAGAATAATAGATTGTGTGCACAAGGTTTGAAACTGAAAAATTTATATAATTTGTACCACAAGGAAACTAGTGACAGTGTGCAAACAATAATTTCTAATGAACCAAAGCATAATGAGTGTGCATATTTATTACACAGAAGACTGGGTCATGCAAGCTTTAAAGTATTACAGAAAATGTCTGACTTGGCTGTAGGTTTTAATGTAAAAGATTGTGACAACTATTTGGATTGTGTTATTTGCAAAGAGGCCAAATTGAAAGTATACCATGTCAGCAAAAGAAGTAATAGGAAATCTACTTCCGGTTTTGCGTGGTAGTGACCAGTTGCGGGCTTGCGGATTCTCCACACTCCTGCAGCTAATTTTACCCTACCAGGGGACACTAAATGGGTCTAAGTCACCCCAGAGCAGTGGCAAAGAAAGAGGGGTGCCCCAGTGATTCTGGAACAGTGGTGGCTGTTCTGTTCGACTTGGGGAAAGTCTTCTAATCTGACAGCAGAAAGGCTGGCCGTACTTCATCAACCAGCCCAAGCTACTAGCAACTGAAGTCCAAAAGTACTAACCAGCACAACTGTGAACAGCGTGCTTGAAACTGGGTGAGGAATTCAATGTTCTCTTTTCTATTCTATATTTAATTTCCTGGAAAAGATCCCCAAGAAGCAAAATACCTCTGAAAGGGAAGGAGGGGGATTTCCGCCCCATTCTTATACTAATGGAAGCAGCAAATTAATCTTTCTATGGAGGATCAAAATATATGGAAATGAAATAAATATAAAACCTGAAATATAAAACTTAAATCTGGATAAATCTAAAATTGTTTGAATGGTTAAGACTCTCATTTTAAAGATAATTATTCATTTTGGAAATTGAAAAACAAATAGTTGCTGGAATCTAGTGGTGGATGAAGACTATGACAGCTATAACTTTAATATTAGACTTGGCAAAACCTGGGAAAAGCTAATCTGTATTTGTGACCTTCAAAGCTTTAACAACAAAGAACAGCTGTGACAAAAAAAAGACAATAATCTGGGCTGTAGACAAAGAGAGAATTATAAATTTCAGAAAAAAATTTTTTTTTGAACTATTTGGATTACAAATATCTATTTAATTGGGACTTAAAGCTATTTGCAGAAAAAAGAAAGGAAGAGAAAAACTCAAATTCTTGGCCATCATGGATCAGAGACATGTAGTATCAGGAAAACATAAATACTCCACAGAAGGAGATATATAGTATACTGTAACTAATTCAAACAACGGTGACTTTAAACCACAAAGAAATCCAAAATAACTTTGAAAATATAAATCAATCTATTTCCAAGTTAACTCTACAACAAAAAAATTCCCAGAAAACAACAACAGAGAAGGAGCAGATAAAACAAATAAACAGATATAGAATTGAAAATAGACTTAAAGATGGAACTTAACAAAACAAGGTAACATGATTTAATCCTAGTGGGGAAAAAAATTACAAGAATTGGAAAAATCAACTTATCCCTTAAGACTACAAAATAAATCTGAGGACAAGAAAAGATTGGATAAAATGGACTTAGAGATGTCAGGAACATCGGAGAGAAAGGAAATGATAAGAGAAGCAGAGAGAAAGAAAAAGATTTTCAACAAACATGGAAAGGCAGAAGTCCCGTACAAAGACACTTCACTTGATTTACTTTTTATATCTACATAACATTTACGAACATATGGAAAAACTTTTTGATTCAGCAAAATACATTGATTAAGAAAGATACTGGGCAAAGGAAAAAGACTAAAGTGGAAAATAGACAATGGGACTTAACCAGAGAGAATAATTAAAAAAGAAACATTTGTTTGAATATGATTAAAGAAATAGAAAGGATTTGAAATATATATGTCATTTTAAGAGGGATGAATTCCCTAAATAATATAGTATGCTTGTTTCCCTTTTTTATTCTCTTTCTTAATATGAGTAATATAAAAAAGTTGAAATGACTTAGATAAAGGAAATATTTTAGATATTTAAATGTGATCGAATTTAAGAAAATTATAATGCATAAACTGTTTTGAATAAGAGTTAAAGGACTAGATGACTAGATGTATTAAATGGAATATTTAAAGATTAAACATATTTTAATTATGGTTAAAAAGAATAAGAAATTTTGGAAACAAATATATATTAGCTTAGAAGGGATATATATTTTAAGTAGTACGTTATTTTTATGTTTTTTTACTCTTGCTCTCCTTTTTTTACTGTTTTGTCTATTCCTTAAGAAATGTAAAAGTGTGAGATGGTTCATATGGAAAAAATAGAGTTAAATTTTTAAATGTAATAAATTTTTGAGAATTTATTAATTAATTAATAATTAATTAAGAATACCTAGAATTTGGTGGGAGAAACAAATTAAAATAAGGACTGTAACAGGATTTATTATAAGGCAACCAGCATGATTGGATAGAAAAGAAATATTATATTGATGTGATTATTATTTTTAGGAATATTGGTAAAATTATATATTTAATTGTTATCTATCAAAATAATAAGAACTGTACTAACTCATAGATGATATTTTGGGAAAAGAGGAAATCAACTAAAACCATTATGTGGATTATGGATTATAGAAATCAATTGTTAGTGATTGTTTTACAAATGTAAACCCGAACAACACACTGTTCACCAATTATTAAGTGATTTATGTTTTTAAAAAATCAGTAAAATATATCACACAAAAAAAGAAATGATAGGCATTTTTCAGTTAGTACATGCTGATTTAATTGCCCCTTTATCTCCATCAATGGGATGGGCCAAATTTGCTTTGGTAATTGATGATTTCCCAAAAATATGGGTTTTGTTATTTACTAGAATGCAAAACAGAAGTGTTTCAACAATTTAAGCAGTGGGTAGTATTTGTAGAGAGGAGGTATATTCAAAGGGTATGTCAACTACAAACAGACAGAGGAACAGAGTTCATGTCTAATATGTTTCAGCTGTGGCTGAGAAAGAAAGGCATAATTCATAGAAGAATGAACCCCTACACTTCGGCAGAGAATAGAGTTGCTGAATGCAGGACTGGTGTGTTACATTATTAATTAAACTATTAATGAAACTCCATATTACATGTTATATAAGACAAGCATCCTTGGCACATTTAAGAATCTTTAGCAGCAATGCATGGGTACACATTCCCAAGACAATTAGAAGGAAAGGACAGTCAAAGGCAAGGAAAATGAAATGTATAAGTTATCAATCAGGATCAAAGGCATATAGATTTACAGATGGACCTAAAAATGTTATTATCTCACGGTCTGCAATTTTTTCAGAACATGAGAATTGGGAAAAGGTATGTGCCAGTAGTGAAATTTTAATGCCTCTTAGTCAAAGGTCTCCAATGAATTCACAAAGGCAAGTTAAACAGGAATGCTTTGAGAGTGAGATTCCAGTGAAACAGGAACAGTTTATTCCAAAGAGGTGTAAAAGAGCAAATAAAGGTGTTCATAAAAATTCACAGATGAGGAGGTAAAAGTATGTAACATCTTTTATGAGCCCCAAAATTATCTAGAAGTATTAAATTTATCTCTGGCAGAACAAAAGAAATGGAAAGAGGCTATAGATAAAGAAATGTTGTATATGCAAAAACATAAAGTTTTCATTCCAGTGAGGTTACCAGAGGGAGAAAAAGCTGTTGGGTGAAGAAACTTTTGATGAATGATGAAATACAGTATAAAGCAGGGTTAGTTGCTCAAAGCCTACACGAGTCTGGTTAGGAATTAAAGGAATACTATGTTATTTAAAAGGAACATGGATTTTTGATTACATTTGCAACCATCAAATGAATTTGAATTGAAATGTTCTGTAGACAGTGATTGGTCTAATGATGTACAAAATAGAAAGTCAGTGTCAGGATTTGTCCTAATGTTTGCAAACACACTAGCTGATTGAAAATCTAGAAAACAGGTTTCAATTACAATTTCCACAGCTGAGGCGGAATTCATAGCATTGTCAGAATTGTGTTTAGAGTTAACATGGTCTATACAATTGTTAAAGGATTTGGATATTGAAGTGAAAGGAGCTATAGTAGTATTTGAACATAACACAACATATATACAAATGGCAACAGGTGAGAGAGTAAAAACCACAAGCAAGCTTGATGACATAAAATATTGTAATGTCAGAGAAGCAGTGAAAGAAAATATAATAGACCTAATTTATTGTCCATCAGAAAACAATTTAGCTGATGTCATGATAAAACCATTGAATATACAAAGAAACAAAGATCTTGTGAAACAACTTGATTGAATACTGTCCAGCTATAAATTGGAGATATTTTTGACATGGTGCTATTGTTTGGTCATTTCTGTTTTCTATGCTGTTTTTTGACTGAAACCAAGAAGAAGGAATGAGAATGAAATACAATACTTTAGTTTTATCACTTTAATCTTATATTTTATATTCATATTCTATCAAGAGGTACGATGAGGGACAGGATGGCAAGTGTTTTCTGTGTGGGATGCCCTCCTTTGGTAAAGCCTGCCCCACCTGGCGAGGATCGCTCCCATGCTGCTTCCAAGGGGCTTGTAAAAACCTGATCTATTAGGCAGATCAGTCTAGATAACAAATTGCTGCTTTTTCTCAAAAATAAGTATTAATTGTTGCACTCTGCATGTTTTTCTTTCTTTCTGCAGATGTACAGAATATTTTTTTTTTATTCTGGACATTAGTCATGTTAATGTTACAAGGCTGAGTTGGTTCTGGGAGTTCTTTCTGCATAAAATATCAGTTTGTATCTCTGTTAATTGTCACATAGATTGGTGTTTAGATAAGCAAAGTTAGGAAATGGGATAGCAGGGATCCTAGAAATGCTCTTTATTGTCGTAGGACCTAGTAGCAGAGTCTTGAAAGCCTCTTAAGAGGTTCTCTGTTCCACATATTAATCTTAAACAAAATGAAAACAGAGTTAATTTAGAACTCCATTCCCACACTTTTTATGTTTCCACAGTTGAGCTGCTGTTTCGCCTACCTTAACATTTAATTGGTCCCTTTTCCTTCTCAAGGCTTTCCAAGACCAGGTCTATATCATGCTTAAAGTGAGGTGAAAAAAAATTGGTTAAAAATTAGAATTAGGGTATTTGTTCCATGCATTTGTAATGAGTAATGTCTAAAGAACTACCAGATATTTATGAAACAAAAACAAAAGTTTGATATTTTTTTATGAAGGCACAGTGTAGATGTTACAATAAGAAAGCCATAGCTCGGGCATGAAAAGATATAAAAATGTCAGAGGAAAAATGTGTATATTCAGCATGTGATTTTAATGCATGTTCACTGGAATTAAGCTCTGAAGCTGTTACAGAAGCAAACCATGTGAAATTAAGCTAATGTTGGAATGGCTTTGGCAATTTTGTAAAAGGCAAGGAATCATTTTGTAAAAGGCAAGACAAATTTTGAAACCCCGCAGGCGGAGAGAAAACCGTTCATGAAAATTTTTTAAAAGCTCAATTGATTATGAAGGTATCATACTCCCACTGTTTATAGGCCAACAAGAGTGGTTGGAGGTAGTCCTCGGCTTACGATCACAGTTGGGTGCAAAATTTCAGTTGCTAAGCAAGGTGTCTTGTTAAGTGAGTCGCACCCCATTTTACGACTTTTTGCACAGTTGTTAAGTGAATCACTGCAGGTGTTAAGTGAATTATGCAGTCATTAAGCAAAATCTGGTCTTCCCACATTGACCTTGCTTGTTGTAAGTTGGCTGGGAAGGTTGCAGTTAGTGATCATATGACCCCATGATGGTGCAACTGTGATAAATACATGCCAATTGCCAAGTGCCCAAATATTGATCACATGATCACAGGCATGCTGCAATGGTTGTGTGAAAACCAGTCATAAGTCATTTTTTTTCAATGCCATTATAACTTCGAACAGTCACTAAACAAACAGTTGTAAGTCAAAGACTACCTATATTTCTAGCATTCCCAAGCATACCTTCAAATGTGAAATGTCAATTTTAGGTCAAAAGCTAACTTAAGGATTTGAATTGGGAAAAATCTAATCAAGTTTTTAGGATTTAGCGTGAGAAAGTAAAAAATGTATCCTTGCAAGGCTTAGGAAAAATTTGGGGCATATGATAAATAATGTTGGCTTGTGGAATTGCAGGTAAAGGAGACTTATTTTTTCCTAAATTTTATATATTGATATTTTTAGATGTAGACTTCCTTTGCAAAGCCTATTTTTATATGTAGATTTCCATTGCAGTACCTATTAAGCAATGAAAAAATGCTAGACTAACACAGTGAACTGCATATAAAGCATATTCTGGAACTAGATAATTTAATAACAAGTTGGGAATTCTGCATTAGATTTCCTTTTATAAATTATGGTTGGGAATTTGGAGAACTCTCATTCTCCACTTAGATGCAGCTTTTAAAGCCAAAATTATGAATTTATTTGCTTATTCCAAGCAAAATACATAATAAGCACTATTATGCACTATTGTGTACCATTTCATTAAAAAACAATTCTCCATAGAAAAATCCAGCCACTTTAAAACAAGCTGTTCTTAAGCTAGATCAGGGGTTCTCAACCTTGGTAACTTTAAGACTTGTGGACTTCAACTCCCAGAATTCCTCAGCCAGCTTTGCTGGCTGAGGAATTCTGGGAATTGAAGTCCACAAGTCTTAAAGTTGCCAAGGTTGAGAACCCCTGAGCTAGATTTATTTTCTTTGAATGCCATTTTCCTCAGTGAAATGCAATAACAGGTCAGCTCATACGAATATTCATTACAGTGTAAAGCAGTCTTAATATTTTGCTTACATAATGGTAAGCTATAGTAATGTTTTTAAACTTGTTTTTCCTGTATGCTTTCCTGTCAGGTGGTAATGAATTGCAGACAGATATGTAGGTATCCTCAACCTTTAGGTTGCTTCTCTCTGAACCCTGATGATGGAGCAGACATCTTTCTCCAGAATATGTCTATAGAAGGAAGTCATTCTTCAGAAGTTCACTATCCTTGACAGCAGCTTATTGATCCTAAGACTCCACTAAGTGAAATACACTGTTTTGTGCAGAGCCCCCTCACCAACTTAATGTCGGCATCTGCTCTACCTTTGTTTCATAGAGGCACTACTGGTTTGAGTGGGCAGTCCTATAGGTGTCCAGGTGCCAAGTCATAAAAGGCTTTATAGGTTGAAAACAATGTCCTAAATAGTACCTGAAAACCAATAGGCAACCAAGGCAAGGTCTGGAAAACCAAGTGTTGTATATTATCACATTTAGGAGGCCAGAAGTTATGAGTCACTGTATTTTGAACTAATTGTAATTTCTGAATAGCCTCTAAACACTGTCCCAAATGGAGTACCTTACAGTAGTCTAACTGGGTAGTGATGAGGTAGTGAGTTACTGTACTGTAGCCAGGTTCTTCTGTCCCAGGCTCAGGGCATAGCTGGCACACAAGACCTTCTGGCAATAGCTTCCATCTGCTGTTCTAGCAGGAGCTGCAAATCCACAAGGATCCTGAGTGGTGAGCCTGTTCTCTGCCAAGTATTGCTTGCCCATTAAGAAGGCAACAACAGTAACTCTGACTTACTTGGGTTCAGCTTCAGTGTGCTCACTCCCAAAAACACCTTGATTGCCTCCAGACACCAGGCAAGAATGACAACAGCATCTCCCTCGTGACCTGGGGTGGTGATATACAGTTGGTTATCATGAGAGCTCAGGCATTCCTTTCTTTATGACCATTTGTTCAGTGACCATTCAGGACTTACCGTAGCACTCTATGGTTGTGGAAGTGAGGGGGCTGATATAAAGGCTTGAGTGTAGTTCAGGTTGCTGGTTATCACCTTTAAAACTATATAGCAGTGGTTCTCAACCTTTTTAATGCCTCAACCCCCCAACCGGTCATAAGCCGAGGACTAAACCGGTCGTAAGTCAAGAACTAAACCGGTCGTAAGTCGAGGATTTTCCTGCCCGGGAGCGCCGCACATGCGTGGTGCCGCCCCCTGCGCCAGCCGAGGCGTAGATGGCAAGCAGCAGAGATGGAGCAGGCCGACCACCGGCTGGGCCACCAGCTGGCCCAGCCCAAGGGAGGTAAGGCACCCGCCGGAAAAGGGGAAAAAATGGCGGACAGCCTGGCGACCCCATGAAATGGTCGATCGACCCCAAATGGGGTCGCGACCCATAGGTTGAGAACTGCTACTATATAGCATGGGACCTGGTTATTTGTGGGGTTGTCTTTTCCTAAGATTGTCCATCTGTCTCACTAGATCAAATTGGATGGCCATGCATCAGATCCCTTCTCTGAAATCTTGCCATCTCCAAATTCCATCATTGCACATTTTTTTTCATATGTTTGTTGGATAATATCAAGTAAAGAATAACATCTTCTACTCTCCTCCACTTTCTGAAGGAGAAAATTGGTGTCAAGTAATAAATTTAATGCAAGGACCATGGTTGACATGGTTTGCTCTTCCAGCAGAAGTTGGGGCAGTTAAACTGCTCCATCATTATTATTACTGTATCTTTTTGAAAGATGTACAATTTGTTTTTGTAAAGCAGTGGTTCTCAACCTGTGGGTCGGGACCCCATTTGGGGTCGAACGACCATTTCACGGGGGTCGCCAAACAACGCAATCCGCCATTTTTTCCCCTTTTCCTTAGCTGTGCTACTCCCTTTTATTCTATTGGCTTTTGAAAGCCAATAGAATAGACTCTCTTGAATAGAGTCTAATTCTATTGGCTTTCAAAAGCCAATAGGAATTGTCCAGGCTGTCTCTGCCCTGCTGAGCCCGCCAAAAGTCCCATTCTGCAAACGGTGCTGCAAGTTGTCTGCAGCGAAGGCGAGCTGTCTGGAAGTTTCCACCCCTCCCTGCTGAGCAACTACTAAAAATGTAAGTAAAAGAGGGCCAGGGATGGGAGGTGGGAGGCCGGCGGGTGCAGGGAGGGTTGCTGGCATGCGTGGGGCCCGGTGAGTGCCTTACCTCCCTTGGGCTGGGCCAGCTGGTGGCCCAGCCGGTGGTCGGCCTGTGCCATCTCTGCCGCTTGCCAGCTACGCCTCGGCTGGCGCAGGGGGGGACACCACGCATGTGTGGCGCTCCCGGGCAGGGAAAGTCCTTGACTTACGACCGGTTGGGTAGTCCTTGACTTACGACCGGTTGGGTAGTCCTCGACATACGACCGGTTGGGCTTGCGGCATTAAAAAGGTTGAGAACCACTGTTGTAAAGTATTATCCAAATTCCTTCGTTAGGAATAAAGGTACCAATAACAATATGATTTTGTTAATGCAGCCACTTATTTTAATCCAGATGTTCTCTACTGTTCTTTCACTTAGATTGCTGCTCTGATGCAGTTATTTTTTCATACACAGGGCAACGCCTCCCATTTTATTACTACAGGTAATCCCCGAGTTATGAGCATTCACTTAATGCTCATTCAAAGTTACATAATGAGCGCCCCCTAGTGCTTACGAGCAAGTCCCGAAGTTATGAATATTGCAGCACCACGGCATTTGTTCGCACTTATGAGTGACATTCACCCTGGTTATTCCCTCCTTCCCCACCCCCGCCCCGGGTCTCCCTAGGCACCAAGCCTTCAACCCTGTGAAGATCAAGATCCTTTGATTTTGTGGCTGCTCCAGGCCTTTGGTGCATTTGCAGAGAATGGAGGCCTAAAGTAATGCAAGATCACGTGAGATCAGTGGGGCAAGATCTCATGCAACTGAACTCGCCTGATCTCATGGTACTTTAGGCCTCTGTTCTCTGCAGCAGAATGGAACCAAAGATGGGGGGTGCTTCCATGTGCCTCCCGATGCTGGATCGGGGCTCTGAAGGTCTTTTCCAGGCCGTTCCTGCCCAAATTTGAGGCTGGGGGACACTTCTGTGCCCCCTGCCTATGGCCCGATCTGGGCTTCGGGGGCCTTTTCCAGCCCCGATCGGGCCGCAAGGGCTGCAGAAGCGTCCCCTGGCCTGAGTTATGGGGGGGGGGCGGCAGCCTGGAAAAGGCCCCCAGAGCCTGGATTGGGCCACGGGGGGCACGGAAGTGTTCTCCAGCCTTAGGTCTAGGCAGCAGCAGGAACCGCAGCAGAGAAGAGACGGATCTTTTCCAGGTGAGTCTGGCGTGGCAGGAAGGGAGGGGGAAGCATGTGGTATCTTAGTGGGTTGGGGAGGCCTTGGAGGCCTGTTCCATCACTAGGCCCTCTATGGCCTTCCCCACCCTGAGATGCCTCATGTTTGCTTAACATGTGTTTTAACGAGCAAGGGAATAATCTCGTTTGAGGTACGAATCTCTACGAGTTTTTAAGTTATGAGTGTAATGGGCAGGCTCCATTACACTTGTAACTCGAGGACTACCTGTATGGGAAAAATCTTCAACCTATAGCATGAGAAGAATATGACTGAAGTTCTTGTTAAGGAGACTATAATAATTGTAATGATAAGCATAGTACATTTATAGCCATCTGTGAATTAGGACACCAATACTTATACTGTCTTTGTGTTCGTTGAAAAAAAGTATAGTTGGTTAGTTATACTTTTCCCAGTTCTATCCAAATACCAGAAGGTCGTGAATAGAATAATTCTCCTTCACATTGAATGCAATATTTTGAGAGCACTGATTAGAACAAGTAACTAATTTGGCACTTTTAAAAATTCGAAGCTTTAGCTTTGGCATTTTTTGCCTGCCTGCCAAATGGCAATTGCTGTATGTGACCTGTGAAATACGAATGGGCAGGAGAAGAAATTTTTCAAAAGACTGAATGATCTGGATAATTGAATGATTTAGATAATTATAGTGATTTCTTCAACCAAAATAAAGCTATGTAGTTTACCACGTTTCATTACTGTCCAATCTGGATTTTATTTAGCTGTATTGTTCGCTGGATGTTCAGTCTGGCATTTGGCTGCCTTTGCCAGCAAAATATGCATATGCATCCACTACATGGGGGAAAATAGTTTCTTTAGGAGAATGATCCCATCAAAGGCTCTTATATGAGTGTGTGTGTGTTTGCTTATTTGTTTGTTTGTTTATTGGCTTATAATTTTATCCCCACAACTAGCAATAGAATGTGATACAGAATTGATTTTCTCACATTTTCCTTCGCTCTGCATTTTTTTCTAACTTGCAGAAAGACACGGAGATTGCTAGCTGAACTCTCTGAGAACTGCAATCCCCTCTCATTGAACTGAGTAGCTGGCATGTGGGATGAAGCATGGGGTTTTTTTTTTCTATTATATTCCACAAAAAAGGCAAGTTTTTCATTCAGACATATATACATTCCTTTTCTGTGCTGCCAAAAATCTAAAGAGAGAGGAAACTGATTAGGGGAAGATGAGTGTCTTTCTCTAAGCCACAGAATTAGTGGCTCCTGGTGACATTCTTTTATTAAAACTGCCAGTTGCTTATACTAAACAATTGGATGTGGGAAATGCATTGTTCATTTCCTCGCCTTATGTGCAGGAGCCCAATATGGTTTGACTAGCTTAAAAGAGCCTTTCTTAAATGTACTATTTTGAACAAAGCTTGTCTGTTGTAGGGAGTGGTTTGAGAATGGGCCCCGTTTGGGAAAATAAGGAAAGCTCTTTTAATTAGCAAAAATTTGTACAATATTTTTGTATCTGTTTTTGTATGCACATATTCCAGAATGCCTTAAATAACTTGCCTCAAGAAGCAGCACTGGATAACAAATCAGCAGGCTGTGATCATCTGCATACATTCAGATATTTGCTGGGGTGTTTCTACTATGGCCTGAGAGTGCTTTACCCATTGTTTTAAAGCACGGGTGTCAAACTGCCAGCCCACAGGCCGGCTGCATCATATGGAGGCCCTGCCCACCCCAGCTCCACAATGCAAAAAAAGTCATGATACATCGTGACACGTCACACGATGCGGCGAGTTTGACACCTGTGTTTTAAAGTGCTGTCTCTTAAAGTGAGTACAATGATACAGATATTCAAGAAGTGGCCAGTGTTATTTTCACAAAAGGGATCAAGTCCAAATACTTAGAGAAATAAAGGACAATACGTTTTTGTATTAATGTTTCATCTAGATATTGTTCAAAGTTTTTGTAAAGTGAATGATACTTTGCTAGCCTGTTGCTGTGCCTAGCCCTGGTAAAAGCTATTTGGTAGTTGTGTTTAAGAGCAGCAATTTAAAATGTGGGGACTCCAGCTTGTTGGCAGAAGAATTCTGAGAGTTGAAGTCCACGTATCTTAAAAGTTGCTAAGGCTGAAAAATACTACTTTAGAAGACTAAGAGGCCTCTTTACTACATGACAGCTGGCAATGCAAGCAAGGGCTTTTAGGTTGAGACATGTGTTTTAAATTGCATGTTTCCTTCTAACTGCTGCACACATTTCTGGCCAAATGTTGAATTCTTTTCTTTTCTTTTCTTTTGGTCACAGAATGTTGGACTGTTTTTCCTCCATCTTTTAGCCTTCTCTGGAATCTTTTTTATTTAGCCTTCCTTCCATTCTCTGTTTTCAGCTAACAGCAGCAAGAGGTCTTGCAAGAGAAAGACAGTAGTATTTTTCCTACTTAATTAAAAAAATAATAGTAATTTAATTGTCACCTCCTCTTTGCTGAATGTTCTAAATGTATCGCATAACAGATTACAAAAAAGAAAGAAAGATCACCCTAAGATCAGCTGGATCTACACTGAACCTGAATTTGTATCAAAGGTTTAAGGTGAATTAGGGAATTCTGGAAAAGGTCCTACTGTGGAGTATTTAGCTTGAGGCTTCTTTTCATCAAGACTGTAGACTTCTTTGAAACATTATGCTGTATTGTCACCCAGAAGTGATTGTAGAGCCATTACACTAGTAATAGTTTGACCTAATTAGCTTCATGTACAAAGGGGAAAAAGGGTTAATTTTTATCTCCACCAAAAGTAACTGAAGTATTTCAGTAAGGCAAATCCTTACTGAAGCAAACCTGCTTTCTGATGTGTTTGAGCAAATTGTCCGACTTTAAGCATAGAGACCTTATATGGTTAAAATGAGCCTCTTTACAATGTCTGAGTCCTGTAACAGTATTATTTAATTATTTCTTATGTTGTCACATACCTTATGACCAAGAGTCAGAAGGTTTGAGACTATGAGTTATCCCATATTTCACAGTTAACTAAACTGGAATCAAGGGTAATAATAGAGTTTTAAACCTCTGATTTATTGCCTATGTTGTTGCATATTTAGAAAAAGCTAATACAAAAAATAGTGTTGTGTTTTGGAAGCCTATATCGCCAACGCTCAGAATGAGAAAAACTTTAGTTTTCAGTCCTAGATTGTTATGGAAAAACAATTAACAACTGGAAAATTTATCCAGAAAAATGTAGAAGCAATAATGGCAAGAAATTTAAATGACTGATCTGTGCAGATGGAATTATTTATTATTTTGTACCCCACTTTCTTATTTTTGCAAATAATTCAAGATGGCAAATATATCCAGCATACCTTCCTCCTCGTATTTTCCTCACAAATTCAAATTTAGCTGACAGAAAAGGATTTCTAGGGACAAAATTGACTCACAGAAATCTGTCTAAAGATTAAGATATTCCTCAAAAGATTTTTCCATTGACCTCTTTCCTTTTGGAAGTGAAAGGAATATTAACTAGAAACACGGACTTTTCTTCCTGTGGGAGCTTGCCATTGAAATGTTTTGTATGATGCAAAAACAGGTTTTGTAGGCCTAATAAATTTCTCAGATTTTAAAGTTTAGGTTGTTCCAATTCTACTATATTAGTTTAACTTTGCCTTTATTATATTTATCATTAACAACTTTAAATGGAGGAATGATATATAATATAAATATAGTATATTTATATTATGTATAATATATTGAATTATATATAATTTAAATAACATAAAGGACTGCTTCACAATCCAGTTGAACCTTGCACATCTCAATTTTGGTTTTTGTTCTGTATTGTTCCTAACTAAATGTAGTCTGACAACTGTTGCCTCTGTTTTTATAGACTTCTGGATCTGTTTGTTTTGTTTGAGGCTGCTGTTACAGACTATCTTGAAACTACAGCTAATGCCAAATTCCTAAGAAGGCCTTTTTTTAAAAAAAAATTCTGTCGTTTAGCTGCCTGGGCCTCTCATTTTTTAAAATTAATTTCCCTATAACACTTTAGATTGTGGAGAAAATTACTATTTCTCAAGTAAATTTTGAAAATAAGTTTTGGAAGTCCTCAAACTAGGATTCAGATTATGTATAGTTAATCTTCTGCCATAGCTGACTATTAATTTTCTAAACAATAACTGCTGTGTAGGTACTTAAAATCTATAATTGTACTAGTTATTGGTATTAGCTGGAAGCTGATATTATGTGCTGGTGAAGTCAGGCTTGGATATAACCTGAAAGAAAATATCAAATTGTACCTCAATGTTCCTTTATAAAAGAACATTTTTCTTTCCTTTACACCAGGGGTGTCAAACTGCCGGCCCACAGGCCGGGCACGTCACACGGAAGCCACGCCTACCCCATTGGCGGCAATGGCAAAACTGTTCCGATACATTGCGCAACGTCAAATGATGTCGCAAGTTTGATATGTCTGCTTTAGACAAGTCTCCTCAATTTTCTCACAATTTGTTTTCTTGGGCAAAAGCTCTTCAGATTCAAAACTCTCTTTAAATCTTTTAAAGATGATAACCTGTTTCGGTTAAAATAATTATATATGTTATAGTATCTTGAAGGGTAACAAATATATTGGAACATTTGCTTTTATATGTATTTATTTAGAAAATGTATATGCTGCCAACTACATTGATGCCTTTGGCCAACTTACAGGATGCAATAATAACATACTAACCACATTTATTACAAACAAAATATAAAATAAGCTTCAAAAACTGTATTTTTTAAAAGATTTAGAAATCTTTTACATGAAGAAATGTAGTATATATATGTATAACCCTAAAAATAGGAATAAGAAAAAAATCAATTTATAGTATTAGATCAAGCCAATCAATGCATGTTTGGCCTCTTTCAAATACAGATCTTCCATAGTGAATAGTAAAATTAACTTTTAGGTGATGTTAGGTGAGTACCCAGGTTTATTTGTTAGCACAGGGTAAATGTGAGAACAGCCATATTTTTTATTATACACTAGTCTGTGTCAAGATTTCTTTAGGTCAAATTTACTGTGGAATTTATCAGAGCTTTGGGCTGGTTTTATTTTGAAGCTTTTCGGAGGAATCTTCTTACAGGTTATCCACGATGTTTGGAATGTCATCCTACAGGTTTCTGGGAGCTACCCTTTTAATGCTTTGGGGTTTTTTCTTACACAGAAATTTGCCAATCCAGAAAGGTTAGCAACAGGAGTATTGGCAGATGAGTATCGGCAAATATGACATGCTTTTGAATATGCAGATAGGCAAAACATTAATATTGCTGATCATTTTGGAACTGAATTTCTTCCTTATTGTACCTCCATGAGGTAGCCCATTGTGACTATGTCACTAATTGATTCAGTTACTTTTTTTCAAATACCTGCATTACTCAAACACCACACTAACCTGGCCAGTGCTTCCTAATAAATAAGCTCAGATTTCCATTAAAACTCCAGTCTGTTCTGAAATTATACTCTGCTTGGCTATGCACACTTCATAAGATATTTGAAAGAAGGGTTTCCGTCCTCAAGCAAGCACAGCGTCTCTGCTATTTGCTAGAGCAGTCCTAACCTGAGAAAAAGGTGTCACTGTTCTAAAGAATATTACTAAATGTAATGCAATATGAGCAGCTGAAACATTTTCCTTCACGTTGTCTACACAACGGTAATAATAAATTACACATCAACATAAATTGACATAGAACTCCTTGATAAAACTGACTTTGTTAAAAGCTATCTTCCCTTCTGTCGCTGCTGGAGAGTGAAGTGAAAACACACAAATTTTGATATTATTCTCCTACTTGTTACAATGACAATTTCAGTGAGTCAAATTTCAGTGGCTGTGCAACAGTAATAGAGTTCTCTTCTTGAAGACAAAGATTTCACCCTCTCAGGGGAAAAAAGTGCTACAATAAGGATTGGCAACTCCCAAAGTGTTCCTTCAACATCTATAGTTGATTTTCTGAAAGTGCCATATAAAGCGAGACTGGGAAATTCCTGAAAATATTTTCCAAAATTCTTGTTCGTAGTAGTAGTTCGTTTATTTAGAATAATGCCTACATTTCAAACCAGCAAGGAATATATGTTCCTTTATCTTGCATAAACAACTGTGGGTGCTCAAGTAGTAGTTGCTATTTTTCCTATTTAAGTTCTGGGTGCTGAGTTTCTAAGGAATAAGAATACAAGTCAACATGCAGAAACTGATCTGTTAGCATACTTTTCCTACAGCGCACAACTTTGCCAGCCTAGCAAAAAGCTTTTATCTCCCCACCCAGCACTCCCCTGCCCCGGTGTGTCCTTTCTACACACTTTCCTCTGGCAAGCTCCGTTTACAAATACTTACTATATAACTGTAAGTTGAACAGATCGGTCTTCCTCTGTGATTCTACTTGAGAAGAACTTTTCTCCAGCGGTGTTGAAGAACTTTCTGTTTTCTCTGTCCTTTTTTTTTTCTGTCATTGTCCTTTCATACCAGCTCCCATTGCATTTTTGATTCTCAACGCGTATCTCCTTCCTCTGTTTCTCTTATCCCTGTTACTGACAGCCAGCTGCTTTCTCTGCCTGCGTGTGCATGCGTGCATGCGTGCTGGCACTCTCTCTTTTTGTTGTTAGTAGTCCTGGAGATGTAAAGTTTCATATTACATGCTCACCGAGAAGGTGGGGGGGGGGGGACAACAACCGGAGTCTCACTATTGCCACAAGGTTCCCCAAATCAAGAGTTGTTGCAACTTTTTGTTGCAACTCCTGATTGCATCTGAGAAATTTCTTCAGCTCTTTTCTCTCACTGTCTGGGCAACTCTTGAGTTCTTTTCCACACCACTGGAGACTGCTAATTTTGTGACTGATGTTAGAAAAAGAATGACTTGCCCTTAGTAAAATCAACAGAATTGAAGAGATAACTGAAAGGCTCTTCCTCTACAGCAGGATACAAGAACATCTTTGCAGGCTTTTTTTTTTCCTGTGAAATACCCCATGAAAAAGAATCAAAAGACCCAATTTATGCAATGAGAGAGAGAGAGAGAGAGAGAGAGAGAAAGAGAGATTGATTCTGATTCCTTGTATTCTGAGTGTCTTCTTCTTCTTCTTCTTCTTCTTCTTCTTCTTCTTCTTCTTCTTCTTATTCTTCTTCTTCTTCTTCTTCTTCTTCTTCTTCTTCTTCTTCTTCTTCTTCTTCTTCTTCTTCTTCTTCTTATTCTTCTTCTTCTTCTTCTTCTTCTTCTTCTTCTTCTTCTTCTTCTTCTTCTTCTTCTCCTCCTCCTCCTCCTCCTCCTCCTCCTCCTCCTCCTTCTCCTCCCTCCTCCCTCCTCCCTGCTTCCCATCCCCTGCCTGAATCTAACACTTTGTAGAGAGTTTGCTGCCCTAAGGTCATGAATAAAGTATTCCAAAGAAAACCGCTCTGACTATTCTAAGACAGACCATCAGCCCCTTCTAGCCAAGAAACCAACTGGCAACTCCGGGCAGTTCTTGTAACTCTGCCAGAGATTGACCTTTTGAATTGAATCTGTAACTCCATTGCCTCCACCACTAATTAAAAACATTGCCTGCATTTTTATTAGCTGGTATCATTTTAAAGGTGAGAATATGGCTTTAGTTGTACATACTGAGTTCTTCTCTGTTATCTTGGAAGCCCTGTGGGAGTGCTAATAATTAAAAAACAAAGTTGTTCTCCTGGCTGTAACCAAATTATATTTTGTTTTTTGTTTTTTTCTTTTCTGGAGAGAGAAAAAAAAAATGGGACTGCCAAAGACTCTTAGCATTTCCAGCTGGGTAATGTTAGCAATTGCTAGGAGGGCATGAAGAAAAAAATTCAACCGGATAATCTTTCATTGGTTGTGAAAAGAGGCTTTCTTTTAGCCCAAGAACAGTGTGAGTCAGTGTCACTTTGCAGATCTGATAAGGGTAGCTTTGTAGCATTTTTTTCTCTTACACAGCCTAACTTTTTATATTCGGGGATTTCAAACCAACTGAGTATCTGATACAGATACAGCTTTCTCAACCTGGTGGGTACTATGTCGTCCTGTGTTAGCACAAACAGGTGTTTGTTTTATCTGTACATTTGCTGAAATAGTCCTGACTCTTGGAAAGTTTTACTCCCTCCTCCTTAGAATTCAGTAGAGAAATGCCTCAAAAGGCATTTTTTTTAAAATGCCACAAAAATGCTCTGCTACCATGGTTCATATCTTTCCAACATAAGCCTGTCTTCAAATGGAAGATGTTTTTGATTTTCATATTATTTGGAACGAAAAGTGCCAGTGCTTAGAAATATTGCAGGTGAACTCCTAGGATATTGTGCCTATCATAAGAAATATAAGAACTTATCAGTTCTAGCAGAAATGACAAACTGGTGTTCTTCTTTTACTACATTTCTTAATGGACATGCTGTGTAATAAACATGAGGCTACAAAAGAATATTTTAAATCAGTGCATTGATAAAATGAACCCTACATTTTTTGGGGGGTAATGCAGAAGGAGACAAAATATATCTTCAGTTTATGTGTTTATAACTGCATTTGTGGTGTGCTTGGAAATTAATATACTAGGAAATTTTTTTTTGAAAAACTCTATTAAATAGTAATTTCCACCTCATGAAGAGCCTGTGCTAAATGGCAAGGATGGAAATGAGAATGTTGGTTCATTGGCATTTGTCCTGTTGGTTTTTTTTAATGTTGTCAACAGAAATAGTTTATCCTTCTCCCAAAGGTATCTTTTAGCCCAGTCAACAAGGGCTGCTTTTTATTGACCTTTTATGGTCTGTACAGACAGTTCCATTCATCCAGCCATTAGGTGGTTCCTCTGACATGAACAGTATTCAGCATGTTTTTCCACTTGACACTCTGCCCAACAACATTCATAAGAACATATATGGAGGGAAAGGTTAATATGAACTAACCCTGAAACAAGCCCTCAGTGTAATTTTAAATGCCTGTGGTTTTGATGTGTTACAACTGCCTTTATAATTTCTGGTTATAGATTAGTAGGAGAGGTTGTCAACAGATTGCTAAAGTTACCAAACTGTATATTCAAATAATCTCAAAATAGAATGCTAGCATTTTTCAGTGGTCTAGAAAACATAGAAAGCATATAATGCTCTTTGTGTCACTGTGTCCTTATCCTGTGAGTATTTTTAACTTGGCCACCTTCAGAAAGTCTCTGAACCTTCCAAACCACGTAAGAAAAGAGTTTTCTCTGTTTCCTTCCTCCCCCCCCCCCTCAATCTAACATTGCTCCTTTTGCCTGTTTGCTTGTTAGTTGTCGTCATGCTGCCATAGCCAACTACTTTGGAGATGATGTTCCCCAATGTAACAGAAGCTGTGATTATTGTAAGAATCCAGCAGCAGTGAAGAAGCAAGTAGAAGCATTACAGCATAGTACCAAAAGTTGGAGTAGAACCTATATTGGACCTTCTGCTTCATCTTGGAATGCCTGTGACCCTGAGCTGTATGGAGGAGGAAAGCGAGGCTGTGGTGGCTTTGAAAGGTAGGTCTGCATTAACTAACTGGGAAGAGGCATTTTTGTGGCCAGTGTTGTTAGTGACAAATAAGAACTGTTCTTCTTTCTCTCCCCCCCCCACTTTTGGTGACTTTGATTATTCTCCTGAGTAAGGAGGACAAAAGTTAGGCTTTTTTTTCTGCATAAGCGGACTAAAGTGATGATCTCAAAAACCACAACTTCTTCATGAATCTGTCATTTCAGTAGAGTGCACAATTATTCTTTGTAGTTCAAGTTTGGAAGTCAAAAGGGTCAAGAATAAGGAGACTAAGAACTATATATGGTTTAAAATTGTTATAGAAATGTTTTTACATATTTAAATATAGTTATGCAATTCTCTTAATACAAAGATTAAACTGGATCTCAGAATGCATTGAGTTGTGTAAACCTGTTGCAAGTAAAAGCTGCTGTTCTCCCTTGTGGGGCTGCCCAATTATTCTGCCTTTTTCTATTTCCTTACTTAAGGGAAGGCTGCAGGCCCTTAAAAACAAAATAGGGAGAAGGAACATGTCCATGTGGGGGATAGGACTCTCCTGCTCATGCTTCCCAAATTGACTTTATGTTATTCTCAAAAATGCTCAGAAAAAAATGACAGTTTTCTTAGAACAATCTGCCAAATCTTGTTGGTAAAAAAGATAATTTCATAATTTCTGTTGGAAAATTAACCATACATTCAGCATCACTTTCTTCCTGTGAGTGAGAATGAGAGCCAAGTGTTTAGCTTAACAGCTTACTCTAATATTTGTTTTTAATCTTTGCAGCACACTAAATGAAAGTTAAGGGCATTTTCTTACATTACATAGTTATACAAAATTGTTTCCATTATATTTGTGCTGGGGCAGGCAGTATATGACCTTCTAGAGATGTTGTTGCAATGCAGATCCTATCAATCTTCATTAGTTGTCATGCTGGCTAAGTTAGTGGACTTCTAAATAGGCTTGAAATTTAACACGTTGCCCATCAGAGTTGATTCAACAAATGCAATTAGTAACCTTATTTACATGAACAAAAAACATTTTACTCTGTAGTAAAACTACAATCTTGTTTATGCAATGGTCCACATCTTGATGCTTAATCCTGATGCCTAGAATATTGGCCTTTGATCCTAATTTAAAATTTGATATAATTTTACATGACTCTCCTGTTCAACTTCCAACTCTTTCTGAGTTACTGTTCAGATATGATGAAGATACCAGGAATGTGGGCGAAGTTAACGAGGACAGCCAGAAAAAGGCATGGAACATTTTCTATAACAAACAGATGAAGTTGCGCAGGGTAAGTAGAAGGGCTTTCTATAGAAGTTAGAGGCTCACCTATACATGTTTGGATTGGGTATGCCATGCAATCCTGATATGTTTCCTAAATAAGTCACACTGAGTTAAATTGAACTTAACTCCCCCAAAAATAAGACTTCAGAATTGATCTAAAATATTAAGACTCAACCTTGTACAAATACTAATAGAAAGAAACTCATTCAGTTGCTTTAAAAACTGGATATTATTCTCTGTTACTAAGAGAATCATATTTTGAGGGTAGATTTAGTGCTTCATCACAGATACATGACCAGAGGCTGCATAGCATGTAATAATAATAATAGTAGTAGTAGTAGTAGTAGTAGTAGTAGTAGTAGTAGTAGTAGTAGTAGTAGTAGTAAAGTTGGAAGGGACCTTGGAGGTCATCTAGTCCAACCCCCTGCTCAGGCAGGAAACCCTACACCATTTCGGACAAATGGCTGTCCCGTCTCTTCTTAAAAACTTCCAGTGTTGGAGCATTTACTGCTTCTGGAGGCAGGTTGTTCCACTGATTAATTGTTCTCACTGTCAGGAAGTTTCTCCGTAGTTCTAGGTTGCTTCTCTCCTTGATTAGTTCCACCCATTGCTTGAGAGGCGTCCAAAATAGGTAGAACCATGTAGGAGTGGGATTTTGTCTTTATTTTGTTTTGTTTTTAAATTGAAATAGTTGAAAATTGTTTCAGGGCTTAGAGTAGAAACAGCAGGCATCAAAGACAGTCATTTATGTTTAAAAATCAAAGATTAAAGTGGGCAAGATTTTAGACAACATTTGATAAAACCACAGAAATCTTGTGACTGAGGCCATTTTACAATAATTTATTTTTACTTATTTTATTTACTTTTTTCTAATGTACTGTACCTACAGATTAAAGATCAGTTAAATCAATTCAATTTCAATGTACTTTTTTGTAAATATATAATTAAGAGCCTATTTAGGGGAACCACCGTTCTTGGATTGCCAGCCCTTGCGCTGCATTTTCATGCATTTCCTATTTCAACATAGTGGGAAACCTTGCCGCTGAATTTGGACAGCATAATGAGAATCGTTTAATTTTATTTATTCATTTATAGCCTGCCTTTCTTGTTTTTATAAATAACTCAAGGCAGTGAACATGCGTAATACTCCTTCCTCCTGTTTTTTCCACAACAAGAACCCTGTGAGGTGGGCTGAGTTGAGAAAGTAAGTGGCCCAAAGCCACTCAGCTGGCTTTCACACCTAATAGGGAACTCGAACTTAGGATCTTCAGATTTCTAACTTGGTACCTTAACCCATAAGGCCAAGCACAGAGTTCAAGTCAGGGGTAAGAAGAATAGGATTTCTTCAACTGTGAGACTGCAGTTTTAAATTATTTCTGTTTCTAACCCCTTTCTTGTTTTCTATATGACTAGAATATTACCTAGTAATATTCGTCCAAAATTTGCTTGCACAGGTCAGAAAATGTAGGATGAAGCTATTGTAGATGTTAAGTTTAACAGATCTCTACTTTAACCAGCTAAAGATAAATTACCGTAATTGCCAAATGCATTAGGGGACTCTCCAGTTTTTAACCCTTATCCTGTTTGGCAAAGAATTAACCCTATTTGGTTTAAAATATCTTTTTAACTATTTAAATACATTGGTGTTTTTTTTTAGTTCAGGTTTCATATTTTTAGTTAAGCTTTAGCATGCAACATTTTTAAAAACATTTCCTATCTTTCTGTTTAATCTCTGTAATTTCCTTCTTTTTTTATATCTTTAGAGCAGAGAATCTGAAAACGATAACTTTGTTCCTCCAGGTAAAAATTATTTCAAATATCAGTTTGGGATAAAGTTTTCATGGGTGTTTCTGAAGAGTTGACGGTAATTACAGCCTTGTAATATATAGTTTAGCCTTGTAAGATAGAGGGATTCAGTTAACACCAGCAATGGGTGCTCTATTGGAAGATCTGAAGTATCAGGTGGGGATACTGTGTCCAGGAGAAAATTGATCCATGTGGTCGTTAACAATTGATTCCAACTTGGGGACAAATAACCAGTCAATCAATGCTTTAGCCTGCATAAACCCCAGTATGAGAGATAATTTTGTAGAGTTAGAAGCAAATAATTGAAAATAAATGGTAGTTTACAGTAATGTAGAACAGATGGGAACTGTTCATCCTGCTCAAAAGAGAGACGCTTGCAGCCTCTTTTATCACACAAACAGAAGAAAAAGGTGGAAAGATTTGGATTTCGATTTCATTATAAATGGAGTTTGCATTTTACACCTAGTAGTTGCTGGAATTCTTCTTAGTTTTTCTACTGTAGGCCTGCATCATTTATAGGTTTAAAATTTACCACCAGCAAATTGCTTGATGGATATTAGAACGCTGTTCTTTGTATATATGACATTACTAAGCCTAGGATTCCACGTTGGATTGAACTACAGTTAGTATAATCGCCTATGAAGAGCTCCTTGCTAAAGCATTTGGATTTAAACCCAACTCTGGCAAAAATAGCTAAATCAGACTTTCACTAGAACTTTGCAGCTTTCTCAGTGCCAAATACCATTCTGGAAATCTGTGATAAATATAGATGGCGCTTGGGCATTATGTAAATGTGTTTTAGAGCTATCTCATGAGTAAGATGACGTACAAGACAGCCTAATTGATTCTGTGACATAGGTGGCACTTAATAACATGGAGAGAGAGAAAAATAAACCCTGCCTCTCCTTTAATTGGCCTCAGAATGGCTTTTATGCTATTGAAAATTTCAGATATAACTAAAAACAAGCAAAACAAAGCATAATAAATAGTAGGTAAATATCAGTAAAATGATACACTTTCATTATGATCTAGCCCAAAGATGAAATCACTGGCAGATTTCCAGATCGCTAATAAGATGGATCTTCATCACATGCATCAGCCAACAGGATATAAGCCAGAAACACCCAGAGCCTTAGAGAATCACATGAATTCTTCCAGTGTAAGAATAGCATATGCCGGGAGAGGAAGTTTAAAAAAAAATCTAGACATGGGTTGGTGAAGTAACAAAACACACAGGTATACAGAAAAAGTTCTGTTCTGCAATTTGATGCAGTTATAGTTCCCATCTGTGAAAAGTTTGGCAACATATTAGAAATTGTTAACTTAGGTTCTATATTTACTCCTTTTGATAGATAGTGATTGTCCCTTGAAGGATGCAGCCAATAGGAAAATTGCTAGAATTACAGTAAAGGTAAGTGGAATTTTTTTCAAGACAGGTTATTTTAGTGCAGTCTACTTATTGTTTGTTGTCAACTGATTAAGTTGTGATATTCAAATTAAAGACTAACTGAAGAAAAATATAGCACAGATATGTTTCCTAGGTAAAGTCAAGATCAATCAAAATTTAGGTGGAGCCACCCCTTCACTACAACTCTGTCTCTTTACAGCACTCTGTGAGCAGTTTACGGAGTTAGTGTATTGTGCCCCCAACAATCTGGGTCCTTATTATACCAAGCTGGAAAGGATGGAAGGCTGAGTCAACCTTGAGCCGGTCAGGATTGAACTCCTGACAGTGAGCAGTCAGCCTGCAATTACCACATTCTAACTGCTGCGCCACCAGATGCGCTCATGCATGGAATTTTGAAAGCAAGAGAGAGACATTTTAATATTGGATCTGCTTAATAATGTAGAAAGATTTCTAAAAGTTATTTTGGATTACTTTGTTTACTACTAGTGGAGCAAATATCTTCATTCAGTTAAAAAAAAAAGTCTTTGTGCTGTTCATCTGAATATTCATGTTGTGATGAGGGTTCAGGTACCTTTCTTTCTTTCATTGCTTCTTCCACATCCAGACCTAAAGAACCATAGCAGCTCTTAGCCCCAGCTTTCACGCAGTGCAGTTCAGTTCAGTTCATTCTGAACTACTTGTCTCCAGTGTGATGTAACATTTCACACGCAGGTATTGATTTATAGCTTTGAAATGTCTTCATGATTATTTATTTATTAGTACCTGTGCTTTATTTCAACTTTATGAATGGTCTAGAAACCATTCTGTAACCACCACACAAAAAAAATGTCCAGGGAGTGCTTATAAATGTATTTTCAGAGTCCCATTAATAAATTTGTATTTCTTTTTCTGATTTTTTTTTAAAAAACTTGTCTTAGACCATGGTATAGACTTCTCCAGTCCTTATCATCCCAACTCTATGAAACCTTTTTATTGAGGCCCTAAAACATGTTTAAAAAAAATCAGTTAGTGATGATATTGCAATTTGTCATAAGTACCCTGATTTCGATGAGTGCACCAAACGATTATTGTGTTGGGCTCTTTCTTACTTCATTTTAGACCTGGGTTAATCTTTTTAAAGAAAAAGCTTAATAAGCAAAAAGTAGGCCTTGGCTGTAATGTTGTAACCTCAACTTATTGGGGTAGCAGGACAGATAGTATCCTGCTGCACATACATTAAGTTACACATTTGGAAAGGATGGTACCTTTTCCCACCACAACTGGAACACACTTCCATATGTCCTCTTTTTATTTTAGGCTCGAGAACACTGCCTTTGGATGCTGGAGGAAGCATTGGTCACCAACCGGCAAGCGGCACCCATGACAGATAGGTAGATCTAATCCAATTTGGTGGAAGAGTCCCAGAGCCCTCTTTGGATCCTTTTTCCTCCCTGCCCCACTCAGACTAAGTTAAGGGCACAGAAGTAGACCAAGTATAAGAGCTCTCTACTACATAGAAGAGCTGCTATGTATAAGGCTTCCGGCTGTTCCGTGTATTTCCATCGAGCCTTTCCTTCATGGCCCTTGCAAGGGACACATCCAGGTGAAATTTTTGGATAGGGAAGGAACTACTACTCATTTGTAGAGGTCCTGCATTGATATTGAATTAGATGGAATTGAATCTAAGTGATATTTAAATGTGATCTATTGGCAAGGTGTTTTGATTTATTCTGAAATTCTTCTTTTACTGGTTTACTGATATATATATGAATTTGGATTGCTAACAAAGAGTTATTTCAAGCTCCTTAGCTCTCATCAGCCAGCTATACCCTTTCTTCTTCCCATATTTGGGCTGACTGGGTGCATCATAAAAAAACAAAAAAACACACACAAACACACACACACAAAAAAAACAACCATATATATATTAGTCTTTAAAAGAGCTAAGAAAACAAATAACTTCTGTGGGGATTTTAGGTGGGTTTTGTTTTTGTTTTTTTGGTCCTATTACTATTGCTATTTTTGTTCTAAAGTTGTCCTGGGAATTGTTTTATCTTGCTGAAAGACAGTCTATAAATGATTAAACTTGCATACCACTACCATATTTTGAACCATGCAAAAATTTAAGAGTATTTGCTTAAGTCAAATGTCATCATGCTTCAAGTTAAAGCTCTAAATATGCACATTGTTAGGGATGACTGTGTTGGTTCTCCAGCAGATCCCATTATTGGAACCAAAGTAGGCAGTTATGAGGTCCTTCTTGTATTACTGGGTAAATTACACGACTGTGGTTATCTGAATGACCCACATATAATTTGCATCTTTTCTTCTGTGATCTAGATAATGCAATTCCCTTTGTCCCCACTAGAGGGTAGGAATGTATCATGCAAATACATGGTACTGCAAAAAGAAATAGGCAGATTAGAAGTACTTGTTCAATAAACTAGAAATATTTGAAGGGAAATATAACTTAAAGTTATTGTTTCTTGTCTCCTTATTTGGGGAAGAATAGGCAGTTGCCAATAGTATTTTTGCACTCAGGTAATAATTTGGAACTGCCAACTGCCTCAATGTGGATTGTACGGTGACATCTCTTATAAGAAAACACGGAGCATATCCTTTGTATTTGGAGAAATGCCTTCAGCCACTGCTACTCAAACTGTGGGTCTGTTTTAGTTCAGGTCTTCTAGCATGTGCTGTAGAGATGGAATATGAAGCTTTCCGGATCAATAAGATGGCAAACCTATACAAGGCATCAGTTCTAAAGAAGGTAATAAACAGTTGTGGAGATTAACACTGTGGGCCAGAGTTCTCTCTGATAGCTGGATTTCTTGAAACCTATGGTCATAAAGGAAAAAGGTTGTGTATTTATTGCTGACTTACTGGAAAATGCTGTTATCATTCCTATAACACTATGTAGATCTTTAACTTCAACAGAATGCAGATTCAGTAATAATCATATTTGTAGATCAGCCATTGAGAATAGCTTCTCAAGAATGTATGCTTTGAAATAATCTGCAGTACAGTGTCCCTAATTCATTTCTGAACAACCATTCTTTAAAATTATATGGTTGCAGCAACAGAATAAAACTTCACAAAGGAATAAAGGAAAAAAACCCCTTCTTCTTCTGTAAATGTTGGCAGGGCCTTCTAGTTGAATGAAAGTAGGTAAGCGGCTTGGGATATCTAGAAAAAAGACATCGCTCCAGCAGCTGAAGTTGTAGTCATTTTTGCATGCTTTGGAAGCCATTCTCTAACTCTAAAATGGAGACTTGCACAATTTTCCCTGTGGGTAGGTCTATAACAGTGTTTCTCAACCTTGACAATTTTAAGGCATGTGGACTTCAACTCCCAGAATTCCACAGCCAGCATTGCTGGCTGTGGAATTCTGGGAGTTGAAGTCCACATGCCTTAAAATTGTCAAGGTTGAGAAACACTGTTCTAGAAGAATCTGATGTGTAAATAAGTGTCAGTTTCAGTGGCAAAAGCTTCCTTTCAAGTGCAGAAAAGGAACACTGTTGTCCAAAAATTAGTAACAATTGTAGATTCAATTTCTAGCACTCCTCTGTAATTTCCAGAATCTCACTTCATTTCAGATTAGTATAAATAAGTGGCTTGAAAGACAGGTGCCTAAAGGTCTGTTGCCTTCTCTTTGAAATTGCCTCAGTGGGTGATGCTAGAGGCCCTGTCCCAATGGTGGATTGCCCTTTCTTGAATTGATTGTTTGGCACTACACTGGAGTTTTAAGCACAACTCCCAGAATTTATATTTATCCCATAATTCACTGATCACTATTGTTTTTAAGATTTTGCCCTTTTCTTTGTTAATTTCTCACATTCCTATATTTAAGCTTTGGATAGGATATGCATTTAAAAGTGGGGTGCATCTACTTTGAACGAATCTTAGTAAAGTAAGAACTTTATTTTTTGACAAAATAGGAAAAAAGTCCTTGCTATCTGTGCTCAAGACATTTGAATGAGAGTTCAGACAAGGGAAGAATAGCTGAAATAATTCCCTGTGAATCCAGGTTAGGTTGTTAAGAACCTGATCAGGAATGATGGTAATGCTGCATTAATTGATTTGAATAAGAAAAGCCTAATTCCTCAATATCTCCTTACATGGATTTCCTACTTGTTGCTACTACAGATAATCCTCTCCTAACATCCACTCATTCAGCAACCATTTGAAATTACGACAGTGCTAAACAAGTGATAGTTATGACTGATCCTTATACTTAGGTCAGTTGCAGTATCCCACAATAACAGGATCACCATTTGCAACCTTCTTTCCTGACTTCCTACAAGAAAGTCAATGAGGAAGCCAGCAGGAAGTCACATGTAGTGACCACGTGAGGTCCTTGCTTCACACCCAGAGTGATTTGCTTCATAATGGCAACCAGAAGTGCCAAACATTCTGTCACAAAGCAGTGCAGTGATACGACTTTGCACTTTCTGACTGTGTCAGTTAGCAGTGGAAATTCCAATGCTGGTTACTATTTATACTAAATGAGAACTAGTATATTGAAACAAACACAGTACGGTAGCAGAGACAGAATCCTCTTTACTCTGTCCCTTTTTTCAATAAAGGTTACAGAAATCAACAAAGCTTCCAAAAACGGGGAATTGTATGCTATATCGGACTTGGGAATCAGTGACAACCCCAAGATGAAAGGTGAACCAACTGCTAAACATGATGATGTATTCTGTCAAGCATCCAAAGTGAATACTGTAAGTGCTTATTTGTTTATAATTCATTATTGGGTAGGTGGTTTTGCAACAAATTTTGTCTGATGCATAATTTCTTTGAGCTTTCAGAGATCTCTGTTATATTTGCCATATAGGAAAAAATATCTATCCATATACTACTAGAATTCTCTTTCCTGTAACCTTGAATTGGGTGAAATGGTACACCATAGGGCAAAACATTTTGAAACAAGGGACTTCAAATGGGCTAACTTTTAGAATGCATCCAAAATCTGGGATCCATGATTCCCATAGAACTGAAATTTGGCAAATTTTATACAACATTTTAGGATATAAAAATTAACACCAAACGGTGTATGACATAACACCAAACAGTGTATGACATAATACAAAATGTCATAATACATTTCCTGGGCTGATGTTTGACTGTGCTCAACACTTCAACGTGGGCTATTTCAAGGCAGATACATATCTCTGAATGTATCCCAGCTTTTCCAGTGAAGGAAGTACATTAGTTCTGTCGTTGAAGGCATTGAGAAATCTAATAAGGAAATAACTGCAAGGATGACACAAGGGAGTCACATGTTGTCAAGTATACTACTATTAAAATTCCCCTGTTTGTCTGTGTGTAACTTTAACTGGCTAAATTGTACATCATATGGCAACCATTCTTTTTTTTTAAAAGTTTTTTATTTGTAATACAATTAAAACAAAAATGGACAAGCGTGACATTCCAGAGTAAGTATTCCTAACAGTTTGTTTCTCATGGTACAAAAACTTAACACATCATTCTTAACCTCTATATAAGCCTCATCCTTCTATGTAATACAATTAAATATACAATTATATGTATAGTTATATATATATTTCAATCCTCTCATTAACTTGAGATCCGAGCAGTTCTTCTTAATTCATACCAACGGTAAAATTTGTCCCAGATTTCGAAGTATTTTTGTTCTGTCTTGTCTTTCATAATCATTGTAAGCCTGTCCATCTCAGCACATGAAAGGATTTTATACAGGATCTCTTCTTCCGTTGGAATTCCTTTATTCCTCCAATTTTGAGCAAAAACCAGTCTGGAAGCCGTTAGAATGTGTAACATTAAATAAAGTACGCCTTTGTCGTACTTTTGTGTGGTTATACCTAATAGTTCTGGTTTTGGCTCTACCGCTCGCTCTAATATTTCTTCCAACCATTCTTTGATCCATTCTTGAAGCAAAATACCCTAAATGGGATAACTTAGTGCATCCAAAATCCAAACCCCATGATTCCCCTGAAATTGAAATTTGGCAAATTTTCTAAAACATTTTATGGCCTAATAGGAAATATAAAACATTTCCTATGGTCCTGATATTTGACCAGGCTACACAATTCAACCTGGGCTATTTTCAAGGCAGATAAATATCTCTGAATATTTCCCTGAATTTTTAAAAATGTTTCCTAGTGAAGGCAGTATATTAGAAGCTCTGCATGCATTGTAAATAAAAAATAAACAGCTCAAATGATTGTGCTTTTGATTTCAAATGTTCATAGGCAAATTCAAATGTTTTAGAAGTGTAACTCTTTTCCATCTCTTTCCCCAAGTTCAAACCCAAGAGAATGGGGATTGGATTTCGAAGGATGTCTGACATGTTCCAGTCTGCTTCAGAGGTTCTGTCGGCCAAGGAAGGAGATGAGGTTAATGTTGTAAAAGAGGAAATTGGTTCAGACTGGAAGGAGGACGGTGGCTGTGGTCCCAAGCCTTTGGATATGGGTGACAATCTTGAGGATAAGGAGGAAGCAACCAACAAAATATGCAAAAACGGTGGTGAATCCCCTGAAAAAAATACTGAAAATGATACTGCTGAGGCTGTCACCTCCTTGGCAGTTAGTCTTGAAAAGAGAAAAACTACTAAGAAGCAGTTGCTGCTGGCAGAAGCAGCCAGGAAAGAATCTCAGAACATCTCGAAATTTTTCTCCATCCCCAAAGCAGGATGTGAAGCCAAGGCTTCAGAAATTGATTTGGCAGAAGAGAAAATCAACTGTCTCAATGAACTGCCTCAGTTTACCTCCCGAAGAGCGTGTGAAGAGAAAGCTGAACCTAAGGAAACGGCAACTGTCTTTAAAGAAGAACTAACGAGTTCACCCCCCAAAAAAGAGCAGGAATCCCAAAATATAGAAAATCTGTCTTTGAGCAGTCAAAGATTAGGGAGAGAGTCCTCATGCTCAGGATCAAGTCTTGAAAAACCAACGTGAGATATGTTTTTCTTTGCCTCTCAGTTATTACCTTTCTGAAATTAGGATAGACAGTGGGCAGTTGAATACAAGCAATGATTCAACTATAGTTTCTCCAGCCAAAGTTGAGATTGTAGTATATCAAGCAATTGGAATTTAAGCTTGTTGCTCATCCTGAGAGCTGTCACAGGTTGTATGCGTATAACTGAAGGTAAAAAAGCTAAACCTTAGCCTGAAATTGAGCAGAAGGACAGCTCAGTGTATAGATATTGGAGATCTGAGTGTAGGCTAAGTTCAGGCATTTCTTTTGTCTCCACAAAGAGGTTATTTTTAGAAGACATACTGTATTTGTTATCCTTTTTTTTTTCTTGAAGGGCTGAATCTGTGGTCTTTTTTTCTTGAAGGGCTGAATCTGAAGAAGATATGACCAATGATTGTGAAAATCTTAATGGAAAAAGACCAGGATCAGCTGAGGTGAGTTATATTTTATTAAAATTATCTGTCTGTCTGTCCAGACAGACAGACACACACACACACACACACACACACACACACAGACACAGACACACAGAGAGAGAAAGAGAGAGGGGGGGGCACATGGAGGGATGGCCCTGAGATTTGATGACAGGAATATAGGAGTGAAGGAATAGGAAGTAGCAAGTGAGATGATTTCTGTTTGCCTGAACTAATTCCCAAATGACATTTGCAGAGAGGCCAACTAAGATTCGGGTGGCAATTTAATAAATTGATAAATACATGATGCTTCATCCGATACAGGAACACTTGACTCTTGAAATACAATGAAAAAAGAGAGGTCAGTTTCTTCTTTATAGAATTTGACTCCAGCGCTAACTACCAAATGGCAGTGACATTAATTAAGGCTGGCTGGCTTAATAAATTAATTAGCCATGCATCTGAAGTATGTGAGTGGGTGGGGAAAGAGAGAGAGACTGTATATATACATATACAAAAAATAAAAATAAAACACACAGCAGCCAGAAAAGTAATAAAAATAGCCATCAACATAAACAGGATCTTGAGTGGGTTGCCTCTAGAGTTTAATGCTAACAGTATATTGGTTTTATTGCATTGTGTTTTAGCGATGTTAACATCATACTTAGGAACTGACATGCTTTTGGTTATTTTTGACTGTTCCTTTTTTAATGTGTAATGTTCATTTATTTTTCTCAAACAAAGACTGTCCTCTTTAGGTCACATAAATAGCAGAAAGTGGGCAATGGCTAATACTCGCATCAGAAGATATGTAGACAAACAAGCCTTTATTATAGTCTTGCTGCTTTTGTTTGGCCCAAGTTAAAGCAAAAGATCAAACAGAGTAGAGGAAGAGATATGATTAGCACTGAAGATGTGCTTGTTAATTTGTGTTCCGGGATATCTGTTTGATCCTTTGCTTCAGTCTATTAATGAGGATAGAACCAGGCTTCAGAAAAGTCATGATAATTTCTCTTGATGCGTGTATATCTTTGAGGTGCTGATGCATCTTGACTGAGAAATGTAAATAACACGAATATTCTGTTACAGTGCTTTGCTGGGCCTGCCAAATTTCTATCTCCAGAAGCGTTCACTATCTCGGAAAGGTTTCCGTTGTATCTTTTGTATATAAAAGATATTTAACAAGATATTATTGAGTTATTTCCAAAAGAAATTAGAACTAAAAAAAAGCTGTTACACTTTTTTGATAGTGACCTTCCTGATTAACTATATAATGAACCTTCGTATATCAGTAAGTGGAAATATTAGAGGTTTCAAAAATATAAAGGGATCTTTTAAAAATATAAGTGAAAATTTAAGAAACTGATTTTGTGAACCTGCTTTCAGGCAATGAATTTCATATTGCTTCTTGTATCTGTCATTGTTACTGTTGTTGTTCTTTTTAGATCTGCCATTTGGTTTGGGATGAACAATTAAGCAAAGCAAATCTTGTCATAACTATAGAGAATTAGTTAATTACCCAATGTGATTATTTTTATTTTTTGTTGTTTTTAATGAATATTTTGAGTAACATTAAAATGTTTTTCTGCTTCACATTAGTGTCTTTAAATAATTAAAACTAAGCTGAAATACTGTTAAAATGAAAGTGTTCTGACATTCCTTAGAGTGATTTTTTTTAAGTGATAAGGAAACCCTTTCCATGTGATTAATGTGCTTTGGGGTCATTTAAGATTAGCCTCATTGGGAGTGAGCTACTGTCATGGTTCCTAGGATGAAACTCATCAAAGAACTTTGAGGCATTGTTTACCTTAAAGAATCTTTATTCAAGTAGCATAGCATTGGCACATACACAGGCCAAGCCAAAATCTGAATTCCCCTCCCCTGAGCACATAATATCCAAGCATAATTCCCTCTACTAATTAACATCATAAATCACATTCTCCAATTAGTTTAAAATGCCGGGCTTTCCCTCCAGTTCTTCAACCTGGCCATTTCTTATCTCTTATTTCAAAAAACCTTGGTTCTCACCCTTATACAGTATTGTTATGTCTAACTAAACTCCCATGCACATTCCTCCTCTCCCTCCCCCCTGTGTCATCTAATTCTAACTCTAAGAGTAAAACATAAAGTAAAGGAAAATGGCTGCATCTCCATATGTTGTCAAAGCAAGAACATCCGATGTTAGCAGCATTGACAGCTACATTGCTTTAGAAAGATTGGAGAAAATAATGTTGCAGTAACTGCGATCAATAGTCTATTGCAGTGGTTCTCAACCTTTTTAATGCCGCGACCCCCAACCGGTCGTAAGTCGAGGACTACTCAATCGGTCGTAAGTTGAGGACTACTCAACTGGTGCAACACCATTTGCAGAATGGGACTTTTGGCGGGCTCAGCAGGGCAGAGACAGCCTGGACAATTCCTATTGGCTTTTGAAAGCCAATAGAATTAGACTCTATTCAAGAGAGTCTATTCTAATGGCTTTCAAAAGCCAATAGAATAAAAAGGAGTAGCACAGCTAAGGAAAAGGGGAAAAAATGGCGGACTGCGTTGTTTGGCGGCCCCCGTGAAATGGTCGTTCGACCCCAAATGGGGTCCCGACCCACAGGTTGAGAACCACTGGTCTATTGGGATATGTGTGTCAGTAGAAATTCTCTTGCAGTTCCATTTTTAACTTACAGTATAAGAGCAACGATTTCTTAGCTTTTAAGGAGATAAGGAGCAGAATGTGAGTTCAACACAGCTATCTCCCTGCCAAGTTTGTGAATCCACGAAATCATCCCCCCCTCTTTGCCCTCTGTGACTTTTACACATCCATATATGCAGGCACACAAAAAGACACTATATTACGTTCTAGAGTTGCGAGTTGTTATGGAGAAATACCTTGTTCCATGCCGGAATAAAGTTGTTGGAGAAGTCACATCCAATTTTCTTTTACAACAGTGATAAGTACAAATGAAAATTAACCTCTTACTCTGTGGTTATGGTATTACTTAACATTTTTTATAACCTTTTTTTTTTTTTGCACTTTTGGTTTTGTCTTTTTCTTATCTCCCCCCCCCTTTATTTTAAATATTGAATTAGTTCTTACTATTTTCCATATTTTTTCTTTGAAACTTTAATAAAGACACAAAAAAAGGAATAAGGTGTTTTTTTCCTTTCTGCTTCTTGAATTAAGGAATCAGATCACATTATCATCTCTGACGCATGCAATGTCGAGGGTTTAAATTGTAAATCATATAGACAAAAAAATAGGGTTTCTTGTATTTCAGGAAGGCTGCTTAGGTTTAGCCATGTAAAGTTGCTTTAGTTTAAAGGATTTCTATTTCTGCCTTTCCAGGACTTGGAAAGCCCTGCTGAAAAAAGGCTACGGATGATGAACAAGTCCTCCATTTTGTCACAGTCAGAAGGGAAAGCTGTTGGGCTGGCAAAAAAGAAAGTCACTTTTGATCCAAATTTATCACAGGTTGATAAAGAAGGGACCACAAGAGTCATCCAGCCACCTTCAAAAACATTGTCGCTTAAGGAAACAGCAGATATTGTTGTAAAATATTTGACTCCTTTCTACAAAAGTGGGAGATTTGCATCTAAGGTGGGTTATGAATTATTTAATTCCCCCCTCCTGTGTTTGATTTATGTTTCCATATCAGTTAAAGCCTCTATGGTGACACAAAAGTTATGTATGAAATTAAACGCTGTTGCAGATAGTATCTAAGGAAATGCATGGGAAATAAAATTTCCACAGTGGTATCAGTCCTTTGTAGGATGGGGATGGGACAGTGTTGGACAGAGCTATTTTTTTTTTCCTTCCACTGTATTCCAGTGAAATAAGCACAGTACTTTCAAACAACAATTGCATGTATTTAACTTGCTTTATTTATGAGCAGACAGCACTATCCTCCATTTCCATCAATTTCTAACAAAACCCATTCAGGGAGAATAATGTAAAATGGCAGCAGTGTTTTGGGGCAGGTAAGTAGTAGTACCGTAGGTAGGGGTGTGCAAACTGTGATATCGCAAAATGTTCCACCCTAGAACAAAACATTTTGCGTGATCCAGAACTGATCTGAACCTCAAAATGGGCTTCTCCAAAGACTTCAGCAGCAGTTTAACAAATTGGAACCCTCTTGAATGGCTTGTTGCAAGGCAGAGCTCTCCCATCCCAGGGCTGAAGTGCCCACTTCAAGGCCAGAGCATTTCAGGAGAGGATGTTTTGCGCATCATCACTTAAAAGCCCACCGTCTGGAAGCGCCTTCTCGGTTGTAGTTTTCATTCATTGAGGAATATCCGTGTAAGTTGGCAGTTATTCCTCTTCAAGACATTGATGTCTGCCATGAGCCTCTGTTACATTCAGTTCAGCTATTCTTCTGATCCTGTTTGGGGGTGACTGTGCATTTAATGAGAATGGTAACTTCACTAGAGCCGCTTTGCTTTCTTACCAGGGCAAAAATGTTGAATTCTAAACTTGCTACTCTTACCACAAGGATAAAGAGCTACAGTATGCCCAGTAAAGGCCTCTATGAGTTGGAGTTGGCCCAGATGACTTCAGCACAATCTATCAGATAGGGAACAACCTATTGCTTGCTTGCTTATTCATTTAAAATGTGCAAAATGCTGATATATTCAGTGATATCTCCCTTAGACTCAATCTAGCATGGAACAAAGCAAAATACAAACATCAAGCTTCTGTTTTATTTCCAAGAATGCTTCTGGGGTCTAGTATAATTCCTAGAAAATAAAAATGGCAGGTGTCTTAACCCTGTGCTTTGTAAATACGCCTGTCTAACTCCTCGGGGGTGGGGGGAAAGGCAAAGATAGATGAAGTAGTAGAAAAAACTGTGACAGTTTTGGGTGGTTGGCAGGGAGCAATTTCTTCATTAAGGGGAGTCATTGTATAAAACAGATTCTCAAAATTAAAAATTCAAATCCCTTGTAGATCCCTGGATCTAATACTATTATACCCTTATATTGGTAATTATAATCATCTAACGCAGGCCTGGGCATTTTATGGCCCCTGGGCCACATTCGGCCTTTGGCTGTCCCTGTCCAGCCTGTGTGAGGTCAGTTGGAACTTAGAAATCAAATGTAAATAAGCCTGCCGCAGGGGGCAGGAGGCAAAAGCCAGGTCAGATCCAGCTCTGTGCAGTCGCCCTGCATCCCTTCAGTCAGCTGGCAGCCGCAGCGGGAGAAGGGGTGGGTGAGGAGAGATAGCACTGTTCTGCTCCTGTTCCTTAAATGGAGCAGTTGGAGGAGTTGAGGTGATGGAGTTTGAAGACATCAAATCCGGTTACATCAGTTTGGCTCTTCACTGCAGTCCCAGTTTCTCCTATGGTCCCTTTGGAAAATTAATTGCCCATCCCTGATCTAGAAGAACTTGGATATGATTTGAATTTCACAGCCTTGACTGCCTTGCAATGTCCACATGCACCTTGTATTTAAATCACAGATAGCATGTTCCGTATTGTATGATAAATAGAGCACCTGATTATGAGGCTGCCCAGCGAGGCATCAATTACTTTGTCTTGCATAGAAGCACAACAGTTAGATGTTAATGAGGGAATCACATTCCACTCCGCTTATTCTGCTCTCTTATCTCTGCCTGGCAGGATTTGTTCAAGGGATTTGCCCGACACCTCTCTCATTTGTTGGCTGCAGACAAAAGCAGTTTCCGCAAAACAGGTGAGCGGCCAAATAAGGGACAGGGTGAAGGAATGTCTTGTGCTTTGTCCCTCTTATTTTGCAAAATTGTTGATGTAGAGATCTCTAATTTTCAGCTCTTTGGGTTGGGGATAGTTAAGCTTGGTTAGTATTTATGATGTCATGGTAATGTTTGAAAATGTTTGTGTTGTCAATAAAATATAGCTTGCTCCTGGGGAGGAAAGCCATGGCAAATCTAGACAGCATACTAAAAAGCAGAGACATCACCTGCCAACAAAAGTATGTATAATCAAGGCCATGGTTTTCCCAGTTGCAATGTACGGCTGTGAAAGTTGGACCATAAGAAAGGCTAAGCGCAAAAGAATTGAGGCCTTTGAACTATGGTGCTGGAGAAGACTCCTGCGAGTCCCCTGGACTGCAAGGCGATCAAACTGGTCAGTCCTAGAGGAGATCAACCCTGACTGCTCCTTAGAAGGCCAGATCCTGAAGTACTTTGGCCACCTAATGAGAAGGAAGGACTCACTGGAAAAGAGCCTAATGCTGGGAAAGATTGAGGGCAATAGAAGAAGGGGACGACAGAGAATGAGGTGGCTGGATGGAGTCACTGAAGCAGTAGGCGTGAGCTTAAATGGACTCCAGAAGATGGTAGAGGACAGGAAGGCCTGGAGGAACATTGCCCATGGGGTCACGATGGGTCGGACATGACTTCGCAACTAACAACAACAAATATATATATTCTAACTAACTAACTAACAGATATTCTTCTCCTGTTGATCATATTTTGCAGACACCATTTGAGCCAATAGGCACAATTTGCATTTGGTACTTAATGTATGTGCGTATGAGAGGAGTGATAAGTAAATTATGATTGAGAATGTCATTGTCTCTGGTGCCACTTTTCCTGTTTGCAGTGAAAGAAGAAGCGCAGAGGCTGATCAAGTCGTTTTTCAAAAGACGGGACAAGTGTGAAAATGAAACAGACTGGCAAGAGCTGACCCCTTTGGAAACGTGACTCACAAAAGGCCCGGCTTCGCTTTGCTGGTTGTGACAGAAGACTGTCCCTCCAAGTTTTGCTGTAACTACTATGCTTTGTAACCGTGCAATGGGGAAGTGGAGGGAGAGGGCAGCTGAGGGAGAGAGAGGTGTCGGGGTTAAGGATTTTATCTGCACAGCAGATTTTCTCTTTCTGGAAAAAAATAATAATAAGTCATGTCGTTGTCAGGTTTTGAGTGCAGCCCACTTTCCTTCTTCTAGCAAGTATGAGTGAACTGAATTTTATTATTTGGCTAGGCATATGATTGTGACTGGAGAGTCTCCAGTCTTTTAATACAGATTTCACTGGCAGCTGCCTTAAATAGAAGATAAGGCATTTGCTTCAGTCAGGGTTTGTTTGCTGTGAGAGTAAGGTGTTGGAGAGTACTCTGGGGAAGATCAGCTAATTTATAATTGGGAGGAAACCCAGAAGGGTTATTTTGGCCAAAGCTTTTTAGATTTCTGTTCTTTTATGGTGTTGACATGTTTCTTTTATTCCAAAAGTGTTCCCTTGCACCAGAATAATTTAAAAAAAAAATTCAAGTTCATAAACTGTAACAAAATGTGCTGAGTTGACTGGGCAGCATATTGACAGTACTGTATTTTCCCTGAGTTGGTAATATAATAACAAATGCAGCAAATTAAGGGCATAGCAACCAGTACTAATTAAACACAGGCAGCGCTTTGTTTTTTTAAGAGCTGTTTAGGGAGGAATGTGGGTAACAAACTTTTTTAATCCTTAAGCTTTCCTACATTATTTTTGTTCCCAGTTGCTGCTCCAGTAACCCTGCTCTCCTATGAAGTTCTAAATGCGCAATTAAGGAATTCTGTCTTCCTTCTGCATCCTGTCAGTATTTGCTATGCGTATTTCAGGGACCTCCTTTCAGCTGCCCTGTTAGGTATCAGTGTACAGTTTTCTTCATCTCTCACCAGTATGACCAGGGTCTTTGCTGGCTGAGATGGAAGTTATATCTTTAAACTGGGTTTGGGAAGAGAGTTCTGAAAGGTTATTTTTAAGGAGAGAATTAATATTGTATCTTGTTTCTGTTATTAGTTGGCAGGTCTTTCTTTATCCAAGAGAGACCAATCACACCTATTATGGTTGGAAGTGTCTAGTTAGAAGCAAGTTTTTCTTTTCATAAAACCTCAGGAATAAAGGTCCATACACCCCCTTCCCAAAGATTTTGTTTGTCGATATTAATCGAATGGAAGTGCCTGATATATTTAAGGAAAATGGCCGTTGCAGTATCAGTGCACATTGCTCTAAATTTATGCAGTAGTAATATTTTACATTGCATTTTTATTTTTGCATATGGAGTAAATTTTGGACCCTTACAGAAGATCATTATTCACAAACATTTTCAGTGGATTCTTGCAAAGCTGTTACGCAGATTATTTATAGGGTGAGGAGCTGTAACATTTTTGGAGACCCTTGGATTTGCCACACTATAAAACATGGATTTGTTCTATTAAAAATAGTTTTAGGTAAATAATGTAAAATTAGCACTTTAAAATATGAAAAATGTGAGAAATTTATCAACTACTGTAGTAGTCTCCAATTCCCACCTTGAAGTTGAGGTGCTTCAAATAGTTTTGTTTTTTTTAGGCAGGGAAAAAAAATGTTTACAGTCTGCTCACATTCCCTATCATAAGTAGAGAAATAAATGTGCATTTGAAAGAAATAAACTAATTCTTTTCGTATGTCACATACTTTAAAGCCATACTACTGGACTGTGCCTCCCATCTAGACCTAACTAGTAACTCAGTATTATGGCAAAGTGACCTACAGCTTATAAGGAAAATGCTGCTTTAATAATATTTAAGAGGAACTGGATATATTTGGGGAATCTTGGTTAAAATAGTAGTTTTTATCATTGTGGTTTTTTGACCTGTGCCTTAGATCTGTCCCTAGAGAAGCCACTGATCTTTCTAATGTTGAGAGCTGATAGACAAAGGCAGAATTGTGGAAGAGATCTTCAAATTAGCTTCTGGTGAAGAAATAGGCTTTGTAACTTTAAAGGTACATGGCAAGCTGCTAATAAAGTTAATGTTAAAGATGTTACCCTAGTGGCTTTTATTTATTTAGAACAAAACTTTGTGTGTCTGGTAAAGTTAATCTGCGAGTACTTAGCATACTCTGTGAACTAAGAGAATTTCCAAATGGGAACCATTCTGCATTCCATATAAAATGCACACAATTGTTTGTGTTCAACAGCTGAGCTGATTTATTTCTGACTACAGTATATCTTAAATGACACAACAAATTTTCCCACTTGCAGCCTACCAAATGTGCAGGTGGGCTGATTGATTTGATTATTTGTTTATATCAATTTTTTACATAGAATAAAAGGCTAATCAAAAGAAAAAGAGGAAACAAAGGAACAGAAAGAAAAAAGTACAAGAAATGAAAAAGAAAGATTTTGTACCGTATACAAAATCAGTTTATCATGAACCTTTTCTCTCTCATTGTCCTCAAGTCCCAATAAACAGAATTCTAGTTTCTTTGTCTATAAATTCTTTGTACCAGGTGTGAATTTGTATCCAAAATTTCTTAGCTTTTTCACAAGTTCACCATGATAAAATATTCCCTCATACTTTTTACATTTCCAGCACTGATTTGAAATGCCTTCGTACATTTTTTAAAATTTATTTAGTGTCATATACCAATAATACTTCTTTTTATAAAAAAAATACCTTAAATTATGCAATGTAATAAATTATCCACAGTCTCTCCCAAGCGTCCATCTCCGTTATATCCAAAGTTAATAGCCCATTTTGTCATATAGTCTTTAATCTGTTCTTCTATCAAATGTTTATACATTTTTGTGATTGCATATTCACCATTTGTACATAATTCAGTTTCAATTTTTTTTTTGCATTTCAATTCAGATAGTCTTTTTATCCATATTAAACCTATCTATTAACTGTGCACATGAAAACCATTGAAAGCTATGTCCTTTTGCAATTTCCATAAATAAGTGAGCTATTGCCTATTACTGAGGAAATGGCTTTCCTCCCTCTTCTATGATATAGCCAGATTCTCCCACCCCCACCCCCTTTGCAGAAATTCAGCTGCTGTAGAGCAAATGTTCTTAAACCAATCGACAGCTGGAAGTTTTGCACCTGCTCACAGCAATGACTGTTCGGCTGGGGTGGGCAAAGCCCTGGGCAAGCACCCAGAACTAAAAATATGGATTCGGGGCCACTAACTGTGCACTGTTCTTTGTGCCCTTCTACAGGATGGAAGACCTGAGTGGTTCATGCTAGTCTTATGTTTTGAAGTTGGTGGCAGTGAAGACCGTTAGTTAACTTTAAACTGCTTTTGAAGAATCAAGGAGTAGAAATTGTAACGATGTGAAGATGCCCTTGATTATCCAAGGATTAATAATATTGTTATGCATAGTTTAAGACAGAAGTCCCCAACCTTTTGTGCACCAGGGACCGATTCCGTGGTGAGAGGTTTTTCTGCGGACCGGAGGGTGTGTGGTTTTGTGTGCTGCATGCATTTTGTAAATGGGACTTTGCTTGTTTGTGTGGACTGGTTGCTGGCATGCCACGGCCCGGTACAGGTCCACGGACTAGGAGTTGGGAACCCCTGGTTTAAGAAATACATATTCCTTTCTTGTTTGTTTGCAAGAACATTCTGATTAAATGAAACTAGCAAACAGCAACAAAAATATCAAAAGTTCAAAGCCAGATTAAGGCCCTAAAAAGAGGCAGGAAAAAATAGACCTTTGATTTTAAATCTCCTCTCAATCTCTCTCAATCTCATGATCCTGGTTTCTTCTGGAATGAGGGAGAAAAAAAAGATCTCTATTTTTGCTTTTTATAAAGTGTGTGCAGTTTTATACATCTCTATCATTTCCCATGTTTTCTAAACTAAACATCAACAGGATATTTGGACAGAGAACATTACTGTATTTGAAACTTATAGTTTACCTCAGGGGTGGTGATGATAATATTATGTGGAGATTATTTAAAATCATCCAAAGGAAAAGTTATGTTTGCGTGTGTGTATGTGTGAGAGGCACAGAGCGCCCCAGTAGTTTTTTTTTCCAAAACAGCTTTATTAAATTTCAAGAGAAAATAAAATACAAGATAACAAAAAATGGGAGAAGGGATTCAAAAGGGGGAAAGTTAAAAAGTGAGGGGAAGAAGGTTGGAGGAATAAGCAATATATATATTAAAAAGACATCCAATTTTCCTCAGTATCGATACAAATATATAACTAGACAATCTCTTATTCTAAATTAAATATAAATTAAACATAGCATAGCCAATATTTAAGTTTAACATGTACAATCTACAATTAGTAATTCAAAAATACTTATTCATCATTATCAAACAAGATTATAAAAATAATTTCTAGTTTAAAAATAAACCTAACAAAATGTTAAGATAACCAAAATATTCAATTTCAGCATCTCTCATCAATTCATTTTTCCAAATCCAGTTTTTCATTACCATTTTACCTTTGTTTCATCTCTGTGTATTCTGTTATCTAATAAAAAATCCTTTAAAAATTCCCATATTTCCTCCATCAATCATAACAAAAGTTTCTAATCTCAGTTATACATCCCATCTTTACATTCTTACATAAATCACAAGTTCATTCCTTAAATTCACATATTTACCCATAATCAAAATTAATACTATACCCCAGTTTTAGAAGTTTAATCTTAATTCACTATCAATTAAAAAATCTACCAGTACTTTGACTATAAATCGCCATCATTAATACATAAATCTCTACTAAAATTTATTTTCTCATCTAAGCTCTCTATCAAATATATGTATGCACATCCTTTTCTTTTTGCAGTTCTCTTATTATTAACCCAACCTTTCTTTAAATAAAAATAATTTACTCAGCATAATCAATAAAAAATTAGAGGCCATCTTATTATGAATCTGTAACCAACCTTCATTATAATGTAGCCCCCCAAAAATAACTGTTACAGTCTATATATGTAACATATTTTCTCTTTCCAACATATGCTTCCTATTTCTTCCAGTTCCTTATCTATAATCTCCAGGCTCTTGTTCAACATGCATTTCTTTCTGTTTCTGTTAAATTTTGATCAAAATATAGTACATTTCCAGTTTGAAAATCAATAATCCTTGACAAAATATAGCTTGATCTATGAAATACAGTGTTTGCTTGGCGTACATCTAGTAAAACTAAAATGTTCCTCTCTTTTTCTCAAGCTCCATGTAGAGGTTTCTTTCAAAATAGTTATATTTAGATTTTCAGCTTTTAATCTTAAATGAAAATGATCATAAGAAAACTTGTTCCTGTATTTTTTTCTTTCTGTAGACCAGTGGTTCTCAACCTGTGGGTCGGGATCCCATTTGGGGTCGAACGACCATTTCACAGGGGTCGCCAAACAACGCAGTCCGCCATTTTTTCCCCCCTTTTCCTTAGCTGTGCTACTCCCTTTTGTTCTATTGGCTTTTGAAAGCCAGTAGAATAGACTCTCTTGAATAGAGTCTAATTCTATTGGCTTTCAAAAGCCAATAGGAATTATCCAGGCTGTCTCTGCCCTGCTGAGCCCGCCAAAAGTCCCATTCTGCAAACGGTGCTGCACCAGTTGAGTAGTCCTCGACTTACGACCGGTTGAGTAGTCCTCGACTTACGACCGGTTGGGGTCGCGGCATTAAAAAGATTGAGAACCACTGCTGTAGACAGTCACTTAAGATGTATTTATAAGGTGTCCTTCCTTAATTTTAATTTCCATTTTATATTTTATTTGTTTATGTTCCATCATATATAATTTATTATCCAGTAATTTTTGAATTCTCTCAAACTTAGCTTCTATGAACTAACATCTCTAAAAATGAGGTGTGGTTTCCTTCTCCCCCACCCCATCCCCCATCGTATTAAATAGCACGTTCTAGTGGCCAAGAGAATAATTGCACATTATGATTTCTCAGAGAAGGGGGGAGCAGACACAGAGAGCTCTTCCAATTACATTCATCGATAGATCCAAACCGAAATTAGAAAGGAAAAGAATACAGCTTCAAATATCACAGGTACAGATTGTTCAAATTTAAGTTTTCATCCTTCAGTAAAAAAGCAGTTTAGCCTCTTCCCCAAAGAGTTTAAAAATCCAAAATGTTGTCTTCTTGTTCTATAAGCTAAACTCCAAGTTTGATGAGTTTCAAAGCAGTTGAATACCAAGGTACCATTGTAGGGGTGTGTATGTGTATGATAAATCACTGTTTCAGGAAAGAATTTTAATGATTTGTATTTTTATTGTTCTGGAACATTTGGACAATTTAGATACAAATACAGTAAATGGATATCAGAGAGGAGTAATCTTCTCTAACACAGCAGCTCTTGTGTATTGGAACACAACTTTAATACTATCTATACTTGTATTACAATATATTAATCTAAGTTTTCTCCGTGGTCAAAAGAATAAGAACCAGCAATGCTTTGTAAATATGCGGTTAGGTGATCCACCAAAAGATACTCCAAAGCAGCTATGGTACATTTTATGGCTTGGAAGTTGAGAAGCTGCTTCTGCTGTCTGCAAGTTTAAGGGCTGGAAGTGATGCAGGGACGATGATAGGAGAATGGTGAATGGTGGTTCAGAAGAATGACGTTTCCATAGCTCACATCTCCCTGGGAGAAAGCACTTGCCAAGTAGACACATCAAAAGAGTACTGGCAAAAGATATTGCAGCCAACTTCTCTTGGTTGTCACTAAGCCTGGGAATCTGATTCGTTACCGATGATTATAATTAAATGATATAATACTTTAGCCTGTCAAAAGAGAAAGCAGTAGAAAATGCTTTTTTTTTTTCTATTCATTCATGCAGTTTCTCCTTCCAAAGCAAAGTCTCAAAATAACTTCTGTCAAACCTTCCATATAATTCTCTTTGTGCCTGTACAAACACAGCATATAATTTTTTGGGTAACCTAATGTTCTTTCTTCATAAAAAAAAAGTATTTGAGTGCTTTAGAGCCATAATCAGATCCATCAGAATTTTATCTACTCTCCTAAGTCCATCAACTGCTTTTTGCTTGGTCATATACCCTTGACCAAAGATCGATACCCTCCTTCAAACTGGGAGCACGCAGTTTCAGGAGAAATGCACGTGGAGCGGTGAGGTGCCTAGCCAACCAGATCAGCTGAATCAACCCTGGCGACCTATGGGGTGATAGATGTCACAGCCAGATCACCCTCACAGAACACTGAGGTAAGCAAGCAAGCCACAAAAAAAAATAAAGGCTATTGGCAGGAATAGTATTCTCCCTTTCTCTTAAAGCTAGAACAACCCCATTTCCCCCAAATATATACACTGAAAGCTGATGTTGCAAACCAGGGTTTGTTTGTTTTTTACACTGCAAAGCCACAGCTGCTGCCTATACTGATCTATGCTGTGCTATCTTTGGCTATGGTTTTTAAAAAGATAAACAATAAACATGTAGAATATTTCTATAAAAAGATAGCACAATTGATGTTTACCTGTTGTAATTCAAACCAGATTGTCTTGGGATTTTCTACTGAGCCATAGTTGATTTCTACGGCTGGAAGGCCAGCTGTGCTGAGTTGGCATAAGGTTTTCATCCGTAGTATCTGGTTCAGTGGAATGATGATCTGATTGCTCTGGACATGAGGAAAGATAAGCATAGTGGACACTGCAGAATCTGTCACCTTTTTCATCCTTTAATATTCCATTTCACCTTCAGTCAACTCCCATTAAGGGGAAATGTTCTCAGTGAAGGCCATGATTACATGTCAAGAAATGTTGGGAATGATTTTTAAAAGTAAATCTCAGGCATGTTAGTTGTCCAGTTTGATATGTGTGTGCGTTAAAATACATCAGTAAAATTCCATTGGGGGGACTGAATATGGCCAATAGAATTCAGATAATGTGAACACAGAATGTTGCTATCCTCACAGAATTGTGTTTTGACAATTTTGGTATGAAAGATTTGACCTAAAACTATAAAGGGTTTTACTAGACTTGTAAACTGCTCCAGTTGTTACTAGCCCTGAATGGCTAATATACAAACAAGGATAAAACATGAAGCAGAAGAAACACTGATGGCAATAATGTGGTACAGGTAGTTCTCAACTTGCAACCATTTGTTCAGTGACCATTCAAAGTTACAACAGTACTGAAAAAAAGTGACTTACGACTGATTTTCACACTTAATGACCGTTGGAGCATCCCCATGGTCATTGATCAAAATTTGGGTCCTTGGCAACTAGCATGTATTTATGACAGTTGTACTGTCCCAGTGTCAGGTGATCATCATTTGTCACCTACGCAACCAGCTTGTGACAAGTCAATGGGGGGAAAGCCAGATTCGTTTTAACAACTGCATGGTTCACTTAACAACTGTAGTGATTTGCTTAACTGTGGCAAAGATCATAAAATGAGGTACATCTCATTTAACAACTGTCCCACTTAATTAACAATGGAAATTTGGAGCTCAGCTGTGGTCGTAAGTCAAGGGCTATCTTCTTCATGCACCAGGGAGCGTTAGCATTGGCTTAAAAACATATCAGCCAGCAAGACTTAATGAAATGGCTGGATTGTATTTGCTTTTTAAAATCTCAGCATGGCTGATGTTAGTAACCAAATGTTGTGGGGAATAAAGAATAAAAATATCTTCTGATAAAGTCAGGCCAAGGAAAGGTTGGTATCCTTGAAAGAGCCATGAGGCCATGTCCTGACTTGAAGTGGTATCCTATGCTACTTATGTTCCAGTGTTTCATCCATTGTGACATTTCTGTTCGAACCTTACCTGGGTTTCCCTGCTCATTACAACAATCTCCTCCTGGTTCACTCCTACGATGCAAGGTGAGGGGATATCTGGGGCACTGGTCCTCTCTGCAGAGAAAACATTATAGCCAAAGAGCGGCAGCTGAATCACATGCTCTGCAAGAAGAGAAACAAGACAGGAATGGAATGTCAGACTCGCCAAAACCACTCCAGCTGTGCATCTTTTCCAGGGCAAATTGCCATCTCTGCGGAAGCAAGAATGTGGCCCAAAGCCAAGCCGTTGAAGCTGTGGCACTTTCAAAGCTGCCCAAACCTCCATTTGCATACCCAACAATGCTTGCAGTTGTGGTTGGACATCTACTGCCATATGATTCCCTGCCTGCAAATCATCCCAAGTGGGCAATTACAGCAACCTTGGGAAAGCCTCTGTTTTCATGACAGCAATAGGCGAGACTACAGTTACTTTTCATGACGCTAAGGAGGTTTGCCTTTCAAGGGATTATTTCTGTGCTTTTGTTAGCTCCATTAACTAAAAAATCAACAAATCAACTCCACAAAAGGGCTAAAATGTCTTTTATTGAGATTGTAACAGAACCTTGTAAGCCTGTGATGTATAGATTCTCTTCTTGTAGTTCAATGAATTAGGAAGATGTCCGTGAGCTGTTTCTAAATGTTATCTGGCTGTTCTGAACTTAAAATATTTTTTTCCCCTTGTTGCCTTGGCAATGGAGCTTGCGTATCTCTGTCAAAGCAATTTTCCTTATTCTCTTGTTGATCCATATAGTCTTTGCCTCTGGCCTATATATACAAATGAATATTTATACAAGGGTCCTTTCACAGACCACAATTGTTGCTATATGTTTGGAGAAAATGGGTTTACGCATGTTGGCTAGCTGTGCAAGTAAATCTGGAAAGCTTTGCAATAATGTCTTGAGCAGATTTAAAATAGAGAACTGCCCACAACTTGCCCCATATAATGAGCGGGAGAGATTCTGCAGTGAAACACAAACTGAAATCATCCTTGGAGGTCATCTATGCATGCACAGCTTTGGCAACAATATGCAACTTATATGCATATAGAAATGATATAGCAATAAAGCTATCCCAAAATCTTGCCTATTGCAAGGATCTAGCCTACTTTGAGGATAATTATATAATGCATGTAGATATACAATGTACATACAACTTTGGAGGAAATTAGATATAAAAAAATAAAACATTCCCTTCAAATCCCACACTACCACGTTCAAAACATATTTCAGGTAGCAGCATAAAACCAGAACAAAGGTTAAGATGTTTATCAAATGCAGCTGTTGAACTCACCAATAAAACCTATTTGTGCCTGCAGTGGCTCCAATGGTTCTATCGTCTCCAGCTGATAAGCCATGGCAATTTCAACAATGTCTGGGGTGATGTTGATTGAAACAGGGATATAATTCTTCAGTTCCTCTCTATTTAAATAAATAGGAAATATGGACTTGACCATAAACTAAAATTACAGAGTATTCAGAAAAACTCTTCCATACCTGGGGAAGAATTACAGAGGATTTCTTGCCATTATTCTCAAGGTGAGCCAGAAAAAAACCTCATGCATGAATGCCAAGTGTTAGTGTGCAACTTGCAATTCCATGAATAAATACCGTAGGTATGGGAGAATTGATTTGGATGGAGCAGAGGTGTCAAACTGGTGGCCTGCAGGCCAGATATATCACATGCAGGCCACGCCCACCCCAGCTCCGCAAAGGCAAAAAAGACGTCACGATACGTCAAGTGACGCGATTGAGTTTGACATCTGTGGAATAGAGAACCAGGATCCTATGTAAAAGCAGGGGAGCTTAACTGGCTGCTGTTAAGAATCACTCTGAGGGAGATGGGCAGTTTTTAAATTATACACATACACAGACATATTCTTGTCTGAGGCTCTTGTTTTTGTGTATGGTAAATTTTTCATTTTATGTATGCTTTTTTGAAAATGCATTCAAAGAAAGCTACCCTAGGTTTTTGGAAAGAAAGAGAAATTATGCAATATAATTTGGGGTGTTGCAAGGCTCTGTTGAGTATGCTAACAGAGGTATCGGCATCTGTAAAGAACTGCTTTAATGGGAAACACATAGAGGGTCAGGGCAGTGACTCATTTCCTTAACACTATAGGTCTAAGCACACCATCTTTTCCCACTTTGGGGCCACTGCTTAGACTGCATCAATCAGTAAACAAACACCCTAGTCTACAATCTATTCTGAATTGATGTTCCTATCTCCATTCCAATACTGTAGAAAGCCTTACCTTGTAGGGACCGACTTAGTTCCTCTGGCCCAGTGCTGAAGCAAAGTCAAGGTGCCCAGCTGCTGCCCAAGTTTGCTGGTGTGCTGCAACGACAGTGAACCTGTCATATAATTCTGCAAGACCTAGTAATAAATAACCCAGAAGAGAGTTTGCTTTGTAGTTCTCCATAGTAGGCTTTTAAAGCAGTTATCACTGAAGGAACATTTGTAATTGCACAGGTTCTGCAATTCCTAGCATTATCCTGTGATAACAAAAAAAAATGTTTAATAAATAAGTAAATACAGCAAATTCAACCAAGCGGGAACAGGAATTTATCATGTACTCCTAGCCAATGCATAAGTCACCTTCCATAAGAATTAGTCAGCCATCCTTTGCGTTATTATCAAAATCATTGTCATCATCATCACCCCACATCTTCTTCAGGAGTTCTAGAAGGCATCCAAGGAGACCTGTCTTAATTTTATCCCCACAACAACCCACTGAACTACTTTGGGCAGAAAGTGACTGACACACACTCAATCCCTCCATGTAGTAGTAGTAGTAGTAATAGTAATAATAATAATAATAATAATAATAATAATAATAATAATAATAATAATAATAATACAAAATGCCAAATACAGTCTGAACATCTGGCTGACTGTGCGATGATCAATAATAATAATAATAATAATAATAATAATAATAATAATAATAATAATAAAGTTGGAAGGGACCTTGGAGGTCATCAAGTCCAACCCCCTGCTCAGGCAGGAAACCCTATACCATTTCGGACAAATGGCTGTCCAGTCTCTTCTTAAAAACTTCCAGTGTTGGAGCATTCACCGCTTCTGGAGGCAGGTTGTTCCACTGGTTAATTGTTCTACTGTCAGGAAGTTTCTCCTTAGTTCTAGGTTGCTTCTCTCCTTGATTAGTTTCCATCCGTTGCTTCTTGTCCTGCCTTCAGGTGCTTTGGAGAAAGTTTGACTCCCCTCTTCTTTGTGGCAGCCCCTGAGATATTGGAATACTGCTATCATGTCCCCCCTTGTCCTTCTCTTCGTTAAACTAGACATACCCAATTCTAGCAACCGTTCCTTATATGTTTTAGCCTCCAGTCCCCTAATCATCTTTGTTGCTCTTCTCTGTACTCTTTCTAGAGTCTCAACATCTTTTTTACGTCGTGGTGACCAAAACTGGATGCAGTATTCCAAGTGTGGCCTTACCAAGGCATTGTAGAGTGGTATTAATACTTCACGTGATCTTGATTCTATCCTCTGTTAATGCAGAGGGATAGGACTGTGTTGGCTTTTTTGGCAGCTGCAGCACACTGCTGGCTCATATTTAAATGATTGTCCACTAGGACTCCGAGATCCCTCTCACAGTTACTACTATTGAGCAAGGTATCCCCTATACTATACCTGTACATTTGGTTTTTCTTGCCTAACTGTAGAACTTTACTTTTTTCACCATTGAATTTCATTTTGTTAGATAACGCCCAGTGTTCAAGTCTGTCCAGATCCTCCTGTATCCTAAGCCTGTCTTCTGGAGTGTTGGCTATTCCTGCCAGCTTGGTGTCGTCTGCAAATTTGATGAGTTCCCCATCTATCCCCTCATCCAAATCATTGATGAAGATGTTGATGAAGATGATGGCCAAGTCCTAGTCCTAGTCTAGACCTTAACCATAATCCCATACCAGCTTTTTACAGTCTTAACTAACAGTGCAATACTTTTCCTTTCATACCTGGTTATAATGAAAGTTGATGTAGACCTCATTATCAAGGTGTAGAGGAATCTTCCAAGTGATCCTACAGAAACTTAGTCCTATTGAACTTTCGTCTAACAAATAGTCATGGACATATTCCTCCTGGTGCAAAGGCCTTATCATTTTGCCTGCATAGGATTAAAAAAAATGATGATCACGCCATCCCCACCCAAAGCACTGAGCTCAAAGGCAAATATTTTAAATATTTTCCCAAATACAGGTAGTCCTCGATTTACGATCACAAGTGAGCCCAAAATTTCTGTTGCTAAGTGAAACACTTGTTAAGTGAGTTCTGCCCTATTTTACAATCTTTCTTGCCACAGTTGTTAAGTGAATCACCGCAGTTATTAAGTTAGTCACACAGTTGTTAAGTGAATTTGGCTTCCCCCTTGCCTTTACTTGTCAGACATGATCCCAGGACACTGCAACCGTCATAAATAAGAGCCAGTTGCCAAGTGTCTGAATTTTGATCACATGACCATGGGGATAAGTCACTTTTTCAGTGCTGTTGTAACTTTGAACAGTCACTAAATGACCTGTTGTAAGTCGAGGATTACCTGTATAAGGCAACCTTATCCCCTTTACTATAAGTTTACTGCATGGTAACTTTCCAATTTTCAAGCTGATAGCAAAGTATAAGACGTATTAAACTCATCCAGCTTGTCTGTCAATTTTCACTGAACTGATAAGCATAGCTTATCAGACTTCACCAAAATGGTAACAATTTTTTTTTCTATCTCAGTCTTTCCATCTTCGTCTCATAAAACTTTTAAACTTTCTTTCAAAATTAGTTATTCCATACAGATGCCAAAAAAATGGTCATGACAGAAGGATAATATATATTTGGCATCATTTGAAAGCAAAACATGACATCTACACCTACACTTAAAAGGAACAGATGCAATTTAAATGTTATTTTTTAAAAAAAGCATTAAAGGAGCTGGCAATGAACATATATGCCTTAACTAGCAATGAGATTTTAACATTGGAAATGCTAAAGTAGTGGTGGCTACATTCAAAGAGGCAACTCTTAGTGCCACCAAGCAAAAGGCCCTGATAGCTTTTTCATATCCCCTACCTCAATGAATTTTCTATAGAGAGAAAGAGAAGAATGGGTGTGGCAAATATGGGGAAATTAAAAAAGAAAGGTGATAGTATTTGGACCCTCCATCAAATGTTACGAATGAAACAAGAGATTGCTCAACAAAAACCAAGATGCTCTGAAAGTACAAGACTTAAATTAAATTCCCTTAAAACTGTACATTACCATGATCAAGTATGGCAATTAACAGGCTGTGATTTCTAGAAAGGGTTACAAACTTGCTATTGTTGTATTAAAAAGTGGTTCAAAAAGAAAGAAAAAAGAAAAAAAAGAGTCCCCTACTGCTACCTGAGAATATATAAATAAGTCCAGATCCAAGACTCCTGGCAAATCTCTTTTAATAAGGAGTAGGAAGCCAGCCAAACCAAGCATGGAGCAAACCACCACAAGCCACACTTTAAATAAATAGGTGCAAGATCCTCTATGCATATCATAATGTGGCCCTAAAATCAATATCATGGCTATCATCCTAAATACATTCTTCATATTCAAGCTGTCATGGTTCTGACAGATGAAACTCTTCAAAGAACTTTGAGGCATTGTTTACCTTAAAGAATCTTTATTCACGGAACACAACATAATCGAAGCAAAAAACTGAATTCCACTCCCCTGAGCACATAGTATCAAAGCACAATTCCCTCCTTCAATTAACAGTCATAAATCACATTCCCCAATTAGCTTGAAGTGCCAGCTTCCTCTCCAGTTCTCCAGCCCCCAATTCCTTATCAGCTCTGGTTACAATAACTTTGCTTCTCACTCGGCTAGGTCTATTGTTATTATATCTAGCTGGACTCCCCCTCCCCCAGCATCATCTAACTCTAAAAGCAAAAGGTAAAAGATGCCTACATCTCCATTTGTTGTCAATGTAGAAACATCCGATGTTGTCAGCGTTGACACAAACCTTGAAAAATTACTCCGCCCTCTTCGAGTTCTATGGTTTTATGTATCAGGACATAGTAAAAATCACCTGGTCCGTAGCAGTGCTTAAAAATAGTTAAATACAACCTCAGATGAACAAGACATAAGATATTACACTACTATGTCATTATTTATTTTACAAAAAGAAAGGCAAAATGGACACGCCATGCCATGTGTTGTTTTTCATCTAAGATTGTATTTAATGACTTTTTAAGAACTGCTATGTCAATCAATGCTATGTCCTGATATGTAAAACTATAGAACTCAAAAAAGGGTTTACTTTCTTTTTCACAGGACCGTATACAACCCCAGAGAACTAGGACCCTGGCAGTAGAAGTCCATGGGAAAGAGAAAGCTTCATCAGAGTGAATCTCCATATTCAACAGATTTCACATATTGAAGTTGACTATCATCCACAGTACACTTGCCTTTGTCTTTGCTGGCTAGGATGGCAAATTCTTGGATCTCCTCCAACTCGGTAACTCCTATGTGCTTACAGATTTGCTTTAACACATCCGCTGTAACCTACAATCAGAAAAAAAATAGTCTATTTAAGCGTGTGCAAATTGCTTTGGACAAATGTAGTCCAAAGGTGTAAGGGAGATAGACAAATGAGATTTAAGTCTTGTTTAATTCCATTACTTTTAAAAATCTCTTTTTTGTTATGTAAGGAACAACCACAGATACCAAAAAAAACCAAAACCATGTTGAGAAACAGTGGGTGAAACAAGCCCTCTCGGTTTTCAGAAAGATGATCTGGATTCAATCAGAATAGAGCTGGAAGGGACCTTGGAGGTCTTCTAGACCAACCCCTGCTGAAGCAGGAGACCCTATACCGTTTCAGATAGATGGCTAGGAAGTTTCTCCTTAATTCCAGTTTGCTTCTCTCCTTGATTTGTTTGCATCCATTGTTTCTTGTCCTGCCCTCTGGTGCTTTGGAAAATAAGTTGACCCCTTCCACTTTGTGGCAGCCCCTTAAATACTGGAATACTGCTATCATGTCACCCCTATTTCTTCTTTTCTCTAGACTAGCCGTACTCAATTCCTGCAACCGTTCTTATGTCAAGCGAGAGAGAATTTAGCATTATTATGAGTTTTAATCCAAAGTATGATTGTGTCTATACCTCTCAGCAAGCAGGTTACAAAGCTTTGCCCAAATCAAAAAAGAAGGGAGAAATTGGGAGGGATTCCTAATGTGGCATATTAATATTACAAAGAAAGGAACACAGGGAGTTATGCCAGGCCATTGGAGTATTTGTTGTCTGCTGTGACTCCCAAGTTCAGGCCGTTCTCATCAACAATTTTATCTGCTTTATTTTTAATCCAGGGATGCAAACTACTGTTGCCAAGTTCCCTCAACCTTCCCTCCCCCCCCTCCCCAAAAGGCTAGAAAAATGATTACAGGTAGAGTTCAAGTAATAAGACACAAGAACTTCAAAGAGTAAAACTGAGTAACCAAAGATGGAGATTGGCTTCTTAAAGGTCTACATCAAAACTGCTCTTTGAATGTCCTCAGTAAGGCAGTAAGGCAACATCAACATTAATTAAAAGGGGGGGGAGTACTCATCATCATGGATTTGTGAGCACCACTCCACAATATGCTGTTTAATGGAATAAACAGGAACTTACATCGAATGTCTTAATCCTTGCATTATAGTGCAGACCTCCAGGTAAGAGGATTGACATCCGGCGGAAACAGTGGCCCTTCTGACAATAGGAAAGCAAGAATCAGCACAGTAGAGGCATTTTGTGTTCCTAATTGAAAGCCAATTCCTGGCAAAACTGAGCACTTTTGAAACAGAATTAAGAAACAGAATTTCAGTGCAGGTAGTCTGCAATTTACATTGATTCATTTAGCAACCATTCAAAGTTACAAGGGCACCCAAAAACGTGACTTACAACAGATCCTCACATGATGGTCACAGCATCCCCACAGTCATGTCAGAATTCAGGTACTTGGCAACTGGTAAAATCTGGCACTGTTCAATTAACAACCACCTTGCTTAGCAACAGAAATTCTGGTCCCTATTGTCATAATTCAAAGACTACCTGTATTTTTTATCCTTCAAATCAATGGAACTTGAAACTATGTTTTAGTTTAACATTTAATTAAAAAGATAATTTTGATGAAAGCAAATACATATGTGAGCAACTTGAGCTAGTCTTACTGGTTGTCCTTAGCATTAATAAGTAAAAAATCTATTTCTGGGCCATTTCTGTAATCACACATATGATAATGATTCAAATAGCAGGTATGGATCTGTTTTCCTTCAAATATTGTTATAACATCTTTTATTCGAGATACATTTTTTCACATAACACATGTTTTATCTTAAATGTCTTCCCTTATAACTGCTTGTAATGATCTCAAAGAAGAATTCCTTTGAACAACATATTCTTCTGACTTAATTCTTCAAAACTTAATGGACACCAAGGATGTACATGAAATTTATAAATATATGTATGCAAATGATTGTGACCTATCAAAACAGGTTTTGTCATCACATGTCCACTATTTGCCTCCAAAAATTCATCATGCCAAAGTCTACTTTTACAAATAGTTAGTCAAAAATACAGGAAAATTGTGCCCCAAAATAATGAATCTTGGGGTAGTTGTGCTCTTCAAGGTGATGCTGCCAGAGGATAAAGGTGGTCAAAATATTAAATTCTAAGACAGGGGTTCTCAACCTTGACAACTTTAAGACTTGTGGACTTCAATTCCCAGAATTCCTCAGCCAGCAAAGCTGGCTGAGGAATTCTGGGAGTTGAAGTCCACAAGTCTTAAAGTTGCCAAGGTTGAGAACCCCTGTTCTAAAACATTTGGATGATTCGGCATAATTCTGGACATCAAGACTCCCTAAATAGGCAATACTACGGTAAGCAGCACACATAAACCTTCGCTCAAAAAGCCTGTTTTCTCACATATCAAATTGCCTTCATAAATCATATTTATGCAAATGATTCAACCTCAAGTTGCACATTAAAAAGCTGCTCCATTTCCAGCATTTGCTTTGTTTTATCATCTTCCCCAGCTAGGCTCTTTTCTGCTTTTGTGCCTGGGAGATTTGCATCAGCACTCAAGCGGAAGACACTCCCACCATGACCCATATCTGCATTTCATTTACCAAAAATGCATTCATCTCTGCCAAAAATGGCAAGTGTTGACGGCCTCCATACACAATCAGTTTCCTCAGGTTGCTCTGGCAATCCTGCACTATTCCTGAGGATTAAAAAAGACACAAGGATGAGCATACGATGTAGGAAGTGTGGCTGACATTTAAAGAGGCTTCTGCTAAAAGAGAATTACTGTATATTCCGGCGTATAAGGCGACTGGGCGTATAAGACGACCCCCAACTTTTGAGAAGATTTTCAGGGTTTAGAAAGTCATACGCCAGAAAATACAGTACAATATTGAATTTCTGTTTATAGATGAGCACAATAGGAGCTCCATTCCTTTGCTGCTAGAAAGCTTTGTCCTGTTAGTGCTTATTTCTGTAAAAAAAAATAGGGCTGGCCACTAGGGGGCAGATTGGTTTTAAATTCAGAGAACAGCTACCCGTATATTCCTGTGTATAAGACGACCCCCCCCCGACCTTTGAGAAGATTTTCAGGGTTTAGAAAGTCGTCTTATACGCCAGAAAATACGGTAGTTGCTGGAACTCATGCATGAGTTCCCCACCTACATTCCCCACACAGGACTGAGGCTTGGCTGTTGACTATTAAAAGGATGTCAAGGGGCGTACAGAAATGAAGGTTTGGGGGTGGATAGACTGTGAGCATGGAAAATTCCACCAGCTTCTTCCCAACTAATGAATTAAAAACTGCTCTTCCAGTGAATAGGAGAAGGCGTGTTGTGTACCTGAGCAGTGGTGGGTACTATCATAGCAGATCTGCTGCAAAAACTGAGTGATGTAAGGCATCAAGGTACTGGATGGGAGGAAGTATCCAGTCAAAAGGCTGAGGAGCCGCCAGCCATGGTGACAACTGTCCCTGGAACAAAAAGTAAGAATTGTGACAGACTTTGAGCCCATGATCACAAATGAAAAGATTTCTTATTGACTAAAAGGGGGGGAAAAAAGAGAGAAAACGCTGAGGAGAAATAAACGAGAAAAAAGTGGGAAATGAAAAGGTACAAAGAAGCAAATTTGAAGTGGGAAATGTGAAAACAGCTAGGTTAGCCCCCAAATAGCCATATCACAATTTAAAAAACACCAGTGAATCCACCCCCACCCCCATAACTCCCTGCCTTCCAAAAAATGGAAGTGAGGATGTGATCATTGAAAGATTGCCCAACCTGGCACTAAAAAAGAAAAAACCTAAATCCAAGATCTGGGAAGAGCTTTCTATAGGACTGCTATAGTATCTTTAAAAAGAAACCTATGAGATAAGATATTTGAAATTAAAACTAAGACAACCCCACATTTATCTGGAGCAGCTGCCTATCACTGTTTAGCCTATAATACTCTGTAGAACTTTGCAAGAATAAAAGAAAATGTAAACCAAACATATAACAAGATAACAGAAAAATAAATTATCTGTTAATTCCCAAAACGGAGTCCATCAGACTGATGAGTCACTGCTCCTATCTTTGCTTGTTTTCTTTCCATTTATTTATTTGTTTGTTTGTTTATTGCATTTATATCCCATTGGAATCCAACGACTCTCTACAGCTTACATCACTTACAAGATAGGCAAAATATTAAAAATACCATGTTATGATTAAAAATGTACTAATAAAATCACACTAATAAAAACCTAGAAACCCAAACCAAAAGACACTATATTACCAAAGTAAAATACTACAAAAATAAATAATTGGAATCGAAGATGGACTGGTGCATAAACTCAGTTAAGACATTCTCTGATATCTGTTCTCTTTTAAACATTTTTCTCAGAGACAGCAAAGAAGGGCCAGCCTGAGATTGAGAGCACTGGTACCACCATGGAGAAGCAGCAGCTTCCGGTTTTGGTTCCCTTGACCTCTTGGCAGTCTGGGGCAATGAGGAGTTTCTTATTAAATGAACCAGAACTTTGGGCTGATACCAATAGGGGGAGATACTCCTCCAAGTGGCCAGGTGCCACACCATAAAGGGTTTTTTAAAGTTAAAGCCAACACTTAAATATTTGTCAGGAATCAATCAGCAACCCATGCAAGGTGTGGAAGAATCAGCATTATATTCTCTGGTGCTTACAGATTAGGGTTCTCGGTGATCTGCTTGATAACCTGGCAGTAAACTTCATCATGCAGAGTCTTCTTCTCTTTGCACAACTATAAAAGCGAAGGGAAAAAATGTGAAGGAATTAGTTTCCTCTTTTCTTGTAGGCCACATGGAAGGCACTAAGATTACCCCGATCTGAGAAACACTGGAATATTAATTTTTCTGCAATGGTCATTAATTGTACTTTGCAATCCTGAGCCCCCAAGCTTGGAGTGCTATCTTGCACTTTCACTGGAATCTGAGGTCAGATTGAGGTCAGTATCTTGCGATAATCTTCATTGTGGTTGATAAGAATATATGAAAAAGCCTTTGGTCCTGATGAAGAATCCAGAAAGCAGGACTTCCTATTCCCCTTAGCCCATTTTTGTGCTGGATGAGAGCATTATTGCTTTAGCAAACAGAATTTGGAGGCCAAAGGGGCAGGTTTTGTGTGCCACAGAAAAGGAATCAGCAATGAATTCACTGCTGAACTCAGAGCAGAAGTTCAGACCTTCTCAGCAACTTTAACAAAAAGGTCCCAAGGCAACAGAACTAGCTTACCATAGTTTGAAGTAAACAGACCAAAGTACAGTCCATATAAACTCATTAGTGATAAGAACTCATATTTTGAAATGACTCTTTGAGAACTTGGGGTGTTTAACTTCTTTCCTTTCCTAATACTTTTGTTTCCCTTCCCTCTTCCCATTTCCTACTTTAACCTGATTGTCAGTTGTATATATTGCTTCCTCTTGATATCTTTGATCTTAAAGCAGTGGTTCTCAACCTGTGGGTCAGGACCCCATTTGGGGTCGAATGACCATTTCACAGGGGTCGCCAAACAACGCAGTCCGCCATTTTTCCCCCCTTTTCCTTAGCTGTGCTACTCCCTTTTATTCTATTGGCTTTTGAAAGCCAATAGGAATTGTCCAGGCTGTCTCTGCCCTGCTGAGCCCGCCAAAAGGCCCATTCTGCAAACGGTGCTGCACCAGTTGAGTAGTCCTCGACTTACGACCGGTTGAGTAGTCCTCGACTTACGACCGGTTGGGGGGTCGCGGCATTAAAAAGGTTGAGAACCACTGTCTTAAACTGTGCATATATATATAATTTAAGGTAAAAGTTCCCAGAGTTTGCCAAGGGGAATACAAAGGGGAAATAAGCATCTCAAAATCAATCTCCTTTCAAGGCTATCAATGTTCCTTCAGCAGAAATATGATTTCCTTCCAGGTCTCATTCAAGTCATTTTTATCTATACAAATCCATCACAAGAGCCACAAACCTGAAGGATTTCATAGATATAATCCATCTGATCTTCTTTCTTGAGGCCTGGCTGGTCTCCCATGAACCTCATCAGAGCTTCAAAATAAAAATCAGCATTGATCTTAACTGAATAAGTAAAATATAGGGTTATGGCACTGATTCCTAAGAGGAGATTCAAGGGCCTCTGTTTTGGTCTGTATTATCACATCAAACACAAACAGTAAGATATCATCTAAATTTATCTTCCATTTAGAAAACAGAAACTGCCAATGAATTTGTGAGTTTTTTTTAAGAGGATGATTCAAAGTAAGAATTAGCAATATAATTGTTGTGAACATCTGTTGATCCCTGATTATATGCAATAAAATAAAACTATAGACTCAAATGCACGTGATTTCACTGTTCTTATAAAAGATCTTTGAAAATTCTCAGAAAATGTGGGAGAGGAGATGCATAAGCACTACCTCATAAGATCTTGCAGTGCTGTCTAGTGCAGTGGTTCTCAACCTGTGGGTCGGGACCCCATTTGGGGTCGAACGACCATTTCACGGGGGTCGCCAAACAACGCAATCCGCCATTTTTCCCCCTTTTCCTTAGCTGTGCTACTCCCTTTTATTCCATTGGCTTTTGAAAGCCAATAGAATAGACTCTCTTGAATAGAGTCTAATTCTATTGGCTTTCAAAAGCCAATAAGAATTATCCAGGCTGTCTCTGCCCTGCTGAGCCCGCCAAAAGTCCCATTCTGCAAACAGTGCTGCACCAGTTGAGTAGTCCTTGACTTACGACCAGTTGAGTAGTCCTCGACTTATGACCAGTTGAGTAGTCCTTGACTTACGACCGGTTGGGGGTCGTGGCATTAAAAAGGTTGAGAACCACTGGTCTAGTGTCTAAAACTATTCCTGATTCTTACTTCAGAATGTGCAACTATTTTTAAAGGGAGGTGGGTGGGAATCAAGCATTGCATTTAAAAAATGTTTCTCATTTCAACAGCGTTTAAAATGTCTCTGCATAACCAAAACCCTTTTTACGGGTTAAGTGTCTAATATAAGTATTAGAATGCATCCCCTTCTCACATTTCATTGTAAGATGATGACTAACTGCTAATCCTTTCTCTCCCATCTCTATCACTTTTCTTTTATTTACCATATTGTCAGCTGGAAAAGGTTTGAAGAATTCAAAAGCAAACCTATATGGAAGTTGTTCTGGTAAAAATATAGTCCTATTAGTTGATTTTCAGAGAGCTAGTAAAAGTAGAAATGTTCTCAGTACCTTTCCTGAATCCATAGCTAAATTAAATAAAAGTTTAATCAGTGCTTTGGCAATAGACTACCCATCACTTCACTAATGGAGCATTACGTACTCAAAAAATTTTTTGTAGCCAAGTTATTCAACTCATCATCAGAATGAAACAGGAGAGCTTCCTGGATTGGTACCTACAAAGTCAGAAGGGAGAGATTCAACAGAGGCAGTGGATTCTAAAAAAGATGAGCAGAAAATGACGGATGTCCTTTTTATTCAATGAAACGTAATATGTGACTAAGCAACACCTTTGGGGGGTCAATTTTCACAAGAATAATTCATTGGGAAAGGGCACATTTTACACCTAATGCTGGATGGGATCAGAGCCAAAAATGAGTAAAGCACCCAACTTGCTTTTCTTTTCATCATACCTTTTTTTTCCCCCTCTATCTCACCTTCCCTTTATTTTGTCTTTCCTCCTTACAGAACAGGCTCATATAGTGAAAGGATCACACCTACAAAATGTTTGGATTGATTCCTTGGAAAAGACCTGCGCACCTTCGTCAAGGGCAGTATATGGTTCTAGGGTAGCCATGCCTAATTGAAAGAGTGGGGAACTTGGTCCTTAAGTGGCATGTTGGAACATTCTACACAAAGTGGGTCTCTGTGAGTAGGAGCAGAAGAAAAACTAAATTCAACTGAATCTAGCATTCATTTTAATTCAGATTTCATGTAATTACGTGGAATATGAATACTTAATATGAATAATTCCCACATATTTAATAATGTTTCCTGTAGTAGCAAAAGTGTAGTTCGATAGGAATCGTTGGAGGGGTGGCAGGAGCCATGCTATAGCTCCAGGGGTTGCTTCCAGGGCTTGGGTTCAGGTTGCTTATTCAGGTATCAAAAATAAAACTTCTGTCAATTAGAGAAAAGACAACATCTACATTTATTGCTGACTGCAAACCCCTTACAGACGTCTTGCAGAAAACAAAACAAAACAAAACCCCAAACCAAACTTATGATTTATAGTTTTGATTATTAGACAGGATAGATTATATAAAGAATACTTTTGTAACTTTAGAGAAACAAGCAAATTTAGAATTGTACTTATAACTGCTGCAATGAAGATGGGCAGTGACTTCTTTGTGTCTTGTTTTCCTTTCTCTTCTAGTTTGATTTTTCCTTTCTTGCCTTTTTTAACTTTCTCTTTGATTGCTTTTTCTTTTTTACTTTCTTACGTTATATTAATTTGTATTCGTTTTTAATTTCCTTTTTTGGAACTTTTAATACAAATATTAAAAAAAACGAGACTTCTGCCCCTTACCCATCTTTTAACTTTCTATATCCCAAATGACAAAGAGGAGGAGGAACCCAGACAGGCGGATTCCTCCTGATTTACCTTTGTATGCTGAACCAAGAGAGCGGGGTCCATCTGTTCAACTCCCATGCCCTTCCATCCTAGCCTAGCAGAAACACAAAATGGGGATTTTGTTACCTACAAAATGAATCATGGGAAGCCACAGGAGATGCTCCAACCTTTAGCACGCGCTCATTCCTAGCTTCAACTTTTGCTCAGTGGAAAAACATACAATGATTTGCAGAAGGTCTCAGGTTCTACCCCTCACTTTTCCAGATTAGTTACTTGTGTTTTACCACCACCCCTCCCCAAAACAGGTAGCATATGTGAACAGTTTTTGGCAGAGACTCTAGAACAGGGGTCTTCAAACATGGCCCTTTTATGACTTGTGGACTTCAACTCCCAGAATTTCTCAGCCAGCATGCCTGGCTGAGGAATTCTGGAAGTTGCAGTCCACAAGTCATAAAAGGGCCAAGTTTGAAGACCCCTGGTCTAGAATTAAAAAAGAAGGGTTCTTTATAAAATCAAATATAACGACTGGAATCATACACTACCATTAGCCATATTTTGCTTAGCAGAGTTTGTTGAACAATCAACATTGTTGGACTCACAAAATAAGCTATGCTAATACCAAAATACCTTTGTAAGGAACGTGTCAATCATATGCATGTTAGAAAGCAGTCATCTGTGCTCATGATTTTTGAAGTATGGTCTATATGAGTTCTAATCGATTTGTGAGGCAATAACTTATATCTATGCTAAAGGGCTGACAGAATTCCCAGGACATCTTTAGACCCAAACATCTTTAAATTAAAAACTTTTAACATTTGGTTTAAAATACTCAGTAGAATCAGCTGCATACATGTTTCTCCGTCCTGAAAGAATAAATAGGGCATGTAAAAAATAGGAAGCTTTGTTGGGAGGGAGAGGGAAGTCCATCTATGCAATAGATTTATGTGACTATAAGTACAGTATTTGGTACCTTCTATATTTTTATTTTAATGATGCAGCTTCATTGTTTTTATTATATTGTGTACTGTTTTAATAAACTTTGTGCTCTATTCAGGTTTTCTTGCTAATGAAGCTCAGGAGGTGTTAAACAATGAAGGACTTCTGAGCAAGCTCAGTAAGTCACAATGATTTCATTATTTTCTTTTGGGTGCTGAAGACAGAAAAACCCACTCCCCACTCTTAAGGAACGTGACGAAAACAATCATGTGCTTTGCATCTTGAGCCGCATACACCTTTACCTTATTATCAGTCCTTGAAATGGTTGACAGCTTATTCTCAATCCTTCTTTGCTACATAATATTTACTTGACAAGTCTGCCAGAAGTAACTGGTCTTGTGGCAGACGATCTTTCCATTTACCCAACTCACCTGATTCTGCCTTTGTGAAATGCAAAAGCTCTAAAATTAATGATTATTAATTATTAATTTAACATATTTAAATTAATATTTAATTTACTTATTAATTAAAATTATTAATATTGCTAGACACTCAGTAAGACTAATTCCATGAACTTTTTATGAAAATTTGGGATTCTGAAATACCTTGTTCTCTAACAGCACAGGCTTAACTGACCAATGTAAATAGCCTCTAATTGGAACTCAGAAATACTACAATAGTTCTTATCTAACTGTGACCAGTCTTACCAGCATTAGCTAAACCTGAACTAGTTAAGTGAACTGGCAGGCGTGCCAATCTAAAATCCTCTAGCAAGGCTCTGGAAACATGGTTTCTTCTATCTGAAAAACAAATTTTGATTTGTCCCACTTAGGGAAATGCTATCCACCTATTAATGAGGAAATGTAATTATGTAAGGTATCTTAATCTTTCTGGGGTGAAATATAAAATAAAATGATCAATAGCTATGCTTTCAGAGCAGATCACATCACTTTTTATTTTATAAACCTGCAATGAAGACAAAAGCTATGATGCCAATGGAGTTATTAATAGAGAAGACTTCAAAGCATCCTTAAAACCAGGTGTGCTGGAAGGGAAAAAGGATACACAAAATCATTTGAAATTCAAAACCTCCATTTCAAGTAAGAAACACCCTACTTCAAATTCAAAATAGCTGCTTTGATTGGAACATGGGTGTTTTGAGATTCCAAAACATTTAAAACATCCTCTTTGATATATCACAACAAAGGATTTCAAAGACTCAGGCTCATTTCTGAGGGGCATCATATCTAGAAAATGCTATCTTACTAATCATGATAAGTATTCAAACTCTCTGCATGAGTCAAAGATGAAGACATCCCTTTAGATATGCTTTAATTCCTCAATAGTCTGGGATTTGGTCTTATCAGCAGACATGCTTCCTCTCAGATTGAGACAGCACCTGACAATCTGTTTCTTAGCTCCATGAACCTCAGTGCGCTGTTTATTTAAAACGTCCACATACTTTTTTCAACATTTAATTCTTTATTGACATATATTTTAAATATATAAAAAGCAGATACTTTGTAAGGCTATTATACAAAGGTGATTATAACAAATCAAACGTTAAACGAAACATTGCAGATTAAATAAATACACTAAAAAGAACTGATTACAGCACCTCAAGAGTGATTTCACTAAACAAAATGGTGGAAAAAGAATTAAGAATTGAGATTTGGTTGAAATTTAACAGGATGAAGCATAATAATTTATGGGAGTGTGTTTGCTGTGGGTGCATGCATAGAAATGAAATATAAAAATATTTATTTTGAGATAAATCAGGAGGGGAGGGGAGGAGAGGAGAGAAGAGGAGGAGAGATGCTTCTTTTGCATACAATTACTTGCTGGCTGCAATGGATGGCAATTTTGTACACAGCCAGTATTTTCCATATATTGTAAAAAATGTGGAAGTTCATTGGGACATTTTTCCAGAATTACCCAGTTATTTCTAATCAGTAAATTAGCAAAACTTCAGCTAGCCAAGCAAAGAACATTTTTGTCACATGCTTTTAAACCTTTGAACTGAAAAGCATTCCTGCCACGAAAGATTTCCAGTAGAATTGATGAATCAGAAGGAGTCTTGGGGAAAATATATCTGAGCAGCTAAGAATCGATGTAGCTTCTCTGATCATTTTGACAGCATAGTAATGTCTTCCAAATAGATCACCGGCCCATTCAAAACCCTGGTCCCACTCTATCTCTGGGATAGGAAATCTTTTTCAGAAGGAGGATCAGAAGGCTATTTTATAGGATTGAATGAATATATCTATCCTTGACAATGTAGTTGATCTCATGAAGATCCCCAAAGATATGAGTTTTCAGTTCTCAGTTGGATAGGAAAAAAGTGCCTTGTTTGCAAATAATAGAACAGCTCAGTTTCCTCAAGATATCTGAAGAGGAATAAAGATGCTAGAAGTATTCTTTCCTTTGCATGTTCTTTTTTTAGCTGGCTGATACTTTCATTTTTCCACAGTGTGTATTATTAATGAAAATGTGATTCAGAATTGCAATGTCTGAGGCATCACTGAAGGTTCAACTACTTCTATGTCCCTTAAGACTCTGAGAAACAAAAGACCCCAAAAGTATATATAACAAAAAAGTTTGGAGAAAAAAAAAACCTGTGCCCAAATAAACTTGACAGTGGTAAACAAAGGTTTTCCACAAGGTGCAGATCCTCCCTGCATTGATAAAGGAATGGGAAGCACAGTCCCAGATTATTATTCATTGGTTTGTTTAACCTATATGTACACCATCTTTTCATTAAAACAAGAAATTAATTAACATCACCTAGATAATGTCTGAATATTTGCACACAACACATATGAACAAGGTTACAACCATCAAACAAAGAATCTTTTCCCATGCCGGTGATCACATAAGAAATACATAGGGGGCCACAGCTAGCAATTAAACTGAAACAGTAGATTGCAATAGTGTATGTTTAAAGGGGTTTTGCTACAGAATACCTACATGAATTGGGCTTCTCGGAAATGGGCCATCGCAAACTCCGTCATAGTGTAGTGGCAAATATCAAGATTGTTTACAGGTGTGCTAGGCCTGGTAACTTCTGACTCTGTGCTGGGGGCAGAGTTCTGAAGAGATAGAAAATCAGTCATCAGAGAACTGGTACTCTTGATAGTGGGGAAAAAAAATCATCCTGTGATATTCATATTCCATCTCTTGCGTAGTCTTCTTCAGTCTCTGCCGATGATTTGCGTTTCTTCAGCAACAACATAGTCTCCTCCCTTCACTTTCTTGCGTGACTAATACCCTTGGTCTCTGCTTGAACCCTCACCTCCTTGTTAGCTATTCTCTCCTGTGTGTTTTTCTTCCAGCCGGTTCGGACTTCTTCCTGTTGATTCATGTGGAGGTTGAGGTAATCGGGAGCTGCCACAACCTGCACCATTGCGGAAGGGAAAAGGCCAGAGCGCCCACCAATAGAGCCAAATTGCCAACCTGAACAGAAAATTGAAATTAGGCTGGCCAACTTTAACTTACATGGTCTTTAGATTCAGTCACAGTTTGTTCCATATAGCACCAGCCTTGTGAACTCTCAGGCTTCCTCTTTCTGCTGTGTTTTCAAAATGGATAGTGATTAATATTTATATGTGTGTGTATATATGTATATATGTATATGTGTGTGTGTTGTGTGTGTAGGTATATATATGTGTGTGTGTGTGTCTGTATATATATATATATATATATATATATATATATATATATATATACACACATACATATACTATATACATATATATACTATATATACATATACACATACACACACATATATGTGTGTGTGTGCGTGCATGTGTATGTGTATGTATAGTATATGTATATATGGCATATGTATATATATATGTGTGTGTGTATATATATATGTGTGTGTGTATATGTGTGAGGCATGTGTGTGTGTATATGTGTGTGTGTGTGTGTGTTTAGGTTGCTAACAAAGAATAAAGAGAGAACTGGTATAGCTATTTCGAGTTCCTTTAACTCTCTTCAGCCAGACTTACTCTTCTGAGATTCAAACCTGGGCTATCTGCATGTTGTTATAACCTCTAGGCTACAGGCTCTCTCTCACTTTGTCAGCTGTATCAGGAGAGAGACAGGGGGAGGAGATTTTACCTTGAATGTGCACCCTGTCAGCCCAAATATGGGAGAAAGAAATCTTCTTTCTTTTCTTTTCTTTTGTCTGTATCAGCTCAATCCAGAGCCATCCACAAGCAGCAGTCGCCATCTGCGACATCATTTTACATTTTTTTTATATATATATATGCATGTATGTATATATGTGTGTGTATATATGTATATGTGTGTTATGTATGTATGGGTAGATATATACTTCTTTTGAGAGCATTTTTCATTTTTAACATGGGCCAGTGTGCTCATAGTAAAAAAATAACAACAAAAGTTATCTTATCGTTACAGCTTATTTCCCATAGGGCAGACTCCCTCTCTTCAATCCTGAATACACTACTGCTTTGTGAGTTTGAAACTCCCCAGAATTCTTTAATCAGCATAGCTATTGAGAACTGTGTCACTCAAATTAGCTAACCAATGTTCTTGTCTGATTGAAGCAATAGTGTGTGTGTGTGTGTGTGTGTGTTATTGTGGACTTTTAATATTAGTTATTTGTGGCTGGATGATTTCACAGAATTGAGTTCCTGATGGACAAGAACATTGCTAAGGATTCAGTGATGTCTAAGGTCTCTTTCAACAAATGCAGACCTATTTGAATTTGAAACACCCTGTTTTGAGCTTGAAACTCTTTGTTTCGAGTGCGAGACAGCAGGGCAAGAGATATTGTGTGTATGAGCTCAGAAGGAGATAAGAGATCTGTTTTGAACATGAAATTCTAATATGCTCAAAACCATGTAATGTAGTTGGCAGTCTTTGAAGCAGCAGCTTCACTCTTGACAAGGGATATTTTGAGGTTGAAAGAGGATACATTGGACTCAATCTTTCTTACCTGGCTCCAGTCCCTTCATGGGAAGTAGTCGAATGAAGTCACCTTTCTTGAAATTTAAGAGGCTCTTGTCATCTGTGACATAGTTACGCATAGCAATGACATAGTTGGATTCCTTTTGGAAGGATGGGAGAGGAAAAACAGAGGTAAGGGATTGAAATTACAGATAGTCATCAATTTACAACAGTTCATTTAGTGACTGTTCAAAATTACAGCACTGAAAAAAAGTGACTTGTGACCTATTTTCACACTTACAACCATTACAGCATCCCCATGATCATGTGATCACAATTCAGATGCTTGGCAACTGGTTCACACTTATGACCGTTGCTCTGTCCCAAGGTCATGTGATCATCTTTTGCAACCTTTTGACAAGCAAAATCAATGGGGAGGCCAGATTCACTTAAAAACCATGTTACTAACTTATCAACCACAACGGTTAGGTCATAAAATGGGGCAAAGCTCACTTAACAAATGTCTCACTTAACATGAGAAATTTTGGGCTCAGTTGTGGTCGTACGTCAAGGACTATTAGTATTGGGGGAAATAGGTTGACGTTAAAATATTTGCCTTTGAGCTCAGCGCTTTTAGATGGGGTACCTGTACAATCCCTCTATAATCAGCCTACAAAGATTCATGACTTGCACAATGATCTTGTACTTACCTGTTTCAATTCTTTCAGGAAGATTTCCACTGTGGCCTTGATCTGCTGAGCTTTTTGAGAATGAAGTATGAGCTGCTCATTCTTCAGAGTGAACTGAAGGACATTCCGACTGATCAGCTCCAAAGAAAGGACATCTGCATAACTGAAAAAAAAAAAATAAGAGAACATGAATTCCCTGGCTTGTTTGGCTTTCATTCTTGGCTTAGGTCTTTTGCAACTACTTTACTAAGCCTACTGGGACAGTTTTTGTTAGGACATGCCTTCTGAACTCTTAAATGATACCTGAAATCTACTAGCACAAAAAGTACTAAGACAAAGGTCATCTGCTCTCCCCGTTTATCAAGTTATAAACCTGTACTTGTTGATCTCTCTAATCTGCCCCAATGCAATCTAGACCAGATAGTGCTGCAGCAAAGAAAGAAGGAAAAAAAAGCAGGTTGAATAACTCAAAATGATTCAGACAAGTGAATCAAGCATGAATTGAATGAGAAGATCAAAGCAGAGCAAAACTTGTTTTATTTTGTATTTTAATGGGAGTGTGGGAACATTCGAGTTTTTTTAATTGAATACGTATAGTTGTACGTATGTATGTTGTTTTGGTTTATCAAACTAAACTATCTAAAGTTTATCGAATAGTTAAGTAATGCAGAGGACTAAAATAGGCCCTGCTCACCAGCATGAAATCAAGTAGGGTAAGGAATAAAAAAAAGAACTTGAAAGAAGAAATGAAATGCTTCGGTATAGCTATAAAAAGTCGTATGCTTTTAGAAGTCTGTTGGGAATTAATGTGCTGTGCAAAATCAGGTCATAAAGGAGTTTTGTTTTTTTTTGCCAAGCTGATGTTGATGTTCTCCAACGTGCAGCCAACTCACCTGCGTTAATTGCTGTAACCACACTCAGCATTTGTTTATATCTTTGCCAGGGAGCCTAGAGTAGGTTCATGGTATTCTACTGCCAAGGAGGCAATGGCCTTCCTCATGAATTTAGCAAACAGTTCTATGCCTGGATTTTGTTGCCTCTCACCTGAAGCTGCAAAGGATCTTCAGATGTTCAGGACTGAAACTGGCTTCTTTGGATTTCTTCAACAGCTGCAGACCCCGGTGAGAAACTCCCAGTATTTGAACATCGCTTCCATTTTCTCCCTATTAGGAAGGGAACAGACAGCAGCAACAAAATGGTTGACAAAATGTTCCCATGGTTTGCTTAGGCAGCAGTGAAACGTTTGTGAGAGGGGGAGCAGTTGCTTTAGTGGACAATCTGAACAGTCGGTCTCTATAGACTAAATGTTTGATGGATGAAAACTACAGCTTCTTGCTCTGTTTCAGGCCACTGGGCCAAAAGAAAGAGGAACACAAAAAGAGGCAGGCCAGGTCTATCTTTAACAAATTATTCCCCCGAGAACATACCCTTAGGACAGTGTTTCTCAACCTTGACAATTTTAAGACATGTGGACTTCAACTCCCAGAATTCCACAGCCAGCAATGCTGGCTGTGGAATTCTGGGAGTTGAAGTCCACATGCCTTAAAATTGTCAAGGTTGAGAAACACTGCCTTAGGACAAAAACAAAAACAAAAAAAACTTACCTATTTTCATTCTGAGTTTTGCAGTTTTACCCATCCAGATTAAATGAGATGATGGGACAAGAAAAAAAAAAACTTCAGGTGAAGAAAAAAAAAATGTAGCTTTTCTGGCTTGGCTCAGCAGTACAGGGAAATCCAACCATTAATACTTTAGACTATAGACTATATTTAAACAAGTAGAGCTTAGCATAAAAGGGTGAATCCAGTTAAATAATAAAAATGACAGCCATGTAGTGGCTAAAGTGCTGGTCTAAAGACTTTGATGTCTGGTCCTCCCTTAAGCAAGGAAGCCAGGTGGGTGACTGGGCCAGTCATTCTCTCTCAGTCTGGCCCACCTCACAAAGTTCTTGTGAGGAAATTAGGAGGTGGGAGCATTAGGTATGAATGCTGCCTTGAGAATACAAAAAAACAACAACAACAGGACAACAAACAAATAGTAGTATGTTCTGGAGATTGGCTTAAACATGATAGCTGAAAACTTCCTGGTGTGCTAAAGCTTTCCCACACAGTCTACCTACTCAAGGTCAGTTTTTCAACAATGTCAGCCTTCATTACACAGGCAACCTCTATGGGGCAGAGATCCTGGTTCAGAGGGCTGCCCTATAACCAATTTACCCATAACAGCTGAAGCCCTGAGGGGAAAGAAACCTCTGAATCTTAGTGGAAGGATGGTAACAGAAGTGTCAAGTTATGGAAGGCTGAGATAGGGCTAACTTACTTTTACTGGGAAAAGGCGAGAGAAATAGCTGGCCCAGTTATCACGAGCAGCCACCACAATTCTTTTCTTGATCCCTTCTTCTGTGATGGAGCTGACATCCATGCCCACGTGGAATTTGGCTGACAGCAACAATACAAAGGAACAGTTTAATCAGCAGGCCTTCAGGCTAGGGATCATTTCCCCTAATGGAAGCAAGCCTCAGAGATGACTCAAGTTAGCACACTTAGGAAGCACATCAAAGAGTGCGCTGTTTCCAAGGGCAGCCTGCAAGCAAGGATCTGATGTTCTGCAGCCAGCACGAGAGAGCCTTCTGTTGCAGTTGGTCAGAATCCCTTAATTTGCATCGAATAAATTGTTTTAATAATCTAAAGCATTTGATTATATGGGGAATTTGTGGTTGGGAATGGCCACGGCACTTGAGAATCTCTCCTTCTTTTTGAATAAGAATCCATCAGAATCTGGAACAGGAGGCAAGGTCCAGCAGAAGGAAACAAGCTAAGGCTTGTGCATGTGAAAGTTAGCAATTTTGTGGCCGAAGGGAGAAGAAAGAAATGCAAGGTTCTAAGTGAAATGGTGGGTGCAACTTCAGAGGGCTACCCCTACTGTTTCCTGCCTTTTAGAAGTGCTTGTTTGCTTCCGCTGATCTTTGCAAATCAAGCAAATAAACATTTCAAAACTCTAGTGCAAATTCACCTCAAAGAAACAAATCCTGATAGCACTGCTCTAAGACATTTTGTCTTTTGGAAAAAGTAGGAATGCACAACAGAGCTTTATCCTGTATACTGCAGTGAGATTAGGTTGGATCAGGTAAGTTTGGGATATGTGCACGTAAAGTGGGTAGCAGGAAGCACTCTGGATTGTTATACTTGTGCACCAGCATTTCTTTGGGTTATGCACAGCAACGCTACCTTTTCTCAACCTCTCTGGAGTGGGGATGCTGAAGAATGATTTGCAGGCAGGAGATTGTATTGCCCAAGAAAAACATAATGCCATGTTGCCATGCCGAGAAAGCAGTTAGATTGGCACCTGAATCTTCTTTTGATGGAAATGATACAGAGTAATAATGCTCTCCAAGGTACCCAAAGGAACAGGCTATCTCCTGGGGTGGAGAATAACCTATGTGCCATTGGCAGTTCTGTCTTCCAAAGGAAGGGAGCAGTTGGGTTGCCTTGTGTTATTGAATGGAAGGAAAGCCCTGAACATCTGGACCTTGGGAGTGAACAGGAATTCATCTGGCACATTGCTGCTAATTATTTCAGTCCCTAAACTCAGTTATGACTGAATGAGGAACTTTTAGAAGTGGCTTATTTTTCTTAGCAGGAGAATCGTATTGGGTTCAGTAACAGATTGTGAGGGCAGAACATGATCAAACTTATAACAGTTCCCATAACTCTAATGAATAAAAGAATGCAAAATAATTCTTCAATTTTAGATATTTGAGGACCAGGAAGGACACATGGCTGGCTTCCTTACCTAACAGGTCTTTCATTTTGCGCCTCTCCTCTTTGGAAATTCGAATGCATGACTCGGAGTAAGTATCCCTCAAGATCTGGGAAAGGACAAAAATGAATTTCAATTTCAACACATAACCGTTATGTTATAATGTAAGTGTCAAGCTTTGAGACACAGCATATGGAGTAAACCAGGTACAGACAGTCCGTGACTTACAACAGTTCATTTAGTGACCGTCCAAAGTTACAACGGCACTGAAAAAAGTGACTTAGGACCATTTTTCACACTTACGACTTTGTAGCATCCCCATGACCGTATGATCAAAATCCAGATGGTTGGCAATTGGTTCATACTTATGACCGTTGCTGTGTCCCAGGGGGGGGTCATGTGATCCCCTTTTGCGACCTTCTGACAAGCAAAGTCAATGGGGAAGCCAGATTCACCTCACAACTGTCTTACTAACTTAACAGCAGTGATTCACTTAACAACTGTGGCAAGAAAGGTTGTAAAAATGGGGCAAAACATTTTAAATGAATGTCTCACTTAACAACAGAAATTTTAGGCTCAACTGGGGTCATCGGTCAAGGACTACCTGTATATTCTTTGAAATTCTTCACATAGTGAAGAAGAAAAAAGAAAAAAGATGGAGTCCTTGATGCGGAGGCTGATGTCCAAAAGAAAAGTGAGTCTCTCTTATCTTTCATGCACACATATGTGCGCTCTCTCTCTCTCTCTCTCTCTCCCTCCCTCCCTCCCTCTCCCTCACACACACACACACACACACACACACACACACACACACACACAATACTTACCTGGTCACATAACAAATTCAAGCAGTAAGGATGACTAAAATTTTCCCTGGGATAAAAAACCTATTGAGGAAGAGATCCAACATGAAGTTATTTTCGCACATGCAAAGAATAAAGTCGTGACTCAAAATAGTAAGTGACTTTGTACATTAATATATTCAAACGCAATTCACTGAGTGAAGACAACATATATTTATTTCATTTTTGGCCATTCATAGTGGCTTATCGACACAAAACTCTCTCCTGGCATAGGAAAAGTAATCGAAGTCATCCTTTCCTTTTGAATGCTGCTCTTCTCCAGCCAGTCATACAATCAGACAATGTTGCTGCTAACCAATCTATATTAATCTCCATCACAGTGAGTGGGTTACTATATGCTTTCACACTGTAATTAAAAAAGCTTCCATTTTTTTCCATTTATGATTTATTATTCTTATTTATCAAGTTTATTGGCCACCTATCTTACCACAGGGTAACTCTTTTGTCATCATCCTAGCCTCATTTTTTTAGATTTTTTTAAATCCCACCTTTATTCTTTTTATAAATAACTCAAGGTGGCAAACACAGAGAACGCTTCCTCCTCCTCCTATTTTCCCCAGCACAACAATCCTGTGAGGTGGGTTGGACTGAGAGAGAGTGACTGGCCCAAAGTCACCCAACTGGCTTTCATGCCCAAGGCAGGACTAGAACTCACAGTATCCTGGTTTGTAGCCCAGAGCCTTACCACTACACCCATCTCAACCCTGCACGATTGATGACTACTCATGATACAATAATCCATGGGCAGCCATCCCAGATTTCATATTAACCCTAAGTGTAACGTCCATAATAAGCATACAGGACAGAAGGCATTGAAATTATCCAAACACATTTTGCAGAATGGGAGCTGCAAGAGGATTAGCCACCAAGTCTCCGAACTGTGGGAGATGCTGTCACTACAGATGGACATGCTGAACAATCAGAGGTGCTAATTTTAATAACTAAGCATGACGGGAAAAGCAATGCAAGGAGGTAGGACCACGACACACCTCTTTCCGCAGGAAGAGTTTCCAGGTAGGATTAGCATAGGAGAAGCTGACACTAGCAGAAAGATTGAAGAGCTGGGTTTTGACATTAGTGTCTTCCAACACTGTCTTAGCTGAATCTAAGTGCGAAAGAAACAGAAAAAGAAGGAAATGTAGTATTCTAGTATGTATAGGGGTTTTTTTTAAGTTATCCTCAAAGCAACTAAGAAAATTTTGAAATATTTCTGAAATCTTTTTGATCCACAAGTGCATTCTCAAGTTAAAAACAAAATATCCATCTCCTCTTAAAATGGGATCTGAGTAAATATTCTGACGACAAACTACCATCTTCATAATATCTATTTAAAACTGTATAAAACAAAACTAATTATGGAGCAATAAACTATTCTCTGCTATAATAAATGCATAGATTGCCCTCCAATGAAAGACACCCAATGTAATAATTCAATTTAAAGTAATAAAGGAAAAAATGAGTAAATTGGAAAAAAAAATCACACCAATAACCATGAGCAATGATCTAGCCAGGAGACCGAGGCAGCCTTTCCAAATTATGATCCGTGGAGTTTTGTCAGAATCTCAGTCAGGGAGACAACGATTGGTGAGAATGGGAGCTGTGAACCATTAGCACAGGGGTCTTCAAACTTGGCCTTTTTATGACTTGTGGACTTCAACTGTCAGAATTCCTCAGCCAGGCATGCTGGCTGAGGAATTCTGAGAGTTGAAGTCCACAAGTCATAAAAGGGCCAAGTTTGAAGACCCCTGCATAAGCATCTGGAGATCTCTAGTTGAGAACAGCTGCATTAAGTTAAATGGTTAAGGCATGTAGATGAGCTATGCAGAGAAAGCCATGTGAATTAAAAGGTTATATTAAAAAGAGCTGAAGAAGCTTCTTGAATGAGAAGCGAAACGTCTTCAAAGAAAAAAACAAGAAAGTCCAGTTGCCTCTTGAAAAAGCATTTTTGGGACAACCATAACCTGGATGACTGAGAATCTCTATAGGCATTACATTAAAAAGGAGTATTATGATCTACTGCAGACATGTCAAACTCGCAATGTCACGTGACATCGCACAACATATCAGAGCTTTTTCTCCATTGCCGGCAATGGGATGGGCATGGTTTCCTGGTGACGCGTCTTGCTCGCGGGCCGACAGTTTGACACCCCTGATCTACTGGAATATTTTGTTTCTGTTCATCATTACCATCTAAATATTGTCTGATGTGTTTTTAGAACATTTATAATCTACAGCAGGTCAGCGTTCAAATAGCAATAGTACTTAAACTTATATACTGTTTCATAATGCTTTACTACACTCTCTAAGCCAGGGCTTTTCAACCAGTGGAACAGGTACCACCTGTGGTACATTGGCACCTGGCAGGTGGTACACAACCATCCTAGAAAAGTGGTAGCGGGGGAGGGGAATGAGCTGAACTGGTGGCAGCACCACACAAGCCTGAGCGAGAGATGGCTGGAGCTGCAGGGCTGTCAGGGCTCAGCAGAAGTGCCAGGATAAGCACCAGGCTCCAGCTGGAGCTCAGCGCTGATCCTGATGCTTTTGCTGAGCCCAGAAGAAGTGCTGATCAGCTGGAATGTTGCAGCATCTCCAGGGTCTTGTGATTTACATTCAGATGCTTGGCAACTGATTCATATTTTTTGGTTATCAAGTTTTTGACACCTTGCTAGGTGACTGGTGATACTTGGATGTTGCCATATCCTAAAAGTGGTACAATGGGTGAAAAGGTTGAAAAGCCCTGCTCTAAGCGGTTTACAGAGTTAGCATATTGTGCCCCCAACAATCTGGGTCTTTATTTTACCAACCTGGGAAGGATGGAAAGTTGAGTCGACCCTGAGCCCTGTCAGGCTCGAACTCCTGGCTGTGAGCAGAGTTAGCCTGCAATACTGCTTTCTAACCACTGCATCATCATGGCTTTCAAATGCTTTCAAAATAAGATATTCATACTGCAGATCCCATCAGTCAAGGAGTTTCAGCTGGCAGGATCCAAGAGAAGAGTCTTCTCTGCCATGGATTCTGCCCTTTGAAATATATTACCCCTAAGATGAGATTGGATCCCACCCTCCTGACTTTTTGTAAGAGCCTTATGACCGGGCTCTGGCAGATGGCTTGGGGACCCAATGAGGGAGCTTCATACTGGAAGTGGTTGACTAATTAAAAGCTAATCCCTCCCCCTCCCAATGTATCCAGGTCCCTCCTTCGCCGTCTTGTGTTCATGATTTTAATTTATCTACTTTGTCATTGTATATCTGATGGTTTTAATATTTTTATGCTGTAAGCCGCCCAGAGTTGTTTAACATGAGATGGGCAGCAAATGCATTTTAAAATAAATAAATAAATAAATATACAATATTCAACCTTTTTTTTTTTTTTGCTCCTGATACCATATTATAGAAACTCCCAAAAAAAGTGAATTAAAATATTTTGTGGAAATGACAAATTCCAAATAGCTACAGTTTTACTTCTGTGCTATAAAAATAGGTTACTTGTGAAGCATAATGAAGACTAGACTCTATTGCACAGTTTAAGCTACATTAGCCAAAACTCGATTAGTTTTATGAAATAAATGTATCCAGAGTTACACCCAAAATGCTTACCATTTTTTCCCCAGGAAAAACACTCCACCTGTAAAGATGGCTGCTTCCTGATTTAATCAGCAGCGGATGTGCCAAACAAAGTCTACAGCAGTGTTTCTCAACCTTGACAATTTTAAGGCACGTGGACTTCAACTCCCAGAATTCCACAGCCAGCATTGCTGGCTGTGGAATTCTGGGAGTTGAAGTCCACGTACCTTAAAATTGTCAAGGTTGAGAAACACTGGTCTACAGGATCAGAGAGGGTGTGCTTACCTTTTATGCCAGTTGTTTCATCTGTGACAGAATCTGGAGGAGAAGAAGGCGGTGGGGGTGGCCCAGGAGGGGGAGGAGGAAGCACTGAGCCGTGAGGAATAAAAATATTTGCGAGCGCCAATTGTTTTTCTTTGATGGTATTGGAGGGTTTAGCTGCTGGCGAAGGTGGTGACGGTTTAATTTTTTCAGAGGGGACCTGGGATGGGGGAGAAGAAAGGAAGAGTAAGGGCTCAGTTCAACCATAGCAATGTCACTCACGTATGATTAGCATCTCATTCACATCACACAGCTAGGAAGTTAGTCTCTGACAACAAAGTGTAATATAAAAAGCAAACAATAATGTAAGCTGGAAGCTTTCTGGCAGAAATCTTCTACGTTACTGAAGACAATTGTCATTTAATTTGTTCATTTCATTTGATAGATTTCTAAAGATGGACCCATCAGGATGATTTCAATGGGGCAAACTTTATAAATGCTATAACAATTTATTAGTAGTAGTAGATAGATTTTAACAGCATCTAAATAGAGTTAGTGGTGCCTTGTCTATAAGTCAAATCACGGTGTCTCTTGGTTCAGACTATCAAAATTATTTTCAGAAGATTGAGTTCCATTCAGACAGAACATTTCCAAAGATGCTGACTGAGTGGAGATAACTACAGCCATATAGTCAAGTGTTATTTTCATACGTTATGAAAATTAGTTTTATTTTCCCTTTGGTGGCAGATATAGATTTATCTGATTTTTATCCATAGGCTGAGCAAAGAAAAGGTGAATTATTCAAAGCTTCCCAATGAGTACTATAAGCTGAAAATTTAAGCCTGGAAATTTTGATAAGGCATTTCCTTCAGCACACTACATTGAAAGTAGCCTATCAAATACTCACCGATGAATGATCCAGCCCTAGAGTCTCCAGTTTTGCTAGAGCTTCATCCTTTGGTTCACATTTTGTAAGAGATTTAGGGATGTCTCTGCAATTAAACAAAAACCAGCTAAGATGATCTGTGGTGTGGACCACCATGGATTGTGCGCATCAAAAGACCTAACCTTAGAGACTTTGTTTATAGAGGTTCTCTTACATACATAGATACAAAAGCTCCATGGCTGTTCCCACTCTAGGAAGGGAATCCTGTGACGAGATTATGCAAGAAATGTCCAGTATCTGGAGACAAATATTTTTAACACACTTTCCACCTTCCCTCAAATTGAGAAGTTCTAGGGACGGCCTGAATGTTTCTTTCTGCCACTTTAACCACCAAGGGAGATCTTTGACCAACTTGGCACATTTCTTACCTAACAGGCATGATGGGTTTTGGTGGTGGGACTGGACGCTTCTTGTGGTTTTTAATAATGTTCCGTATCTCCTGGCTTGGTTCAGGCTGTTCAGGCTTTGTATTCTGGAATTTCCTCTCCTGATAATTTTCCAGTTGTGTAGGAAGTGGTAAATCTGAAGTAAAGAATTAAGAGTATTTTTTTTCTTTTTCTTTTAATTACAACCCTATTAAACCCACACACACACACACACACACACATACACTATTTTGGTATTTGCCAATAGTTTCTAAACAGCTACTTTCCAATCTCTTCCACAAAGTTCTTGCTTTCTTCATCCTCTGTGTGTGTCTAAGAAACTAGAACGGGCAGTGAGATGAACAGCAAAAACCAACTGTTTCAGAATAGAAAAGTTGAAGGAACAAGATGGAAAAGTAACCCCCGGTTGCTTGGATAGACAGCTATATAGATCTGTTGAATGAATGAATGAATGAATGAATGAATGAATGAATGAATGAACGAACAAACATGTCACCGTCTCTTTATTCTAACCATAACCCTTTCTGTAGAGATTAATATGAAGGACGCCATTTGGGGTGCAGAATCATACTCTCACCCACAAAATACTATTACGACATGTTTTGGAACTTCTCAAGAACATGCTGCAGTGTGAAAGATGAATAGAAAAATAGAAGGTTCATGTAAAAAATCATGGGACTGTCCTGCAGTTTGCTTAGTTCAAAGAGCAGTTGACATCTACCTGATGTCTTCTTCCATGCATTAATGTTTTGGCATTATTATTTCTTTATCGTATCTGATAAAATCAGGTAAAATCTTCATCATATCTTATAAAATCACCAAGATTAATACCAGACCAACAATCAAGAAGTAAACAATACCCCCACCAAGAAACTGCCAAACAAGTCAACAGCAAACAGCCCAACCAAAGAATCTCCAAGATCACTTCTACCAATATTGACAGGACAAGCCATTAGAATAGAAACTGAGACCAAACCCCACTCCTCATTAGCACTGATGATGTTACCTAGTTTGGCTAATGAAACATCTTCAAAAAAAAAAAAAAACAACCAAGCTCAGAGAACACCAAGGAGCCCTCAAAATCAGCTAATATCCACACAAAAATCTGCTGCAACAAATATGTCATTCCCTAAACTTGGTACTGTAGCATCTAGGGCTCTCTTGCAGCACCTTTAAGAATCAAACTGTTGCGACTTCTGGTTCCAGTTCGTGGCATCTCTAGTTGCACATGGAGACTCGCCTCCTCGTCAGCTAGCTTTCCCTCCGCTGGTATACCCTTATGCGGGTCCAAAGTCGCCCTGGAGGGTGCGACTTCTGTTGAGGAGGCTCTGCTCGGCTGATGAGGAGCGGCGGCTCCTTTAGCGGTCCGAGCTATCTCTGAGGGTTGATGGAGAAGAAGATCGGCCAGTAAAATGGTCGACCAACCTGCTGCTTCAAACCGCAAGTCAAAGAACATCTAAGCTGTAAGAACCCCCGTGGTGAATCCGGGTGAGACCTTTCTTTGCTATTCTCTCTATTCTATTTTGTATTTGGTACTTGAAAGAGCCTTGTTGGAATTACTTCCCTGGCTTGAAAAGGCAGCTTCTACATTTTTTGGGAAGAAAGGCGTTCTATAAAAATAGAACAAAATTTTAAAGACTGTATTTACTTTTATATTTTTTGGGGTACAGAAAAAAAAATTTTTCTTTTCTTTTCCTCTTTTTCTAAAAACTGTACTATCATCCTATGCTGGAAGATTATTTCTTTTTCACATTATACTTTAAAAGATAGAAAAAGGGAAATGGTGTTTGGAAAAGACCTTTTTTAACTTACTGAGGACATCTAGTGGCGAAAATTTAATACTGAAACTTCTGGTTACTTGGTTTGAAGATTGCTGACCATCAAAACACTTTTGAAGAGGAAAGATAAGCTGGGTAACTGTGGGAACTGTGGGGGTGGATATTACCTAAATTATATTAAATATAGCCGCCACAAAAAAGAGACTTTTTTAAATCACTATCAAAATGGAAAAACCTCAGTCACAATTAAACTGTACACTTATATTGGAAAAGATCTATGAGGCTACTGCAGAAATATGTGCTACAATGAAAAAGTTTACTACAGAACTAAGATCCAGAAATTTCACTTCAAATGTTCAAATGGATGTCCAGGCTACATCTGACTATGGTATAAATCAAAATATATTAGAAGAGGAATCAACAGAGATAAAAGAGGAACTTATTCTATCTTACAAACCTTCCATCTGCAACTTTGAGGAACAGAAGAAGCAAAGATTGAGATTTCAAACTACAAAGCAACAACACTTCAAGGAGGAGAGAAATAGACGTCTAATGCAGAGGATGGGATTTCTATTATTTCAAAGGCTACTGCAAGCAACAAAGATAGATCCACTGGCTGAAAGGGAAGCGTCCCTATGGAAACCTGCTTGGCACAGGAAAAAAGCCAGAATTAGACTGAAAAGAGAAATTTAAAATTATGTAATGGATTAAAAGGCAATGTTGGATTTATGGTTTGCTTTAAGGATTATGATTTTAGAGTTAGAAGCAAGAAATATATATATATATATATATATATATATATATATATATATATATATATATATATATATATGTCTTTGGTTGTTCGTGTTTTCTCCCACGTAAAATTGGAAGTGTCTTGGCGACGTTTCGACGAAGTCCCATTCGTCATCTTCAGGCTGGTGCTTTCAGCTTCGTGCCTCGAGGCACTGCTGCTCGAGGCACGAAGCTGAAAGCACCAGCCTGAAGATGACGAATGGGACTTCGTCGAAACGTCGCCAAGACACTTCCAATTTTACGTGGGAGAAAACCCGAACAACCAAAGACCTACATACAAATACCCGCGAAAACCTCAGAAAACATATATATATATATATATATATATATATATATATATATATATATATATATATATATATATATGAGGGTGATTTTCAGAACGGATATTTTAAATAGATTAAGAATACTTTTTGGAATAATAGATATATTTTGATGAAAATTAGGTATTGGAATTGAAAAAATGTTGATTTTTTAGATTGGGATGGTTTTAATAATTAATGGAGTGTTTTAACTTAGATGATTTTTTTGTACAATAACATAGATGTGATAAGGTATGATAATCAATTGGATGAAATTTGAAGTTTGTGTAACGAATTGAAGTGAATTAAGGTTTAACATTATTTTTTAACTAAGATAGCTATTGTGTAATGGAAGAAGAAATAAATGAGATTGGTGATAAAAGGAAGGATGAGAGAAATTAAGAACTAGAATGCATCTGGAAGGGATACCTGAATTGATAACTTGTTGATTTAAAGTTAAATTTGATTTTGGTAATTGTAAACTGATAAAGTTTTAAAACAGGTTTAGTATAATAGAAATTTAATTTAGAAATGGAATATTTTAAATGTATTATGTTATTTGACGGAAATAGAGAGGAGACAGTGAATGTATTAAGTTGAGTTGTTTGTTTATGTTTTTACTTTTGACTGTCTGATTACACAAACACCACGGTGTGTCCTGAGTACTTTTTCTTAAAAATTAAAAAACCAATAAAATATTTTTTTTAAAAAAAGAATCAAACTGTTGCAAGTGTCTTGCATGAGCTTTTTACAGTATTCAGATGCTGATTAGCCACAGCTTACCTGAATTTGATTCTTGGCTGGTACCCGGGTCCTCTGACTTTTCTTTTGTTCTATGACTTTTTGAATTTACTTTCTTCAGTGGAATTGTTTCAATTCCTATATACAAGAAGAGGTTCAGGCATTGATCAATGTTTTGTTCTAACTTCAGTCTAAGCAAAATCTGCAAGAAGCCAGACTCACAGGGGCTGCAAGGGACTTAAGAGACTGATACAGCTAAACTTTACTTTTTAAAAGTGTATGGATTATGGACAGTCAGAAGTAGAGTGTACAGGTAGTCCTTGATGTACGACCACAACGAAGCCCAAAATTTATGTTGCTAGGTGAGATATTTGTTAAGCAAATTTTGCCCCATTGTATGGCCTTTCTTGCCACAGTTGTTAAATGCATCATTACAGTTGTTAAGTTAGTAACACAGTTGTTAAGTGAATCTGGCTTCTCCATTGCCTTTGCTTGTCAGAAAGTTGTAAAAGGGGATCCCATGACCCTGGGACACTGCAACGGTCATAAATATGAACCAGTTGCCAAGTGTCTCCATTTTGATCATATGGCCATGGGGATGCTGCAATGGTCGTAAGTGTGAAAAATGGTCACAGGTCACTTTTTCCAGTGCCATTGTAACTTCAAGTGGTCAGTAAACGAACTGTTGTAAGACTACCTGTATACAGGGGGAAAGAACTGCATTGAGACATAGATGCCACTACAACAAAGGACGACTTTAGCAAATCAAAATTTTGATTATTCTAAACCATGTAAAAATATATTAGGAAATATGACTGGAAATATTTTTTTGTCCTAAAATCCTAATAGTCGGACAATGGAGGAGCAACGATGGCTTATCATTCAAAGTCTTCATCCTATTCCTGTTATCAATATTAATTTCTATTTGGAGAACTGAAAAGACTAATTATATCCCAAGAATTCATTCTTATTCTTACAAAACACACTTTGCTTGGAAGTAAGTATGAGAAAGCTGCAACAAAGATTTTGTTGCATCAGTATAAAAAATGAAAATATGACATTCTGAGAAGGACATTGGCTTATAACTCACCCATTCTCTGGAAGAACTCAACTTTCTTTTGAAAAGTCCCCTGAGAGAGAGAATCCATTCTAATGTCTACAGGCACATCATCTTCCAAGATGCGGATCTAGGACATATACCAGAAGGTGTGTTACAATTTGGATTGTATCTTTGAGCTCTTCTTTAGAGAAATAGATAAACTGTAGAATTCAAATATATTTTTAGATCCACTTTTCCCAATCCCAGATGAGTAATAAAAATACTCATGGAAAGCATTTGATCAAAACACATTAGCAACACTGAAGGAAAAAAAATAGATATTGTCTCCTCTAATACTAAGCAGATGGATGCTTTTTGTGGCAATTCTGTCATCTACCAAAAATCAAGCCTATTTTTTACAATTAGAAAATGTGGTGGCCAAGCAAAGTCTGTGAGTGTAAGTAACAAAATAATCTTCTATTAAGGAAAATCCGTCAGGATATAAAACAAGTCTATGGAGATTCTCAGTCATCCAGGTCATGGTTGTCCCAAAGGTGCTTTTTCAAAAGGCAACTGGACTTTGTTTTTACTTGAAGATGTTTCACTTCTCATCCAAGAAGCTTCTTGCAAGAACTGGGCATAGCTAGTCTAGTGAAGAGAAGGACCAGGGGTGACATGATAGCAGTGTTCCAATATTTGAGGGGCTGTCACAGAAAGGAGGGGGGGCAATCTATTTTCCAAACCACACGAAGGCCACACAAGAAACAATGGATGGAAAGTCATCAAGGAGAGATTCAACCTAGAAATAAGGAGAATTTTTCTGATAGGAGAACAATCAACCAGTGGAACAGCTTGCCTTCAAAAGTTGTGGGTGCTTAATCACTTGAGGCTTTCAAGAAGAGACTGGACACCCACTTGTCAGAAATGGTACAGGGTCTCCTGCTTGAGCAGGGGGTTGGGCTAGATGACCTACAAGGTCCCTTCCAACTCTGTTTTTCTGTATTCTTCAATTCAGTTCAGAACAATACAAATTAAAACAAGATGTCAGAGGAAATGATTTTATTCTAGCCTTTTCTCAGTTACTTTCATGGTACATTTTAGGTATTTGCATATTTTAGTGTACTTATGTTAGCTCAAAGATTAAATGGTAGAATTTAATGCAGGTTTATTTTTACAACAGAAAGTGGATTTACCTTGTTCACATGTTGTTTGTAAAATTTGGGGCAAGTCTTTTAAGTTAAGAGCAAATATAATGGCAGAAATCTTGAACTTCATTTTATTTATTTCACTTAAATTTATTAGCGACCTAACTCCAGAGGACTCTGAGCAGCAATCTCTCTCCTCTTTTCTCTTTAAACCTTGGGAGCTGGGCAGAAATAATTGTTTTCCCTTATGAAAGTCTAATCAATATTTTGTCCCATAGCATTTGATCAAATCAGCAAGCACAGGAAGATATGAATTATGGACCAAAATACAAAGGATAATGACAAGGTATTTCTCCAGTCCATTGGTTTTCTTTTCCAGTTCTACAACTTATGTAATTTGTAACTATATGACTAGTTCAATTATTTAGTATAGCCAGAAATTTAAAGAACTGAATATAGTTAATCCTATAGGGTCAACTGTAGGATTAACACCCTAACTTTCAAATCTATGCTCAGATATAAAACTTTGGCAGACAACTAAAATGAAATGAACTTATCTATGAATTCTGAGTTTCTTGGAATTCAAATACAACAAATATATATCTAGATCAGTGGTTCTCAACCTGTGGGTCGGGACCCCATTTGGGGTCGAATGACCATTTCATGGGGGTCACCAAACAACGCAGTCCGCCATTTTTTCCCCCTTTTCCTTAGCTGTGCTACTCCCTTTTATTCTATTGGCTTTTGAAAGACAATAGAATAGACTCTCTTGACTAGAGTCTAATTCTATTGGCTTTCAAAAGCCAATAGGAATTGTCCAGGCTGTCTCTGCCCTGCTGAGCCCGCCAAAAGTCCCAGTCTGCAAACGGTGCTGCACCAGTTGAGCAGCCCTCGACATACGACCGGTTGAGTAGTCCTCGACTTACGACCGGTTGGGGGTCGCGGCATTAAAAAGGTTGAGAACCACTGATCTAGAGGATGTCACGTACTACACTCCATAAAATGAAGTGATAGGATTCTTTCCCTCTCTCTTCCATCAGGCAGGAATACTATCACGGAGTATTATCCAGAAAAAAGAATTCTATAAGGGATACTCAGTACCGGTGATCGTGGTGGATGTGGAGGAGGAGAAGAATCTTGTATCGGTCTTGAAGATTCAGAAGGCTGTTCCTTTGTTGATACCTTTCTTGATCTTGAAAGTTCAGGAGACCTTTTGAGAAGTAAAGTTTCCTTTGGGCTTGAAGGTTCAGGTGACCGGCTCTTTGGGGATATTCGTCTTGACCTTGAAGCTTCAGATGACCGCTTCCTTGGTGATATTCGTCTTGATCTTGAAGCTTCAGGTGAGCTTTCTGATGATGATGATGATGATGATGATCGCCTTCGTCTTAAATGTTCGGGTGTCCTCTTCTTTGGTGATGCTCGTCTTGGCCTTGACAATTTAGGTGAACTGTGTGGTGAGGCTTGTCTTGGCCTTGAATATTCATGTGATCTATGTGAAAATAATTGGTCTGAGTGCGAATTCTCAAGCGATCTGTACTTCTGTTGCCGCTGCTGATCTTGTTCTGAAATTTTCATGGCTTGAAGTGTCATCTGTTGAGCCTGCAAAATCAAGTTCATATTTTGTTACTCCTTATTTACTTTGCGGATTTATATCCACCAACATTCAGATCTCAGATTACTTTTAATCACTATGATTGCAACTCTGATGTTTTAAAAATTTCCCTTTTTCTTGTTCTCTTCATGTGTTTCTCCTCTATATCTATTATTCTCTAACATCCTGCACCTTGCTCTTAAGTAAAGCTTAACACTAACGCAATGAATACAGTAGTCCTTGACTTAAGACCACAACTGAGCCCAAAATGTTTGTTGTTAAGTAAGATATTTGTTAAGTGAGTTCTGCTCCATTTTACGACCTTTCATGTCACAGTTGTTAAATGAATCATTGCAGTTGATAAGTTAGTAACCAGTTGTTAAGTGAATCTGGTTTTCCCATTGACTTTGCTTGTCAGAAGGTCGGAAAAGGTGATCACATGACCTTGGGACACAGTAGTGGTCATAAATATGAAGCAGTTGCCAAGCATCTAGATTTTGATCACGTGACCATGAGGATGCTACAAAGGTCATAACTGAAAAAGTCAAATTTTTAGTGCCATTGTAACTTTGAATGGTCACTAAATGAACTGTTGTAAGTCAAGGACTACCTATAAATATGATACCACTGGTATAGCTTTAATTCAGGAATTTATTCATTTGTATATTTCAATCATGCACAAATTTGACAAAATAAACCCCAACCCTTCCCAGGAGGCACTTTCTCTCTATTGAACCCATTCCTTAGTATTAGATGCTCAGTCATAACTTGGCCTTTTGATGCCTTACATTGCACAATAAATTATTTCTTTAGATTGTTGTGGGAACTGACAAAGTAGGCATGACTCACAGCCAAGACCCTTCCCAATTCACAGCCAAGACAATCCATGCAATTCTTGCATACTCTTTTCATTCTAACCCTGTCACATACCAGAAACAGGGCTTGTTGATTGATAACAGATTGTTGCTGTGCTGCTGCCTGGTTGGGATCCACTGTTGGCATCATGGGCTGAGTCATCATCATGGCTGAAAGAAAAAGCAAGAGAGAGAGAGAGAGAGAGAGAGAGAGAGATGTGGTCATATAGAATCACAATGCAGATAGTCAGCATCCTCCTACAGTGTGTCCCCACAAGCTGTTAAATGCATAGCAATTCTTCAGTAAGCTAACCTCTACCTGGATGAAGAATGTATAAAATGTGTATGTTTTCCAAAGTCCATTGGAGTTGGAGGTGGTGGTAATAAATTCAAATAAAAAGTTTAAAAGATGATTGTTTTCCTAGCGGAATTATCACTGCCAGAGAATAAGAATGTAGAAATTAATATTATAGCTGGATGAAAAGCAAGCTGTGCTTCTTCTTCTATAGTGTTTATAGCAACAGTTAAGCAGAAAGCCACTGAACCAATCCAAACTATGGCACAATGGTAACAACCGTGCAGAAGTGCTACAGGTTATGTCTGACTTACATTACCAAACCTCTTGCTGTACCCCTAATGGTGGTGGCTGAATGGTTCAGCTGTGTGGTCCTTAAAAGGAAGATTTTTTTTTTTAAAGGCAGATTGGCAGAATGATGCAACAAGACATCGTTGTCTTAGGTTGAAGATTATGTTTGTGTAATCTCTTGCCCGCCCAGCCCTCTTAAAATACACCACAGATTCTCTTGGTGCTGGAGTGACTTTATATCATACAGTCTTTCTACTTGCTTCCTATTCTTAAAAGCCACACACCAAAACACAGAAAGCCTGGATCCGGAGTTGTAGCTCCTGATCCCTCAAACACTGCCTACTCCTATTCTAAGTCCTTCAGGAAAAAAATTGAGGGATCAGTGTACCACAGTTACCTGCCATTAATGAGAAGAAGGATGTTTTTGCTTACAGGTTGTCCTTGCTTGTTCATAATGACAGATCTCGTAACTTCCCAGGGCTATTTACAACCCAGATTTGAGGTTCCAACAACCGTTACTTCCCTGTGGTCACTTGATCATAATTTAGAATGGAGGGGTTTTTTTGCTAGAAACTAGCTTTTACTTCCAGTTTCTGGCAAAGAACACTCACTGCGGACCACGGATCCGCTTAACCATTGTGGCACTCGCTTAACGACTGTGGTATTCACTTAACCGCCGCAAAACGGATCATAAAATCAGGTGTGATTCCCAGGTGACCTGACCAGCATGACTTATGACCATAATTCCAGACTCAGCTATGATCATAAGTCTGCCAGAGGATGTTTATCCACTGACAGACTATCAGGGACTATGATAAATGAGAAGCGTAGCCCAGTTAAAAAAAAATTAACACATATGTACATCAAATTTTTATTTATGTTATATTGCATTTTGGGGATGGATTTAAGCATGTGTCAAATTATTAAAAATTATTTGCAAATAAAACTTTTTTAAAAAAAGAAATCACGCTCATAATCACGCAATTATAATAACAGGAGCAAGTAGCAAAGAATGGATAGAGGGAAATGCTTTAAACACTCGCAATGTGATGATTTAATACTGAAAAATCTAACATCGTTGGGAGGGTTGTTGGCTTCTCCCAGGGACTGGGTGTTTTTTTCTCTGCTGGGTTTTATCCCATCTGAGCCCTCAAGTCATTGTGTTCTTGTTACCTGGCATTCCCGGCATGGTGGCTGGCATCATTCCTCCCATAACTGGCATAGATGGAAAGGCTGGCATGGTCATCATTCCAGGGTAACCTGATGGATGGAGAGAAGACAGTCTGGCTTGTTCCCATGAAACTAACAACCAATTCTTGCTCCCTACTTTGGGTTGCGTGAACCTGGATGACTGCTAGATTTCAATAATATGCTGTCCTTGCGTTTGTCTGGAGTTTTGCAGCCCAGATCTGATGGCCCTAAATAGAATTCACTTGAAGTTCTCTTCATATCCATGATAGGGAAAATTCTCCAGTTTTTCAATTAAGAGCGCATTTTAAATACTGTAGTAAGGGGCATACAATACAGGTAATCCTCAATTTATGACCACAATTGAGCCCAACATTTCTTTTGCTAAATGAGGCATTTGTTAAATGAATTTTGCTCCACTTTATGATCTTCCCTGCCAAGTTGTTAAGTGAATCGTTGTTAAGTTAGTAACACGGCTGTTAAGTGAATCTGACTTCCCCATTGACTTTACTTGTCAGAAAGTCACAAAAGGGGATCGATCGCATGTTTCCAGGACACGGCAACTGTCGTAAAGACAAGTAAGTTGCCAACCGTCTGAATTTTGATCATGTGATCGTGGGGGTTGCCGTAACGGTCATAAGTGTGAAAAACAATCGTAAGTGACTTTTTTCAGCACCGTTGTAACTTTAAATGAACTGCTGTAATTTGAGGAATACCGGTAGAGATACAACAGGGGGATTTCGTCACCCATCATGTCATGCAATGTGATATGAGTCAAAGAGACTGCTGGCTCACTGAATAAAGACAGTGTGGAAAACAGCAACAAAGGAATTGTATATTTCTCAATACGAAGCTCCTGTCTCAGTGGTTGGTTGTAGAAGATGCTTATTTAATCAAATTTCAAGGCTGTCCAACTCTTTGACCACTCTGGGAGGCTTACAGGTGTAAAAGAAAAACAATACATACCAAAAGAGATCCTGGCAGACTTAGAAGACCATAACACCCAGCCACAAACTACCCAAACTGAAGGGGGCATCCAAGGCCTGGAAGGCCAAAGAGACTTTTAGTAATTTCCTAACCATCATAAGAGTGGGAGCTGCTTTAATCTCGGGGGGGGGGGAGTAGGCACTGTAATAGAGTAAGCACATTTCTTGACTCTCATAGGATGGCACTGTTAGAGTGATGGGACTTGGAGTGCCCCCACACCCTGTCTGATCATACCAGATGAACAGAAACAATGGGAGAAAAGGGGCCCCTCAGAAAACTAGCCCTTATGACACAAAAGATTTTAAGGGTGACAAGCAGCTGGAAGCCAAACAGGAACCAGTGCAGCTTGCAAAGCAATGGGGAGGAGGGGTCATGTCAGTCTCACACAATGTCTCTATCATGGCTCGTGCAGCTGCATTTTGGATCAGCTGTAGCTTCTGGATGGTCTTTAAGGGAAGCCCTTATTAGTCATTGTATTTTATAGTACTGACATATTGTTAGTTATATTATTATTATTTATTTATTTTTTTTTGTTAAATTTTGACATTTTACAAAGACAAAACAGTCTTCCTACCAACCCCCCCAACCCTCCCTTTCCCCCCCCCCGACCTTCCCAGAGCTGGATATAGGCTTAATTAAAATTTTGTTTAGTTATATTATTGTTACGTATGTTTACATATGTTTTACCTTTGTAAAAGATACATGCAGTTATAAATGCATTTGATCATATGAGCATTGTAACATTTTTTTTTAATGTTTCCCTCTATACAGGAATTACCACATCTGAAGCGTACAGAATTCTATACGACAGTTTTTAGAGATTTTTCATGTTGTCCTTGTACAGTGGTTTTTCCCCTCCACACACACAAACACCTTTTTTAAAAAAAAACACCTCCCTAGTTGCAGGGAGAAATATTTAGGCCAATAATCGTCATCCCAGCTGTGTGAATTAGTTCCAGAATTGCTAAAAAAAAAAAAAAAAAAAGAACAGCCGCAGAAGCCACCACCTACCCTACCTCCTCCCCATGTTCTAACTCGTACCTGAATAGGCTCCTTGGTTCATAGGTCCAATTTTCCCACCTCCTTTCATACGACCAGTCAGACTTGCCTCACTTTCCATATCCTGCAGGGGAAAAAAAAAAACCCAACATTTAGTTTCAACCCTAGCTACTCCTGGAGATCATGTATCTAAACGTGTGGCAAAGAGGCAGTGATCACGACCACCAGCACATTTCTGTTCTCAGTGCCCTCCAGTACCAGAACATGGTGTATGAGGAAGAGCAAAAAACTTAGAAAAAAATTAGACTTACTGACATCTGAGATCTGGAGCCAGCATTTAACATGGGTTTAAAGAGGCCATCCACGTAGTGATCCAATTCTCTAAGAGGAGTTGGACTGTCCATGATGTCTAATTCGGGAGCGGGAGGAGGAGGGGATAAAATCCTTGTTAATCAAAGAAATACAACTCCTGTCACTCTCCATTACCATCCCTTGCTCATTTTCTTCACCTATCCTCAATGCATTGGTTGAGTATCTCCCCTTCCCCTCCCAGATCCAAATACAGGGAGCTTTAATGGCTTCAGGGTGCAAAGATCACACAGTCCCTGGCATTCTCAGAGGCCGTTGAACTCCTGACCTGAGACTGAGACTCACCTGGATGGACTGCCTTGTGAAACATGGGAGGCAGGGCAGGTGGGGGGAATGAAGGGGCCTTAAAGGTTGGTGCAGGAGGGATATCCAAGGACATCCTATCAAAAAAGAAATAGAGCGTGGTCTCAAAAGCAGAGATTTCTAGGGATACAAAGGAGAGGTTGTTGGATACAGGAGGTAATGAGGCAGTCACTTACCTATTTGGGGAGTTATTTTGAGAATAGCTCACATCCCTCTCAGGGATAATAGGATAATGAGAGGAGGACTGAGAAGGGCAATTTTCTTCCTCCATTTCACCAATGAGATCCAAGACAAAGTCACAGCCTGCTAAGTCCTGCCACTTGTTGCCTGTGAACATTGATACGGACCATCCACGAGGGACTGTATCCAGACCCCTGAGATCAACAAAGAGAGGAGACATAGTGTCACAGGAGGTAGCAGAGGATGCCATGAAGCAGTGAAAAAAGACCAGGACGATGGTATGATATGGGAACAGGGAGGAAAAATCATATGTTCCTCCTTCAGTTTCTGCACTATTTCTTACGTGCTGGTTAACATCTCACATAAACAATATGCATAAGAATATCATAAAATGCCCTAGAAAAGCTAACAGATTTCGGGTGTCCTTTGAGGCATCATAGGTCTATGCAACTGAGATAGAGTTGGGCTTTATGGCCCTGCAAATTAATGAAATAAACCAAAAGAATATCAAATCTCTCACTGCAGAAAAGTCACCACTGAATAACTAATATGGGCCACTGAATTCAGAGGATGGTTTCAAGAGTAAATGAAACAAACGTTATCATTTTCCTTCAAAGTTCTGCTCTTCCTAAGCCTCTAAACTGTCTTGCAATGGCTTAAAAGTAATAAAGGTTAGTTTTGTAGACCATTTGGATGAGGAACAGGAGATCTCTGTTGGAGACCACAAATCCTATCAAAGAATATAGTCTTTAGCTTTGGTGGATATCTAAAAACAACTAACTGGCTTTAAAAAAAAAAAAAAGAGGCAAATCCCAATTTCTCTTGCCTTTAGATTACCTTGAGTTTAGGATCCAGCCTGCATATTGCTCTCCTGTGGTCCAGGATTCTATTTCTGCTGAAATCCTCTCATCTAAACCAAACAAAGAGAGAGTTTAAAAACTATGAATATAACCTATAAGAAAATCTTGCTCTACTGTAAAGTGTGTACCCTCTAGTCATATTTCTTTCCTATTCTCCCCATCCTTCCAAAATATATTGTTTTGCATATATGTTGAATTCTGCAAGGTTCAATTTTTTCTGGACACTCTCTTGTAAGTACGCAGGATGCCATCCTGATAACTGAAAGGACTGCCAAAAGTGAATGGGCATGCCAGGTTGCAGTGTGAGTAGCTCACTGTAGGGACAATGCGAGACTGACAACTTAATGTTATATATTTATTCAGAAATATTGTCAGCTCTACTTAGAAACTTCCATACCACCATGTTTTTACTCCCTAAATCCTCAATTTTAAAAGATATAGCAGACCAAGGTCTGTTCTCAGCTCCTGGGTTTCTGATTTTGCTCTCATGCTAGCATTGCACTATAAATTGCAGTGGGACAGCAAAACCCTGTCTCTCTCTGTAGACCCAAAGGAAAATAATGGAACATTTTGTACGAGGGTTTGTTGTACCAGCAGTCTTGCTGATCAGAGTAAAACCTTTGGAACAGAGAGATTCACTACATTCCACAAACAGTGTCAGAGTCCACTTGTTTACTCCCATAAACATAAAGTGAGACAAGAAACAATGGATGGCAACTAATCAAGGGAAGAACCAGTCTGGAATTAAGGAGAAACTTCCTAACAATGAGGACAATTAACCAGTGGAACAGCTTCAGCCTTCAGAAGTTGTGGGTGCTCCATCGTTAAGAAGAGACTGGACAGCCACTTGTCTGGAATGGTATAGGGCAGGGGTAGGCAACCTTGGCTCTTTTATGACTTGTGGACTTCAATACCCAGAATTCCTGAACCAGCCATGCTGACTCAGGCATTCTGGGAGTTGAAGTCCACAAGTCATAAAAGAGCCAAGGTTTGCCTACCCCTCGTATAGGGTCTCCTGCTTGAGCAGGGGCTTGGACTAGAAGACCTCCAAGGTCCCTTCCAGCTCTATTCTGATTGACTGATTGAGTGCTGAATAAGAAAGCAATGATTACCTTTATAAGTACAGACCTCCAGGACCATCTTGCCTTTCCTCTGATTGGCAGTCCACTCCAGATGGGTGGGAGGGAAACTGCGGGACAGCTCCAAGCAACCCTCCGTTTGCTTCATTGAGGTCAAGAGTTTGCGCTGGCACATTCCATCGTAACCCTCCAGAGCATGATCTGACACAAACCTACATCCCAGCAAGTGAAGAGCCTTCAGCAACTACTACTATTATTTCAATGCTGCCCGAAACCCAGGGAGGAAAAAGCCCCACTTCTTACTTCAGCAGAGGCTTCTCCAGAGCCGGTGAAGGTGTGAAGGCGCTCAGGAGGGTAGCCATCAATACCCAGCCTTGTTGGCATTGCTCCAGATCTGGGTTTTTCCACAGCTGGGTGGCCACTTGGCTCAGCAGCTCATTGCGTAACGGGAGGCTGGCCAGTCCCCGGCTTGCTATGTAGTTTCCTAGAAGCTGTTTGTGGACGCCCTGCAAATCCCCATCACTGATGAATCGCAAAATCTGCAGCAAGAGGAGGGATGTACAATAAAAACAAGGGGCGTTGATGTCAGATACGGATGGAAAAAGTCAGGATACTCTCATCTTTGATCCCTTGCAAGGCATCAGGGCTAGGTTATCCCCTGGGCACAAGGGCCTGGGACTTCCAAAATTCAAAGAAAGTTATAGCACACGTTCCCCATCTATTTCATAGAAGTTATGATTACACTATGGAACCTACACATCGGATAGAATGCAAGCACAGAATCAATTTATAGTTCTAGTTTGGCAGACTATAATTCTGAAAATGTCCAGAAATGTCAGTCTTTCCTGAAAATATAATTCTCCCTCTCCATCCCGAAAACTAAACTGGAGATGCCAGGAACTGAACCTTAGGTCTTCTACATACTAAAACGGGAGTTCTGCCAGTAAGCTATGGCTTCTGGAGATTATTTTCCCTTTCTATCCATGCTAGTGAAGTAGGTTTATTTTTCTTATTGCAGCTGACTAAGAGATACAGTAGGAGGCAAAGAGATATATTAATTGTTAGGAATTTAGGATTAGGGTGCTGTTCCCATTCTTTCTTCCCTCTTTCTATCCTCAAAGTACTACTTGTAATATCTCTAGGTACAAGCAACAGTAAAAGGTGGTTTTCCTTCTTTTCATATAAAAAAACCCAATTAAAAGTTTTAAAAGAAAATAGTATAATTAACAATGAGTAGAAACAAGTTTTCTTCTCCCAGGATCATGAAACTATGATTTATATAGCCATATAACATACACACATAATAAAGGTAATGTATTAATTGCATTGTTCCTGACATCCTTATCTTATCTCTGCCTTTTTGAATGACATCACACCCAAGTAATGAACCACTTTCTGTACAAGCCCAGTAGATAAGAACAGAAACCTGAGGGCAGATAAGGACTACCCAATATGTTTTTAAAGGCCATATAAAGTTTCTGGACAGGGTCTATTATCAAAGGTCTAATTATGATAGTTTCTCAATCATACCTTATCCACACAAAGGTTGTCTGAGCCTTTCGGCACAATTCTAAACACAATTTAGATATTAGATCACAAGGAATCCTGTGGTCTCTGGACAAAAAAAGATTCTACATAATAGGGAAGAAATTGTGAAAACAGACAAGAGGCAAGACTTTTTGTCCAGAATACCCAGAGAAGCTGCATAGGGCGGAAGAAACTGGATTATTTTTTTAATTGCTCTCCTGCTCCTTCTATCCCATTCTTTTCACCAATGACTCCATGCTGCACTGAGCAGTAGGAAGAAGGGAAGATTGGCAAACAGCCATGTGTATCTGAGAAGATGTCTGAGTAAAGAAGCCGGGGCTCAGATACTTGTGCAGGGTCCAGTTTAGGCACAAACAAAAATATTTCTTGTTATTCTTAATTGCTGAAAACGTTTTTGTTTCTGAATTCCACTATAAGCCATTGAATTACAAATCTTAGCGTCTAGAAGATTTTGGGCCTGATCTGGTCATCCAGAATTTCCTTCCTCAGAAGCTACTTAAAATCCTTCCGTTACGTGAACAGGAATAAAAGCCTGGAAAGGCCTTGAGGTTCCTGGAAGCTCCCTCTAACCTAAAATAGTCCCTGTAACCTCAAGAGTCTTTGTAAGTTTAGTTTGTTAAATCTGTGCCTTCATTTAAACCAGGGGTGTCAAACTGTCAGCCTGCAGGCCAGATGCGTCACATGGAAGCGACGCCCACCCCATAGCCAATGGCAAAACAGTGCCGATACATTGCGTGATGTCATGTGACATCGCAAGTTTGACATGTCTGATTTAAACCATGCATTGATTTAAACTGGATTTGATTTTATTTTTTTGATCAAGCCAGGGACGTAGTTTTTCCCATGGGTCAGTTAGATGGGCAAACACAATAGCATGACTATTAAAAGAAGGGGATGAAGCTTTACCCATTAAGGTAAAGTGTGGAGTCCCATATATGTAAGTGAAGGATTGGGTAGCATATTTACTTCCAAAATATATTTTTAAAAACTGGCAGTCTATCCCAGCTCATGCAGTTGGGGTAGAGAGTTCTTTTGGATATATTTTGCAAAAGTTTAAAAAGCTAGACACGCTGGTCCATGAAAATGTAAGTTAAGTTGCTAGTCTAAATAATACTTTTAAAGGGAATAGCCAAATGCCATCAGGTGAGAAGCTACAAAAAGCAAAAGATGGGGAAAGAAATGAATCCAGACATCCATACCATTAGATTTGCAGTTTGCACTTTCTTTGAAAATAAAGATTGCAGATTATATGAACAGTCCCCATCAGATGTTAAATTACACCTATCATCATAGGTCAAAAATAAAATAAAAAGTTTAAATTCTTATTTTTGAAAACATGAAAAGAGACATAACTCAGGGTTTTCTTCTTGCTATGGGCAAACTCATAGATTATGTTTGTACAAAACCCTGGAGTTGCAAATGATTGGGTTTTCATGATGCCTTGGTCCACAAATAAACTAAGAATTTCAATTGTTTGCGTTGTGCAGACAAAAATAAAAGAGGGTCAGTTGTGTAAATTGTGTGAACACAATTTAAACTTTTTGATTAAGAAGAATGCAAAGTCAAAGGGAAAGAGGACAGCTAGTGGAGAAAATGAGAATGACATTCCACCGTGAATCATAGTCATCTCTCAAGACCTCTTTACATTTCTGGAAAAAAAAAACACGTTGCCTATTTCTAGCTAGATCTGCTGGTTCAGCTGCTGCTTTGTTTCTTCTTACCAGCTTGTTGAGCTGTAGAGCGTTTTGCCTGTGCTCAGCCTGGAGTTGGGTCAAAGGCTCTCGCAGGGGCTGTCCAAGGGCTGGAAAACTCACAACCTACAAAGGACCAAAGATAGACAGATGGAAGGAGTGTGGCACTACCTGCATTTAGGTCATAAAAAAAATTGTCACATTTGATGTATGTATTTCTTTGTAGCCCACCTTTATTATCTTTACAAATAATCATATCCAACACACTTCCTGTTCCTATTTTCCCCAGAACAACAACCCTGTGAGGTGGGTTAAGCTAAGCGAGAGTGACTGGCCCAAGATCACCCAGTTGTCTTTCATGGCTAAGGCTAAGGGATTTGAACTCACGGTCCCCTGCTTTCTAGCCTGGCACCATAACCACTGGACCAAATCGGTATTTTTAGCACTAGCATTTGTTGACAAATGGGCAAGCATGAGCTAAAGGACCTTTTACATATATATAATGACAGCCACAGCCAAGGTAGGCTGGAAGATGAGATGACAATGCTGCAGCCCACCTCGCTCACATGACCTGCTTTGTCCATCCAACAGACAGGAAACAGGACAAAAAGATCCTAGGGATAGTTCTGGTCATAAGGAAATCGGGGGAACCCGTTTACTGACCGTGCAGTCTTACCTGGAAATGATTTTTGACAAACGTAGAGAAGGGAAAGTTATTTATATCAGGAGGGAGTGAGAAGGTAGCTTTTGTTTTGACTTCTGGAAGGGACACCTCAGTGACTTGATTATCCTGAGCACGGTTGTGATCTAAAAAGGATGGAAAAGGGACAAGTTAAAGTTGTATTTTCCATGTATTTTTCCTGGCAGCAATGCAATATGAATCTCCCATGAACTGCTGTGCAGTTTCTGAAGTTTTGCTTGATAAAAAATTCAGGAAACCAGAAGTTGCCTTCAAGCTTTATGTTTTTATTCAGCTGAACAAAGATGGGCTTTTCTAAAAAGAGAAAAAGCCCCAAATATCAGAAAAGCTTTATTTTTATACCTTCTTTGATTACATAAGCAATTCACCCAGCAAAGCTGACACACGTAAGATAAAGACTTCGCCCTTTAAGGCTGTCACACTGTAGATAAGAAGGAAGAAAGCAGAAGTAGCTAAAATGTTCCCTTTTGGGTGTTCCCCCAAGACACCATATGTTCCCTTTTGGGTGGTTTAGGATATTGGGTGTTTCTTTTGCTGTCCTTTTATGACCTTGCATTCATGGTTCTGCAAGTGGCTAGAGATAGCGGGGCCATCTGCATGTATTCACAATTGATACTGTCCCCTAAGTCCGGATCAACAATACTTTGCTGCAGTAACCAATGCTTACATGTATGAACATAACAGGATGCAGTCAACAGGTTCCAGGAATAAGCAGACTGGTCATCCCAACCTGGGGGGGCCTCTTCACGTGCATGGACTTCAATTCCCAGAATTCATTAGCACCATTGCAATTGCAGAGAATTTAGGAAATGGAAGTCCACCAATATAAAGCAGACCAAACTGAGAAAGGTTGTATTACACAGTGATGTTTCCAAATTCCTTTTGGTTGTCAAAATGTGATCTGGCTGAGCTAGAATTCTTATTGTCCTTGTCCTGTTCATTCTTGTCAGTGTTACCATTTTGCTTTAATAGCATCACATGCTTATAGATGCTAATTATTTCTGAGGATTTTTTTTTTCAGCCAAGGAACTTTGCCCACTGACTTTGCCCATGGGATTATTTTCCCCCAATCCAACAGTAACTGAAGTCTAAATTAAATGGGCTTTCTAGAAGGTTGCTACAAAATATGAAGAGGCTACTCACACACTCAATGATATTTTTGTGAATAAGGTTTCCGTGTGATTACATAAAATCCTTGGCTTACAACCATTTGTTTAATGAGCATTCAAAACCATTCATTACACCTTTACTGAATAAAATGGCTTATGACTGGACATTGGGCTTATGACCGTTACAACATTTTACATGGTCATGTGATCAACATTTGTGCACTTGGCACGTATTTATGATAGTTGCAGCATCTAAGGGTCATGTGATCACTACATGCAACCTTTCCAGATGGCTTCAAACAGCCAAATTAATGAGGGTGAACTGGATTCACTTAACAATTATGTTATTCACTTACCACAGGGGTCTTCAAACTTGGCAACTTTAAGACTTGTGGACTTCAACTCCCTGGCTGGCTGACGAATTCTGGGAGTTGAAGTACACAAGTCTTAAAGTTGCCAAGTTTGAAGACCCCTGACTTAGCAACTGCAGTGATTCACTTAACAAATGTGACAAAAAGGGTTATAAAATCAGGTGTGATTCACTTTACAACTGCCTTGTTTGGAGAGGGAAATTCTGGCCACAGTTGTGATCATAAGCTGAGGACTATCTACTGTGATTTTTACTATTTCATCGCAACTTATGAGTTCGGGAACAACTGCAGTGATATGGTGAATAATATTTCAGTTCCCTAGAGAGAAAGATGTGTCCTGTAAAAATGTTGGATGTGTCCTGCTGTGATTTTCTTTAAGAAATTGCTCTTGTTTATCCATTTCTGCTGTTTATGGATCTGCAAATTTACTCTTTAAAAACTCAGAAAACAACCCTGCAATTGTTGGCCAACGGGGGGGGGGGGGTGCATAGGAAATGTTGGTTTTGGCTGGCCCTCTGCCTCTGTTTTTACTGTTCTCTCACATGCCCATTTTGCAATGGGAGAGAGACAACTAGCCAAAATCTAGGGCAATAAAACTATTCCTGAGAGCAATAGGAAGAAGGGAAGAAGAGGCTGTACAGCTCTTTGGCTTCAAGGAGCAAGGAGACAGGATGAGGCAAGAGCGCCCCCCAGTGGAAACTTACCATCATGTATCTCCAGAGGGGATGCTCTAAAACTGCCTTTGGACTTTGTACTCCCTATGGCCTCTGGAGCATAAACAGAGGTGAGCTAATTGGTTGCCATTTCCTCATAATTTTTGAGAAAGGAATTATCTATAAAGGGTGTGTAGATATTCTTCCTTCCCCCTTTAATGCTTCCTAGGCCTTAATAATGCTTTACAATAGTATTCATGAAAAGTGCCAAAGGAGATTATTGTATCAAGGAATTATTCCTAGAGAACAATGCTTGAGATATTATCTGCAAAAAGTCTGATGCTCCATAGATCCTTTTCCTCAGTTCAGAATCAGTGTATGGACTGGAGACAATATTCTGTATAGGATAGCATTATCTTTCAATATAACAAAGGTGTGCCTATTCATGCACAGCATCCAACATAAGAATGAAAAACCAGATGCCCCAACTGTGACTGTCTTTGCATGACTTATGTGCATATACATGTCTTGATATGTATAATCTTAAGAAGAGCAAGCAGTATTCCAGATGTGATTTCAACATAAGAAATGAAGTATGAGAGATTTCTTTTGAAAAAGTTAATATTTAGGTCAAGTTTATCTCCCAGAGTCTGTCTGACTTACTTACTTACTTACTTACTTACTTACTTACTTACTTACTTACTTACTTACTTACTTACTTATGATTTGTTTGCTACCTATCTTGTTGCAAGGCACCTCCAGGCAGCTTACAATTTTGGCAGCAGTTTGTTATTATCTTGTTCCGGGATGTTTTTTAACATCCCAGTCTAGCCTATAGCCTTGGAATTCTCCCATGGTCATGCCATCTAAATATTAACCAAGTCCCACTATTCTTAGTTCCCAAGCTTAAAAAAGGTGTCCAAGTGCTGAGACATAAAGACATATTAAGTATTTGCTAAAAGGCTGTTTTTAGTCTGTGGAATTTGAATGTAGAACAAACACTTTTAAAAGAATAGATGTTGCATTAAACAAGCCATCACGGTATACATGTTGGTTAGGTGTCATTTAGTCAGGCTTGATTTTGGTGACTTTAGGGACAAATGCCCACCATTCTAACCTGCCACTAGAAATAATTCATAGTCCCAATAAAGGAGAATTTTTGTAGCTCAGGGTTGAAATGAGGGGTCCTTGGTGCTCTCTGAGCTTGGTTGTTTTCTTGCAGACGTTTCATTATCTGATGATGTTACCTAGTTTGGGTAATGAAATCTCTGCAAGAAAACAATCAAGCTCAGAGAACACCAAGGACCCCTCAATTCACAGCCCCTCCAAAGACATTCCGATGATTTGTTTGATATCATATCTTTTCTTCCATTTCTATCTTCTTTCCAATGCACAATAATTTTTCCCAATGATCTGCTGGTAATACTTCACTAAGATATGTGAGTTTGTGCTTGTTGATCACAAAAGCATCTACTCCTGTTTTGGATTGATTGATTGACTGTTCTCCTTGAAATCCACAGTATACTTAATTATCATCTCCATGTTTATAATTTGATGTTTATTTTCTTTCTCTCATCTTTTCTCAGTGTAAAGATTTCATGAGCCACATATTATTACCAGAAATATCATTGTTTTAATAATTCCACTAAAATCCTTCATGTCCTTGTCTAAGTTTGTCTTCTATAGGATTAAGTTTCTTCTTATTTCTCTAGTAGGCTCTTCATCTTTATTCTTGAACCAAGAAAACCAAAACTATCAGTTTAACACTGTTCAAATTTACCACAGCCTTGGAATAAGTAATTTACAACCTGTACTTGAACTTATCACTGTTACACCACCCCCATGGCCATGTGACTGCAATTTGGGCACTTGGCAACCAGTTCTCATTTACAACTGGTCACACATTGACTACACATGTATCTTGGGGATTATCAAATTAAGTCCAACCTTTAAATACTTTTTTTCTAAATTTAAAATTTAATATGAGAAATCATATTATCAAATAAAAATAACCTCACTTGGATCTGAAGTACTTTGAAAATATTCAAGCAGTTGGAGAACCGCAGGAAAGTACTGGGTGGGGGAAAAGAATCCTAATTTTTAAGGTGATCTTTAGATTTATTTTAAACTTGTTCTTTGGAAGTGAACTGAAAACATTCTGCAGGTCAAGGACACAGTCTTAATCCAAATGCAAGCCCCAAGGCATCCTACTCACCCTGAGCCAAGCGGAGGAGAGCTGCAAGCTCAGCAGGAATTTCGAGCCTTCGGACATCCTAAGGGGAAGAAATACGACAAAGGCACTTCGTTGGTTTAATTCCTTTCCTCATGTAAAATGCAGTTTATTTGATTAAATAAAAAAACTAAAACCCTCACTTTCATAATAAGCATATATAAATAAATCATAAATTCGATTTATGGGGAAACCATTAACAATACTAAAAAAAAATAATCAACCACGACTAGGCAATAGTTTGCTGGCACGATGCATAGAATTGTATATGTATTCTAAAGAAAGGAGGAAAAAAGGCATCTGCCTTATGAGATTCTAAAGAGTTTATTTTTGTAGGTTGCCAAATGGTCCCAGAAAAAGCACCTTGTTAAGCTTCAGTCAATTTAGGTTCTTCTAATAACTGCCTTTTTCCTGGTTACTTACTGAATTTTCCATATATGTTGGATTCATGGCTCATAAAACTTTTTTTAAGCTACTTAAAGTTATTTTTACAAGCCACGATGTTGACAGTTGGCAACTGTTGAAAGAACAAGTTCCTGTTATAATCCAGCCGCACAGATTGTAGACTGCTGATCAGATCAACTGATCACTTCTACATTGAAGCAGTATAAGCAGAGGTAGATCTGTCTCTACTGCATTATGTGTTAGTGATGTTTTTATCTCTATTTCTATCACAGAAAGGATGCAAGCAAGAGATAGTGCCTTATAGACCAAAGCACCTGAAGGCAGGACAAGAAGCAATGGATGGAAACTAATTAAGGAGAGAACCAACCTAGAACTAAGGAGAAACTTCCTGACACTTGAATAATTAGTTGGTGGAATGACTTGCTCCAAAAGTTGTGGGTGCTCTAAAACTGAAGGTTTTTAAGAAGAGATTGGACAACCATTTGTCTGGAATGATATAGGGTTTCCTTCTTGAGCAGGGGTTTGGACTAGAAGACTTCCAACATCCCTTCCTTCTCCATTATTCTGTTATCTTTTCCTTGCTCTTGTAAGGAGTGAAAATGGCTGTCTAATTAAAGCTTACTTGGGTAGCTCTGCTTAAACCAGTCTTTATCTTCCTGTTAAATACTAAAGACATTACAAATCCATTCACAAATCAGATCAGGGTACAATGACTAACATGCAACTTAGTGGAGAGCATGTTACTTCATATTGTTGGCACCATAAAGCTATAAAATACATTCCATTTCCTTGTGGATACACACGGCTAAGAGAGCCACAAGGAAATGGTGTAGTGGTTAAAGCACCAGAATAGAAACCAGGAAATGGTGCGTTCTAGCCCTGCTTTAGGCACAAAGCCAGCTGGATAACCAGATCCTCCCTCTCCACTCTAGGAAGAAGCCAATGGCAAAATCTTTGCAAGGAAACTGCAGGGACTAACACAGGCAGTCACCAGAAGTCAAAAATTGACTTAAAGGAACGCAAGCACACGCACACACACATTCACACTGCTAATAATTGCTCAAAGGAAGAATATTTTCTTGCATCAGCTCAACACAACACTTGCTGGAATGATACAAGTAGCTGTTATGAGCAGCCCATCATAATGGCAATCCAAAACCCGTTGCCAGAATGGGTTTTATAATATCCAGCGTCAGTGTTAACATGGGTAAAAGAATGGATAACTCTTAGAAATAAAAGATTGCTGTACTTGGAGAAACATGACCTACAACTTGGTTGGCATGCTTTTTTATGGTATAGAAAAAAATAAAATACATAAATACTTCCAAAACCACTATATTAGAAATGTACTATTACTAACATGGGAAAAAATAAAATGTGAGATCTATTTGAAAATTTCAGGATGGCTCTCAACAATGGAAGCATTTGTACATTCCAAATCTAGTCAGTCTCGATAAAATATGGACATAAAAAGATATTCTAAATTCTGAAGGGAACTTAAAATCTAGACAAGAGATGGAAAATCAGGGCATCGATTTAACATGGTCACATTTACAAATACAAGTGAGATATGATAAAGATATTAAAATATGAATTTTACAAAGAGCAAACTATGTTTGACGAGGCATTACCAACTTCTGACGAAAAGTTAATTAAAAAATGTACAATTTCTTATTAAATCTGAAAATAGAAGGTGAACAAGTAAAAGAAACAATGATAGTATGGGCAAATAATTTTGGATATAATATAGATAATATAGATTTAGAGAAGTGGCAAAGGTTGGGGGAAAGAAATTATAAATTGACAATGTCAGCCGCCCGTAAAGAAAATCTATACAAAATGTTTTATAGATAGCACTTGCCACCAACAAGATTAATAAAAATGTTTAAAAATATGTCAGAGAAATGTTGGAAATGTAAGCATAAGTCAGGTATTTATTATCATATGTGGTAGACATGTGTTAATGCAAGGAAATACTGGACAAAAATTCACACTTGATTAGAAAAAAAGTTTAGAGAAACATATAGATTACAAACCTGAATTTTTTTTACTAGGTATAATGCCAGAAAAACTTGATAAGCAAAGGGCATACTTGATTTTACATGTGATAACAGCCGCAAAAATTATATTTGCACAATACTGGAAGAACGAAGAAACACCACCAGAAGAAGAAATAATTAAAGAAATACTAGTCTGTGCGGAAATGGACAGACTTACTTTAAGATTGAAAGAAAAAGAAGAAACAGAATATTTTCAAACTTGAGACCTATTTTATCAATGGTTAGAGAAAAGATTTAGGGATTAGGAATTTAATTTGTATTAGTGAATAAGATACTCAGACAACACGTTTTGTTAAATGATTACTATTGAATTCTATTTAAAAAAATCAATAAAACTTTATAAAAAAAAAATAATGGCAATCCAAAACTGAAAACTAGGAGCAGCCTAAGATTTTAATATTAGGTAATGACTGGGGCAAATCTGCACTTGATTTGTTGGGTTTCTCCAATTGTTGGGTACATGCCTTTATTGCATCTTAGACTCCATGAAATAATGTGTCTTTCAGAGACATTACATATTATTCCTCCTTTGGGCAGAGGGTACAGGTGGGAATCAGAAGAAAAAGAGTTTCAAGCACTGTAGAATTTCACATTGATTGTATTTTTGATCCCACTGCTTTAAATTAGTAAATTACTCATAGAGGAATTAATGAGGAATGGGATATTTTTCTGTATATTATTACCTCCATTATACCACTCTAAACCCATTTGTTTCTACCTGTTTAGGTTTAAAGAATAACTTATAGGTTTTAATTCCATAAAATAAATTACTATTTTCTGATTTGCAATGCTTTGATTCTTATTTATTACAGAAGATTTATTTGATACCCTAAGCATAGACTGTGGATAGTTCACAATCAGAAAAAATGGAAACCAAAACTTTTCCTACTAGGTATAACCTAGCAAGGAATATCATAATTTAATGGGATATATGTTTACAACACTGCAAGAAAGACACAATCTGATTGGGAAGTTAAACTTGGCAAATGCACAGCAAAAATAACAGTATGCTTACACAACAGAAATGTAATTAAATTCAAGCAAGAGTGAGTCATACATACAAATACACACACACAAACACAATGCATCATCCGACATGGTACAATCTGGCTTTTAAAAGGGCCTGAATGTATACAAATATTGCAAATTAATAAATGTATAAAAAGGGAAGAATCAGAAATCAACAGTTCCAATTGTTGTTATTATCATGGTTTGTTGCACAGGTGGTCAGACCTGGAATAAGCAGGCTGTTGTTTGATGGTATTAGAGGTATCATTGCAGGAAGTTCCAAGTATACAGCTGTCTGTTGCAATTGACTGATGGTGAATTTGTCAAATGATGCTCCAGATGTTTTGGGATTGCACCCAAGGTGCCTATTACTTTTGGTACTATCTTTGCTTTCTTTTGCCACAATCTTCTACTCCTATTTGGGAGTCTTTGTGTTTTGTTATTTTCTACAGTGCTTTCTCTTCTATTTTGCTGTCTCCTGACACAGCAATGTCTACTCTGCAGACTTTTTTGTCTTTCTTATCAATAGTTGTTAAGGTGGTGTATGGAAGTTGTTTGTCCATTTGAATGAATCTTTTTCCTGAAAATTAAAATCTGCTTCTGGACCTTCTAAGTGGAAAGGCATCTTACTGGAACTGAACCCACACAACTGGCAGAATCTTATTCAGAGCATGATGTTCCCTAGATAAAAGGGCTCAAAAGATCATCACACATTCAACCATAGTCTGAAATAACTTGCCAGCTCTTAGAACAAGAGTTCTGCTGACATGCTTCTCACTCATCAGCAGGTATGTTATTGCATTCTGCAATAATTGCAGTTTTTGAATAGTCTCCAAGGGCACGTCCAAGGATAGTGGACTTCAGTAATTCAAGTACAAGGTGATCAGAGCATGAGCTATTGTCAAAGCATCTTATCCCAAAACAGCTACATTTGTCAATGTTGTGTTACATTAATCTGTGGGCAAGTCATGCAAAAATATCTTATCCAATCTAAAATCGATCCACTCAGAAGGTCTGCAATGAAAGGGAACAACCATAGATTAAAGCCTTGGTTCTTTCTATGTGTGTTGATCTCTTATACATATACAAAGGAGCGAGGCTTCAATATGTGGTTGTGTCCACCAGTTGGACAACCCCCTTGGAGAAGCAATAAATTACTAAATTACTCCTACAAAAAAATTAATGAAGAATGGGATATACTATATACTATAGTATGCCATACTATAGCAACATAAACATATATTTGTTTCTATCCTTTGTGATTTAAACAATAATCTACAGAGTTTAAGATCAAAATCTGATTAATACAATTATGATAAGAGTTTTCTACAAGAACATTTAACTGACAGAAAATCTCTTAAAATTCAGATTTTAGTACTTTGGCTATTCTCCAAACTTACTTAACAGAGAGTGGATAAAGTATTTTGGAAGTGGGCCCTACACTCAGCCTAACAGTTTGGAAAATAAAAAAGACAATTTAGAGCCTCCACTCCACCTCTCTCTGAGGGCATCTATCCATTCTGCCATTCTGCCAGATAGTATATACAACAGACATGTTCCGGGTCCCTTCCCTTAAATATTGCCATGTAGAGGGACCTAGGAAATGTTTTTTTTCCGTGACAGCCTTAGGATACTCCACCCCTAAAGATCTAACAGACCCTCCCATATCCTCCTTGCTTTCTAGACACTCTTGAATTGCTGGCTCATCCCTTAAGCCCTGCCATCAGATGAAGTCAGAGCTGGAAGGTAATGGCATTGGCTTGTTGAAGGGGAGTGGTTGTGGGGCCAGGTTTTTATTTCTGCCCTTGGGTTTTTTTTTGCTTTTATTGTTTTATGATGTTTAATTGTATATAATAGTTGTGAGCCACCTTGAACTGTGTTTTTAATGGATGGCCATACAAGTCAAATAAATAATTGTCTTTGCATAGTAAGTACCATCATACATGGAAATTGGAAAGAGAGAGAGAGAGAGAGAGAGAGAGAGAGAGGGAGAGAAAGAGAGAGAGAGAGAGAAGAGAGAGAGAGAGAGAGGGAGGGAGAGAAAGAGAGAGAGAGAGAGAGAGAGAGAGAGAGAGAGAGAGAGAGAGAATATTCACACTTTGACAGATGATCCAACAATGCACAATAATAAATGTATGCATGTACAGTTTTGGGTGTTGTCTGATGACATCCTGTACTTTATGAATTTAACCTACCATTTCCAGGCAACTTCTGCTCCCTTCAGTACTTTTGATCAGTGACTTGTTTCTCTGCCTTCTGTCTTCAGACCTCTGGAACGAGGACCGTTTTTTTTAAAAAAAAAACAGTATGCATGATCAAGCTAGACTCTTTCAAAAAAAAAAAAATCTTAGCATTATGAAAAAGAGAACTAAACTCTTTGCTTCTTGTAAATTATATAGATTTATATTGCAGCATATACATTTATTCCAATTTCCATAACCTTACGGAAAGCTATATTTTCTCTCTTCCCTCACCTCTGGCTTCTCTTCCAAATTTCTTTTACTTTCACAATTAACAATGTGTGCACTCTACTTTAGTACTGTTGTGACAATGCTATATGTATACATCCATTACCCTTATCCATAGAATTTTAATCCACATACAAATAAATCTTCCTAGCGACATCTTTATTCATTAAAAGCCGCACCCAGTTTTAAAAAGAAGTGGATTTCTTCCTCAAGAACTATGCAGAGGAAAGTATAACAGGAATATGAGACACCATCAGCTAGATTGTATGCTTGAGTTGATGTTTGATGCAGGAGGGGTGAACTTTTGGTCCTACAGATGAATTGCTGAATTCCAGCTCCCAATAGCCCAAATAGGTTAGTATGGTGGTGGGACTGTGGTCCCAAGAATAACTCAGTCCAATACATTCTAATCCTTGTCACTGGAGTAAAGCTAGACTGGAACAATACTGTGTATGATTCTTCTACTTTATAGTATTTCTGTAAACCTGAACTGTAATGTTTTGCTTCCTCCTCCTTATAATTCATTTAGATTAAGGCCAAGCATGATTCAAACATCATTTGGACATATTAAAGTGATTCTTAACGTACTGTAGCCATTCTTGGTTCAGGTTCACATGGAAGCCTGAACAAAGTTATGGTTGCTTTAATTAGTAACAAGGAGTGCTATGCTTGGGTAAAATCAGTGGTGGGATTCAAATATGTGAACAACCAGTTCTCTGTGTGGATGCTGCTTCCAGAAGTCCATTCTGAGCCTGAGCAACAAAAAATTAGCTACCGGTTCTGCCGAACTGGTGCAAACCGGCTAAATCCCACCACTGGGTAAAATCCAAAATCTACCTCCCAAATTGTTTTCAAAGGATCCCTACCGAAGATGTAGTTAGCAAAGTTTATCTCCTGAACAATCAACAACATTTTTCAAGATGATGTATAGGCTGCAAATGCTAGGATGAACTGGGAAGCAGGATCCTTATGGTAGATCCCAAGTCTTTTCGCCTGTCCTTAAGAGCATATAAATTGTACAACTGCAGTTGGTGGCCCTGTGTTTTCCAGACTTTTTGATACACGACCATCGAGGCATATAACAGAAGGTGTACATTTTGGAAGGCAGAATTTATCCGCTACTGTTCTGATCTACCAATATTCCTTGCACAGTTGTCACAAAGTGCTTATGACCCCAAATCATTAATTGGCCTAATTTGGAGGAGGAAATTTTAAATTGCTGTTAAATCACCTGCAAGGTTTCTAAAAATGAAATGTGTATTAAAACTTTTCAGGCTAACACAACAACTATCTACCTACTTGATTTACACAATACAACCTTAAAAATGATTGTCCATCAAAGCTAGCCTCCTGTCTCCTACAGTATCTAGCATATGAAGCTCCTGGAAGTTTTAAATGCTCAAAGTAGAAATATATATATATATATATATATATATATATATATATATATATATATATATATACACATACATATATACATATACAGAATACTTTGCTCATTACCATTAAATCCCAAGCTCTGTTTATTAACTAGTAACTGAATTAACATTAATGTTGTAAATGATGTGTGTAACTGCAACTGCCAGTTTAACTCAGAAGAGGCATTCATTTCATCTTTATCCTCTTACTATTCAAGTCCCTGAAGAGGATGACTGAAGATATTTTAACTAGTTCTGGAAAAGATGCATCATGTTTCTTTTTCCTCCTAAGAGTGACAGATTGAACTACAATAATCAGCTCCTCCCTGGCTTTGTCTTTTCTGTTTATAAACCCGTGTTCCCCAAAGGTACTTACCAGTTTCGCTGTTAAGTGATATATTGAGTATTTTTCCTCTTCTTCCCCACAGCCCGGTTTTTGAGTGGCAGTGAACAGAGACAACTAGCTGCCTGGTTAAGACTAAAAGAGTGCTAAAGTCCGTCCAACGCAGTATCAACAGGAGGAAAATGAACAGGGAGGGCCTGCAACTCTAAGAGTGAACTTTGAGACCTTTTATTGTAATTCTCCCATAAAAATCTCTATGTCATACACTAAACACAGAGGGCAGGGATGGTGAAGCAAAGGTATAACTTTGCTTTGCTCCTAGCACAGCATCACAGGGAGCCATTAAAAGAGGGAAGAATAGATGCAGAACACACACCTAGGCTAGGAACTGAAGTTAAAACTCCATAATAAGCTAGGCCTGCAGTGGATATTTTCTTGGGACCTTTTCTGGCAATTATTGTGTTTTATTTAATTATATCCATATATTAACTCATCAACAGAAGAACAGATTATTCCTTCTCCCTGCCTTCCCCTGTTTCCTTTGGGGAGTGGGGGATCCCTGAACAGATTGTGCAAGGGGTTCATAAAAGAGAGAAATCTGAAAGAAAAATCCACTCACATGATACTGTATGTAATTTAATGCCATAGCTTTGAATTATACAATAATACCTGAGAATATCAGTCAATTTTTTGCCAGGTCTCTCTCTTTCTTTTTTTAAAAAAATTAAATTTGTATACTACCTGACTCTCAGCGGCTTTTACTGGAAGTAGTCATCTCAAGGGAAAAGGGAAATAAAGATTGGTTTCTTATGCTAACTTTGCACTTTTGCCCCATGTATCAGTTGTGCACCTTTGATTTAAACCCAGGTTCTCTATACTTGGTTAAAAGCCCAAAGTAACAGAATCACAGTTCAGAAGTTTCATTTAGCATATAACTTCCCAAGAAGCCTATCTAGTAAAGTGTTCCAATGTTAAGTTCCAAGGATGTCATTTTATAATCATAATATCCACACTCCAAAAATTATTAAAGTACTGATTGTTTATGTACAAACAGATGGTGATAAAGATATATATATATATATATATATATATATATATATATATATATATACACACACACACACACACACACACACACACATATATATATACACATACATATATATATATATATATATATATATATATATATATATATATATATATATATATATATATATTACAGATCCTAAAACGTGTTAGATGTTAATAGCCATAAAAGCATAACTTAATAGTCATGCTCAATGCTGTTTTGCTGATAGGCCCATCTGGACCTATCAATTATACACAACTCCAGATCTTTTCACCACAGAATGCTAATGATATACTGTAGATAAGGTAATGGCATATTCTGGCAACATTTGGAAGGATGGGAAAGAGTGATTCCTTTATCTACCATATTCCCCATAATACTCCCCTGCAGAATTTTCTCCTGCTCACAGCAAAGTTTTATTGTTTCCTTCTATTAAAAGAGATTTTTTTTGTGTGATAGAGAAAATAAATGTAGCACATAAAATGGAGGCTGCACCCTTCTGAGACCCTTCCCTGTCTTTTGGACATGACCAGATCAAACCCAGCTCCTGTCTTTGCCTAATCCTATCAGATACAACTGACCCTCCCTTTGTCAGGCCCCCAGACCAAGCCTGCTGCAATCCCATCTAAGGCAAAGAATAAAAGCCTCCACACCAGCCCATAGCACAAGGGCAGCCTTAACAAAGAAATTGCAACATAGTGAAACCTCAAGGTCCACCATCAATCAGAGACATTCCTCTGATTACCTTAAAATTCATTTCCTTAACAATGGGCTTCCCCTGAATGGTGCCTTCCTGAAAGGGCTTAAAAACAGAAATAACCTCAAGTAGGAGCAGGACCTACTTGACTTCCCCAAAAAACAGCCAACAAATCAGATTCCTAGTATTTCCTACCTGCACCCCTCTAATTTCTATAAAAATCTTGTAAAATATTGTCCAGGATTCCTCTTTCAGGTAAAGTTGGGCTCTAACAATTGTTGAATAAATGACTGGTTATTTGCCTTCAGGATTGTTCTCTTTCTTCTCAATTTTACTTGCTGGTAATAATGTGGCCCATCAGGAAGTGGGTTATCTTAAACTTTCTCCAACTCATTGCCCATAAGTTCGTTACCTTGCATTCCCTCATTTTGTGAACCAGGTTCCCAGAAACAAGTACGGCCACCCCAAAGTGTAGCAGAGTTTTCTTCAGTCTTTGGTATCGTTTTCTGAAGGTTACAAAGAAAGGGTAAAGTTAGAAAACAAGACATAAGTGTGGGACTTTGAAAACCTCTGTTGGGTAAAGCTGCTATAACAGTTATAGTATAACTCATTGGTGTCAGTAAATCTACCAGCTGATGTCAAAAGTAAATGGAATTTCCTCCAATATTAGGAGCATTATATGAGCCCCGCCTGCTTGATCATTGTTTCCTGACCTTGCCAGATGACCTCGGAAGTGAGCCTGGATCACTGTGATTTTCTTCCTGAAGACCTGAAACTGCCGACGGTTGATGAGCCCTCTGAGGTAGCGCTGGAGGGTGACAATGGCCCATGTCAACTTTTTATTTCGCTGCTTCTCTAGCATCTGCCATGTCTTTTCTTTCAAGAACACCTGAAACAATAGCCAAAAGCTATTGTTTTGGGGCAAAAAAAATGGGAGGTCACCTAACACAGAGGTAACTTTCACACCCTCACTGTCTTGTCTAACACAAGTGATAAACAAGGAAAAGAAGAAGTTGTTGAATTAATTTTAACAATCTTTATTCCATTCATGAAGTACGATGACTTAGGACATCAAAATATTTAACTGTATTCATGTCCAAGGCATCTACATTTTACCAGTTTGATTAATGATTTACCTTGATCATCAAGGACAGTAAAAGAAATAGAATACAATAAAACAATAAAAATATATTTATAGCAATTACACCAGTAAATGCAATAGACAGTAGCCAGCAGGCACAGAAAACTCTTTGTTCAATTAATAATCTTTTACCAGAGTCAAAATAAGTAAGACAATAAGGTGTTGAACAGATGACTAGTCTCACAATTATATATTTCCATATGCAATATGGAAAAAATATTCTTGAGAGAAAAATGGATGCCACTATGCCCAGGAACAGAATGAGAATCCAAATGGGAACCTGGGAAAATCCTTTTCGATAAAGCAACATACTAAAATATGACCATGAGGCTCATTCTAAATTTTGGCAATAGGTAAGGAAGTATCAGTTCAGGACAAGCCAATGAAACTAATATCCATATTTGAGCTTTCTAAAGCAGGCACTTAGACCATCTACCTTGGTGATTCCGATCTGATAAAGCTTTGAGATATCTCCCACCACATGTGAAAGCACAGCAGCACAGCCATCTCTCTTCTGCATGCAGCTGGGACCTTGACCAGCCAGGACTCCATACCTGAGACACACAAAGGAGGATAATGCTCACTTTGCAAATTACTCTAGTCTCACAAGATATATTCAGAGAAAATACAAATAAATCCCAACACTTCAGAGGCACATATTTCTTATCTGACCATTGCTTGGCTGTGGCTGTTCCTCCTCCTGTCTCTCAAGGGTATTCCCACAAACCATTGCAGATGTTTACTTTAAGTGTCTGAGAGAATCCTTCCATATCTTGGAGAGGGATGCGGGTGCCCCCTCCAATTAAGATAATTAAAGGTAGAGGAAAGTATATCATTTGCAGAAGTAACTTGTTAGGTTGTTTTCTTGCCTAGAAATAGCCATTCTGCCTTGTTCTCTGGCCTGCAGGTGCTGCTACTGCTAAATGTCAGGTCAATAAATAATAAGATTTCTCTCTCATGTTGGCTAGATTCACTAGCAGGCTGCAGATTCTACTAGTATATTGCCCATTCTGAACTGACAAAGGAGGTCTTGAACCTGACTTTCATGGCTGGGACCCAAGTAGCAGAAGCAAAGCCTTTTTTCAATGCTAGGCAAATACTTTTTATTCTCCCAGATCATTTAATAAGATGCTAAAGTGGCTCTGATAGTTTTCATTGCTGTTTTTACTCTCTGTTCTGATTTCATTGCTTATTATTTTGTATATTTTATTCCAATATGTTAGGCAATATTTTTTTAAGTTGAATTTTACAAAAAAGATTGAAATGGAAGTAGAACGTAAATGCTTTAAATAAATTATTATGTGCTGATACAGCAAAGAGAAGGAACACCTTTACCTAGTTAGGAAGTGGTGGAATGAGAGGTGAATAGGATAGCCTCCTTTGCGGAGGCAAATGGCTTCTAAAATCCCCAAATGTCTCAACTGACAAGCCACGAATTCTGTATCAAAGATATCTGGCACCTAGGATCAACATGCAAAAGACGAATGGAACAAAGACAGAAAAGACAACTGAAAAAGTTCAGTACATTAATAGTTACCCACTATGCATCTACAAATTGCAGCTGTTCGATTTTTATAAAATAATATATGTAGCTGGGGTCAAAATGAGGGGTCCTTGGTGCTCTCTGAGCTTGGCTGTTTTCTTGCAGAGGTTTCACTACCCAAACTAAGTAACACCCTCAGTGCACTGATGGGCCCCTCATTTTATAAAGAAAATACACAGCCAACTATCTAAACTGATTGTGTTTGGAACAGAATCAAGTGTACTATTCCAAAAGGCCATGATACACATGGGAAAAAAGAGGATTGTTTTAAAATGAAAAATATTTCACAATGTCAAAGAACTAGGCTAAGATACATGACTTGCTCTTCCACTGGACATGTTTAAGGCATCAGGGAACTAAGTCATCTAATGTCCTACTCATTTGGCTTACCTCTGTGCATCAAGGTTGGTCAGGAAGTAGCCACTGTTTCAGCCCTCACAATAGTGGCAAGGCTGAGAAAGCGTTTCCTGCCATTTCTCCTGCTATGGTCTCTGTCTCTGTCTCTGTCTCTGTCTCTCTCTCTCTCTGTAGCAGCTGGTAGAGAAAGGATGATTTTTAAAAATGCTTTCTGTGGATTGGATAAGCATTCCTTTTGTAAGTACTTCACCTCTCTTATAACTGCATAAGAGGGGCTTGTTGTTGTTGTTAATTGCAAAGTCGTGTCCGACCCATCACGACCCCATGGACAACGTTCCTCCAGGTCTTCCTGTCCTCTA